CCATTGGTGCACTTGGAAGGCCTGAAGTGCTGTACTGTCCCAATCGTTTTGGGACAGTGAAGCAAAAACACCGTACTGTCCCAAAAAAAAAACCCAAAAAAACAATCTTTTGAGGGTCTCCAGCTCAAAGATTGGGACAGTACACCTTGTTTGCATGACTGGACCCAAAAACATTGGGACAGTACAGCGTTTTCTGCACCTGGAGGGCCTGAAGTGATGTACTGTCCCAATCTTTGACCTGGAGACCCTGAAAAGATTTTTTTGAGTTTTTAGGGACAATACAGTGCCTGGACCCAAAAACATTGGGACAGTACAGTGTTTTCGACACCTGTGCTGTACTGTCCCAATTTTTAGGCTCAGAGGAGCAAAAACCCTGTACTGCCCCAAAAAACTCAAAAAAACCAATCTTTTCAGGGTCTCCAGGTCAAAGATTGGGACAGTACGGCGTTCTTGCATGCCTGGACCCAAAGGCATTGGGACAGTACAGCGTTTTCGACACCTGGAGGGCCTGAAGTGCTGTACTGTCCCAATCTTTTTGGGACATTGGAGCAAAAACACCGTGCTGTCCCAAAAAACTCAAAAAACCAATCTTTTCAGAGTCTCCAGCTCAAAAATTGGGACAGTACAGTGTTTTTGCATGGCTGGACCCAAAGACATTGGGACAGTACAGCGTTTTCTGCACCTAGAAGGCTTGAAGTGCTGTACTGTCCCAATCTTTTTGGGACAGTGAAGCAAAAACACCGCACTGTCCCAAAAACTCAAAAAAACCAATCTTTTCAGGGTCTCCAGCTCAAAGATTGGGACAGTACAGCGTTTTTGCAAGACTGGACCCAAAAGGATTGGGACAGTACAGCGTTTTCTGCACCTGGAGGGCCTGAAGTGCTGTACTGTCCCAATCTTTTTGAGACAAAGAGGCAAAAACACCGTACCGTCCCAATCTTTGACCTGGAGACCCTGAGAAGATTGTTTTTTTTTTGTTTTTTGGGACAGTACAGCGTTTTTGCATGCCTGGACCCAAAGACATTGGGACAGTACAGTGTTTTCGACACCTAGAGGGCCTGAAGTGCTGTACTGTCCCAGTCTTTCAGGCTCAGAAAAGCAAAAACCCTGTACTGTCCCACTCTTTGAGCTGGAGACCCTCAAAATATTGGTTCTTTGGTTTTTTTGGGACAGTACAGCGTTTTTGCTTCTCTGAGCCTAAAAGATTGGGACAAGTACAGCGTTTTTGCATGCCTGGACCCAAAAACATTGGGACAGTACAGCATTTTCTGCACCTGGAGAGCTTGAAGTGCTGCACTGTCCCAAACTTTTTGGGACACAGACGCAAAAACACTGTACTGTCCCAATCTTTGAGCTGGAGACCCTGAAAAGATTGTTTTTTTTTTTGTTATTTTGGGACAGTACAGCGTGTTTACTCGGCTGAGACTAAAAGATTGGGACAGTACAGCGTTTTTGCAGTTTCTATTTGCCCTGGGAGGCCCTTAAACCCTAAACCCCTAAACCCTCCGGTGTAGCCAGGGCACCTGAGGCAGGCAAAACTACAGGAAAAGTGTGGGCCTATGGGGGGGGGTACCATATATATATATATATAATGTATGTAATATGTTTATGTAAAAGCTTCTGTAGTGGGGGCCGGAAGTGGCTGGGAGATGCCAAGGCCGCCACAGACCAGCGCGGCTGGCTCTGACCACACGCTGGCAGATGCGATCTTGCCACTTGCACTTGCAGTACTCGTAGCGACGGTAGAGCGACGGTTGAGCCGTAGAGGCCTTCGGTTTCGGTAGGCATGTTCGGCTGATACTGCTGAATGGGAAACCCGGTGAGCCTGAGAACAGTGACCGGGAAAACTAAGGCACGGTGTGCAGAGCTCCGCACATGCTCCCGAGATGCCGGAGGCTGCATGGAATTCCGAAGCGTTGGAGGCTTTTTACATCGGAGGGCGTCCCATGCCCTAACTTATCGCGTACGCATCTTGTAGTGGCCCACCTGAGTTGTTGTGAGGCGCCCGACGTGGTGCCGACGTTTGGAGCCAATGAAGAGGCTGCTGTGCTTCGCCTGGCAAGTCGAAGTTGCAAGGCTTCAATCTTGAAGTACCGGTAGGAACAAGCGACCATAGCAGCATCAAAATGACTGAATATATGTATACTGTATACTGTATATATGTCTATCATGACCAGCAAGAAGAGGACCCCCCTCCCCCCCTGCAACAACACAAGGAGGCAAGTGTACGGTCTGATGGCCCAGGCCCCGGCGGCCGAAGAGACGAGTGCAAGTGCAGGCGCCGGGGACGCTCGAGACCTTCTCTAAATGATGGTCCCTTGTTCGGGCATCCCAAAGGCCCACATTGTCCCACCGTACCCTCAGAGGGACCTGAATGTAGGGAAGGGCAGCAGTCGGTCGGCAACTGGGAACTCAGCAGGCTTCACGCGCGGTCTCAATCAAGACTCTGTTGAGTTGACACTGGCTGAGAGCAGCAAACACCTAGTGTCACGGAGTGGTGGTCGGAGAAGCTTTGCACCACCAGCAGAAGCAGATGTGGTTCGTGTTTGTGGTGAACCCTAAAACCCTGAACCCTAAACCGCAAAAGAAAGCCCCCCTGACGTCACTACGCAAGTCTGAAAATCGTGTCCTTTGAATGCCCTCTAGTAGTTAACAGGGGGAAACATGGTCTCAAATAGCTACTGAGCTACTGGGTAATCTGAGATTACCTCGTAACGATCTGGAGTAGGAGAACAGATCTTCTTCCTCGAGCAGCTAGCCCCAGACCCTAACAAAACCTTGAGAACCTTCAGCCCTCCCCTTCTCAACCCCACCTGTTTAGGGTCTAGGGTTTAGGGTTTAGGGTTTAGGGTTTAGGGTTTAGGGTTTAGGGTTTAGGGTTTAGGGTTTAGGGTTTAGGGTTTAGGGTTTTAGGGTAAACCACAAGGCACCTTGAAGAAACCTTACACTTGCCAGCCCTCGCAGGGCCGGAGTCGACCGCCGCACCCAAGGTCAGGGAGGGTGTGTGTGGCCGAGCAGGGGCCCCTTAGGGTTTAGGGTTTAGGGTTTAGGGTTTAGGGTTTAGGGTTTAGGGTTTAGGGTTTAGGGTTTAGGGTTTAGGGTTTAGGGTTTAGGGTTAGGGTGTCGGGTGTAGGGTTCAGGGGAGGGGGGGGGGGGCCTCGAAAATCAGGAGGAGAGGAAGTTTTCCTTTTTGAAGTACAAGAAGGCATGCCGATAATTGTGTCTTTTTTGAAATGCACAAGCAAATATAACGAAATGGATATACACAGATACAAGTATGTTTGTACTTGTATGTATATGTGTATCTTTCTTCATTTCTAATACTCAACTTGTGGGAAGATGTTTATTTTCTTTTTGTATCTTTATTCCTAGGATATTCCACTTGTACGAAGATAGGTATATACACGTTGGATCTGAGTACAGCGATTTGGTCTTGCTGCACAGGTGTACTTGCATACATAGGTATACCACATCTACTTGGACTGTTGTATGCGAGAGGCTCTGAGAAAGGAGGGCCGCACCCTAAACCTTAAACCCTAAACCCTAAACCCTAAACCCTAAACCCTAAACCCTAAACCCTAAACCCCAAACCCTAAACCCTAAACCCTAAACCCTAAACCCTAAAACTAAACCCTAAACCCATCGGTCCTTGGTGCCAGGCGCTGTCCAGCGGTGGGAAGGTCCGCCCCCCCGACGGCCGGCCGCCGATCTGTTGGAGCCTTAGAGCCTTAGGGTTTAGGGTTTGGGGTTTGGGTTTAGGGTTTAGGGCTTGGGGTTTAGGGTTTAGGGTTTGGGGTTTAGGGTTCAGGGTTGCAAGGGTTGCAAGATGAGGGTTATAAGGGCCTACTATAGGGGTTACAAGGGCTATGAGGATTGTTCATTTGTCTGCCCCAGCCCCCAAAGCAAGGTGCACGTAGTGGAGGGGGAGAGGGCGGGGGGGGGGGGGGCATTGGGCTTCAGCAGCTTGCCGCTTGCCGAAAACTACAAAGGAATAAGAACCGAAGCTTGCGACTCGGAGCAATGAACGGCAGCAGAAGAGCTGCAGATGCAACAAACCCTAAGCCCTAAGCCCTAAACCCTAAACCGTAAACCCTAAACCCTAAACCCTAAACCCTAAACCCTAAACCCTAAACCCTAAACCCTAAACCCTAAACCCTAAACCCTAAACCCTAAACCCTAAACCCTAAACCCTAAAACGAACTGCCGAGGCCATCCGGACTCCGCGGACTCCTTCTATCCCGTAGAGCTGGACGGTGTCGTCTACGATGCCTGGCAAGACATGCACTAGCTTGTTTAGGGTTTAGGGTTTAGGGTTTAGGATTTAGGGTTACTTGTCACACTACTGATTGCTAAGAACCCCGAAAAAACCAAAAACATTATTCCTTATTAAGGGTAGTACAGGGATTATTATGTTTTTTCTTTTGGGGTTCTTAAGCAAATAGTAGCAGAGCAGAACCCGGCGAATAGCAAGATCTCCAGACTACAGGCATTGTCGAAGAAGCAGGAGACATTTCGATAGGCGACTTTTTAAGGAGCTTCTTCTCTCTGCTTGACATGGTGAAATCTGTGAATGGCGTTTGCTGCCAAGAAGCCAATACTGCATGTTATGTCGGACTATCATGCGGCCCTCTTTCGGCTTTATAGACGCGCAGCCTCTTGCCCTGCGCGCCAAGAGCTTGCCATCACGTTGCAGGCGGGCCTCAGGGGATACACTTGAGACGAGTGGGCTTCGGGCCACCTCCATCATAGGTATGGCAAGTCGACTTTGACCAAAAGAAGACGTAGCAGCCTAAGGAGAAGTGACGGACGCCTTGTAATGTTCACGAAGTTTGGACCCTCTGGGCTTTGGTTCGCACTGTAGATATTTTTAATTTATTATAGTTATTAATAATAATAATAATATTATTTTATGTATTTTAATCCTTCACTGGAGTCTGCGAAAGCGTAGCATTGGGACATGTATAAGCGTCACACTGCCAGGCTACCCGTGTCCTGTCTCCATGGCTTCGCATCCAGAACTGTGGGAAGCGGTGCGCCAGCTCCAGATTCCCTTCGACGCGCCAGCTGAAAATTTTCTTTGGCTGAGGGCTTTCTTGTATACAGCTAGGGGATGAAGGGGATTCGTTGTGAATCAGCTTGCATGAATTCAGTTTCAAGATCGGTGAGCTCAGCAAAGCCATCAGCGACAAAGCCATTGAGAACCTGACTCATGACCGCTTCGGGCTTGTGCCAGGCTAACTGCGTTTTCGTTGGTCTTCTTTCAATACGAAAGCAGATTACTGGAGAATGTCTGATGTTTTTGGCCAATGCGGTGGGGGTCTGGCGGGTTTTTCGGAAGCTTTCAGTGTTCACGGTATGCTCCAGGTGCCCCAGACCAGGCATCGCTACAACCCTAGGAACCCTGGGAGTTCTATGGGCTCAGAACCATCGGCTGCTCGCAGTCGTCGCCCTCGCGAGGTCCAGTATGTGTATTGTAATGTGTCACGGCTCGTAGTTGTCAGTGCTTGGCACTTGCCGAGAAAGCTGCGACTTGTACCTTAGTTGCATAACACAGCAGGGGTGTTGTTTCTCGAGAGCCCTCACACTCGCGGGAACAAAGGCAGGAGGGTCGCACATGGGCCCCATAGGACGCAGCCTCATGAATCGACCTTTTTCCGCCTTCACGTCTTCGTCCTTTTCGAGTCCATTCCACACCTTCTCATGAGCTGCTCTGCCCCCCCTCCCCCACAGAGTAAGGACACGGCCGTGCTCGTCCGCGGTTTCGACTTCGGAACGACAGAACAGCAGATCCGAAATCACTGCAGTATTGTGGGGCCTGTGAGAGTAGCGATGATCGACAAGGGCGCAGCGGTGGTTTCCTATCCGTCGCCAGAGCAAGCAGAGCAGGCCGTGCTGCAGCTCAACAAGACCACCATTTCGGGCAATCGGCGCTACATTGATGTGAAGTCGAGTGGACAGGAAAGCAGCAACAACAAGCGGCCGGCTCAATTCACGGCGACGGGTACCACGAACCGAGTGTTTGTGAGGGGCTTCGATTTCGGCACCACAGATGAGCAGTTGCAGGTGCACTGTGGCTCTGTGCCACACCTGCACACTTCTAGCACTTTTCAGTCGTTTGGTTACATATATTTGCTTGATATGCTTCTCTGTCCTGCACATGTGGGGCCCCGTGTCATTGGTGTCGGATCCTGGCAGAGACCAAGGCAAGCACACTGAGCGCTGCAAGCACACCGCAGCTGCAAGTGCTGCAAGTGGAAGGAATGCCAGAAGGTTCTTCTGAAGACGATGTGAAGCAGATCTTTGCTCAATATGTGGCTGACCTTGCAAGTGGGAGGTTTAAGCTGCTTTTTTTTTCAGCAAGAGATGCTCCAAGCTGATGTTTGTGGGTATAGCTGAGGTGTCAGTGATTTCCATCAAATCTTTGCCCTCTGGTACAGGAGCCGCTTGGAGGCAACGGGAACCCAGCACGCTGACTGTGAACCCTGTGTTGAAGCTTTTTCTGAATCCTTGCAGCCTTTTGCAGCGACTGAGGCTGGGGAGGCATGGCTGCTTCAATGTGGCACTGCAGACGAAAGCCAGTACATCCTGGAAACCCTGAATGGAAACATCCCCCAAGGCCTTCACGACCCTGTGGCCATAAGACCTTCAGGATCAGGGAATGCTGGGGATACACGTTCTGCACACGCGACGGGCGCAGCAGGCAAGGGAAAGGGTAAAGATCAGGTGACGTTGTATGTCACTGGCTTGCCTCTGGAGTCCACTGACGACAGCCTCTTTAGCTTTTTCGACCAGTTTGGAGAAGTATACGACAGCAAGATACTTCCTGTGTCTGAATTCGGGTCGACCATGGAAGGTACTCTTCGAATGTCTCAAAACGACGGTGCCTGGTGCGTGGAGAATTTGAATAACTTCCAGCCCGCGAAGTACCCGGCACCCCTCAGCGTGACTTTTCCGAAGGATCATGGGGACAAGGGCGGCCCTTCGGGCAAGGCCCTCCTTGACACTGATGCCACGGACTCCATGCATGTCGGAAGCTCCCACCCGGGCCACTTGCCCGAGAGCACCCCTGGCCCTCAGGGCAGATCTTGGACCGCTGAGCCTGGGTGGGGCAATGGGAACGATGTGACGAAGGGCCTTTCAGGGGGCAAAGGTCCATATGGCATGTGGGATCCGAGGGCGAAGGGGCCCGTGAAAGGGGCACAGGGAAAGGAGCTCGGATTTGCTGATTGGGGAGGCGGTTGGGGCAAGGGCGGCAAGTTTGCAAAGGGCAAGGGAAAGAGGCCAGGACCTTATTGAGGAGCACGGTTGCAGCTTTCGTATATGGCAAGTGTCAGAAGTACTTCGAGCGAACATGTGCGTCTTCGGTGAAGTTTCCACGATTTGCAGAAGGCTGAGGAGCTCGAACTGAAAGTGTGGCGATTGCACTGCAGATGAAGCTGGCCACTTGCAGCCGATCATTGTCGGCATGGGAAAAAAGAGGGCTTCGTCACGAGTGTGCGCTGAACAGGCTCAGGAAAGCAGACTCGGTGCTTCCAGGCATCTGCTTTTCAGACAACTTCTGAGATTTGTGCCCGAGACCGGGGTCCCAAGAGGGCCCCCAGCCCAGCAGCCGAAAATTCCGGGGTCTTCAGGCTCGTACTGCGAAGACCTGGCGCTTGCGAGAGAAAAAGTCTGCCCTCTGGTTCCTCTTTCATGGTACCCCAGCTCCCCTCTACAGTGAGTTGGCCGTAACTCATGGAGTATCCATACAAGTTGAGTAGATGATGCAGTTCTCCCCTTGAACCTTCCGAGTCGAAACCCTAAAGCCTGAACTCAGACCCACCCCAAGGATTCAAAGCGTCAGTAGTGCTCAGTTGCTCTCCACCCCCGGGATTAGGAGAACAAAAAAGGCTCCCGCCCTTGCCTCAAGGGATCAAGAAGGGTTTAGGGTTTAGGGTTTAGGGTTTAGGGTTAGGGTTTAGGGTTGACTTGGCGGTTGCTCACGTCGAGACGACTAAGGACTCCTTCAATCTCCGAATTGTTCACGAACGTGATCGGACGGGCTTCTTGTACTTGAAGTTAAGTTGGTGACTGTTCCAGGGGCTTGCTTTTTCTTTCGAGGCGCTTCACAGACCCATGCGTGCGACGATGCCTGAGGCTTTGAGGAGACGAAGGACTTCCCGATACGGCTCAACAGCAGCGCGGCTGCATCGTGCGTGTGTGAGCGAGAGAGAGTGCAAAGGGCTTTGGAGTGCGTTTCGGCTGCTTTAACCGCGGCTGTTTTGGGGCGTAGCGGCGTAGAGAGACCCTTGAGCTCGAGGTATCGTTGCCGGCCGCTACCAGGCCTGGGGAACATGTGCTGTGACGGCTGTGCTTCGCGTCGTGCCCTGGGTTCCGGTGCATCCTTGCGGGTTTTTTTGTAGAGAAGCCCTCTTTATCATCACCTCCAAGCTTCGGGAGGTTGAGGCTTCGAGCACAGGTTCAGGGTGAGTTTCCAAAGCACTCGTCGGGAGTGCTTCGTGTGCTGTTCTGTACCCCTGTGGCGTGTCTCCTGCCACTGCCATCTTTCTCCCAGAAGTCGGACCCGCATAGGCCCCCAGGAAGCCTGTCGTTGGCTGGTTTCATGGGTTTCATGGGCCCTGAGGATGGTCCCCTACCTCCGTTAAAGGGTTCTGAAGTATGGGCCCCAAATTCGTCTAGGGTTGATAAGGGGGTCTAAAAGGGCTCATTTTTTAAGCGACCAAGTAACTACCCGGGACGATCCTGGGTTACTAGGTGGACCCCGAAGCGAGTTCTCCACAGAAGCCAGGTCTTGGAGTACCTGGGATCCGCAGCCTTCTCCCGCGCGGTCCAATGCCTTGACCTTGAGAACAACAGGACTCCGAAAGCGAAACCGGGGGGTGTTTCTATTCTTTTTGATCTTCCATCCGTTCCAGTAGTCTAGTGTGTATTCTACGCTAAGTTTTCTGACAATATGGTAGGTTGACCACCTGTTGGGCTGAGTAGGCATTCCTGGTCTGCTGGCGCGGTGAGTGGCAACGAAGTCCAGGCCCAGGGACCCTTCACTCTCTACCTCTCTGAATCCGGAGGATGGTCTGCATGAAGATCATCAACAACAACAAGGACTTCCTGGATCAATCCCTGGATGAGATCAAGCTCCTCAGGCTCTTTTTTTTGGGGGGGCTGAGGGGGGGGGGGGGGCTTGCGAGCCCACCCACCTGGGACAAACCTGGGACATCCTGGGACTTTGGTCAAAAAGCCGCCAAGAAAAGGATTCTTCCGCGATTCGAGGTGTGTAACCACATCCCAGGGAGGTGGGGGGGTCCAGAGGCGCGGACCTTTTTCACATGACGGGATTCGAACAATGCCCGGCTGGCTCGCAGTGAGGAAGCACCTTGAAATATTTTATCGGAAGTCCATGACATCCCTGCGCAAATCAAGAGAGGAGCTCGGCAGACAACAAAAGGAAACAAAGCAGTTTTGACACAGGGCAAGTAATGCCGGGGCATTCTCGAAACGTGCCCGCGCCGCTCTGACACGTTCTGACCGTCAGAACAATCCCGAAGGCCACTGGGGGTGACCGATTCCCAGCCGCACGATCTTTGCTTTGGAAACAGGCGCAGGTTCCGAACAGAACGGTGGGGAATGAGTTTGCTGGCTGTGGGATAAGCGCCTGACAGCCCCAGAATGCTGTGTGGCCATGCCTGGTCATACAAGTTCAAACTTCGAAGTTCCCGGCCAAGCGGGCATGGAGGCGTGAATTCTTCTGCACTGGCTGAGGCCACACGATCGCTTTGCAGAGTGCAGCCTGAGCTTCTACAAATAGGGGACCCCTAGAATAGACCCCCCAAATAGTAGCATTCCCTTGTAATAAGGACTCCAATAAGGTACCCACCAATTTCGGAAGCCATATTTCTAGAAGTCTTGGTTGCGCCTCTCTTAGCGCTTCCAGGATGTCGAGTTGTACCTGCAGGGGTCCAGCCTCCCTCAGACAGAAGATTATGGTTACACACTGTACTAAGAGATGTCTTCTTCTGCCGCAGGCTGATTCGTGCAAATGTGGTCCGAGCCTGAGTCGTGGATGGCGATTTCCACGAGCCGCGTAGAAACGCCAGTGTTTGCTCTGTTTGAGTGCCTAAAGGTTTGATACTTGCTTCGGCTAAAGATCAAGCTCAGAGTTGATGGGTTGCTGCAACTTGCTTCTGTTCTTGGGCAGGGTAAAGTCAGAACACGGGCCTGAAATCAAGAGCCAAGGACAACATCGATGACAAGAATTGCTTGGCTTTGGTGGAATCTCGGCTACGCTGTCAACGCACTCTGTGAGCTCCGTTCATTTGGCGACATGTAACGGCTGGGCATGAGGTGCAACAGAACCTCGATTGGCTAAGGATTATTTTTACCACAAAGAGCACCTCATCATTGTCACGGCCTGGGCCTCGTGAATTTCGGGATTACCAAGGTGTTGTTCGTGCTTGACATGAACACGGGAGTTGCACTCTGTCATTACGTTTGTCATTATATTTTCATTCCTCACAGTCTGCCGTAGTTAGTTTTCCTGTTATCATTTAACTACTAGTAGTAACAATGATCACGTTATGACCATTTTCACTATTATTACTTTGCCTGAGTTCGCCGAATGGGCCATCCTCGAGACGATCTGGAGATACGTAGAGCCACAGCTTCTCCCATGGCCAGGAGCTTCTTCGGGACAACCTCTACGAGTTTTCAAAGTACAATCGTGAGGCCACGCACTTGTTGCCATGACACTTCATGCTTCTTCTGCTTGTTACAAATGCGCTACACAGCTACACCGTCTTTTTGGGATGTGTGCAAATCATGGGACTGCATAGGTCCCGCATGTCATTTCTACTGTAGCTTCTGTGACGTCGGGGCGGTGCACGAAAGGAGAGTACAACAAGCAACCACTGGCGCTGTGCCGGTTACAGCGCTGCAGGAGAATCATCCACGCATCGTCGCCCATCATCCTGAAACAACCCAGCGCAGCCCACCCACAAAAGCAGCACTCCAAGTGCATCCATGCAACTCAGGAGTTGCCATCCCATTAGGCTTCCATGCGAGACCTTCCCAGCTGCATTCAACTATAACACAAGCGCGGTTTCGAAAAGAGTTTTAGTCGCTGTGCGAGGACGGTCGTAACTAGGAGAACTGTAGCCCATTGCGCCTCTTGAAGCCCAGCTTTCGTGGCAACCACCGTGGAGACAGCCACAAAGCAGACCCCGGGTGGCGGGGGGCGGGCGGGGGTGCAGGGGGGGGGGGACAGAGCCGGCAATGAGGTTCTCAGCACGGCTAGAGGCCTCATCCCTGTCACAGATTAAGGCTTGCGAGGAGCCCTACTTCACCCTCGGGAGGCTGCAGAGGACATTGCGCTTCGTTTAGCTTTTGGGGGGTTTCAAGGTTCTGGGACCTGGGACCTTTTGACCGCGCGTTAGAAGGTGTCCATATGTCCAAGCAAAGCCAGACGATATAAGGCTTAGCTAACGACGGCAAAACTCAGCAAGAGGTCCTCCGTCTGTCGATTCTCGGGGTGAACTCCGAAGCTCAGCGGCAGGATCTCGAAACAAGTCCTTGTGGCTTTAGAGTGCCCTCCCCCCGAGCTTCCAGAGACCGGGTATCAGATCTCAGCAGATGCCTCATAAGCGCATTAGGCGACAGTGGCGTCAGAGCTTGAGTGAGAGGTACATCCACCAGCTTTACTTGATCCATGCAGACCTGAAGCCTGAGAACATTCTCATCAAGAGCTACTCCCGCTGCGAGGTGGGACCACGGTGGGATCCCTGAACCTGGCTTCACTTTCGCCACCCATACACGCGGCCATGATTCACAAGACAACAGCAATGGGAAACCACTAGATGGGCCACTACTGTATGGGCCACTGTATGCTGTTTCGTTTAAAGTTGGCCCTGGCAAGTTGCAATCTGAGCCTCTGAAGGTGAAGGTCATCGATTTCGGCTCCTCCTGCTTCGTGGACGATCAGTGCCTCAGCCGGCCAAGAAGCGTAGGGAGGTTTCAGGGTGCAGACCTGCAGCACAGCGCATCCTCGCTCTTTGCCATGGGGAGATGACATGCTGGCACGTAATTCCTGTAGGTCAGTGCCTTGAAAGCTGCTTTGACCCTCAGGCTGACGAACTACGTGCAGTCGCGCTCGTACAGGCCAGGGACTTGTGCTGAGGCTAGTACGTGATCCCGTAAAAGTGTCACAGCATCTCTGGACGCTGGGAATTCCTTTCTGCGAATTGCTGTACTTTCCATTGGCTTGGCTGCGCATGTCTTTAGTGCTGACAGGGCCCCTGAAGTGATCTTGGGCCTTTCTTATGACCAGAAGATCGACATCTGGTGCCCTCGGCTCAATTGCAAAGGTCCTGGGCTGTAAGAGATGTAAGATGGCAAGTGACAAGTCGAGGTTGATTCTTCCGAAACGACAGAGATCTCAGTTTCAGGGCCATGCCTTATAAGAGGTGTCTCAAAACTTTTTCATATTCGCCACCAAGGGGGGTTTCTCGTGCAGCCTTGCCATCCAAGATGGTAAGGCTGACCTTGAGCCTCTAGTCGTCCAGTCTTCTTTACATGTGGCAGCTTACAATTCGGCATTTGCGCGCTTGACAGAAGAAGCCAACAAACACTGCAGATGGCCAGTTCACGAAACCATGATCTTTTGGGGTACTGTGATAGTTTGTGGTCCTGGATTCTAATCGATACGCTCCTCCCCCCACCCCCGGCCCCCCCAAAAGACCGGATACAGGGACACTGGGCACATGCGCACATATCCCCCACATGAACGCACAAGCCTCAGCCGCATCTCGTCGCAGCCTAGAGAAAGCATCATCGTGTTCACAGCTTGCGCCGCTCTTCCACGGTCCACTGCTGAAAGGTTCATGGGCACTTATCATGCATAATGAGGAATAGCCCTGCATGTCTATGTCGGAGGCTGACCCTGCGTTGGGCATCATGTATCCCTAGACTTATCGCTACCCACGATCCTTCACAAGAAGGCTCTCTGCCGGTAAGAACCCGAAGCCTGCCGGTCCCTTTAAATGCTACTCCGTAGGCCTTCAGAAGTGCAGGTCTTTGGGATGCATCGTCGCAGAGCTCTGGGCAGGCGCCTCCAAGATGGTCGTGGGGGAGGGAGGGGGGGCTAAACCCTAAGCCAAGAGCCCAAAAGCCCTCTCCATATTGAGCAGTGTTTTTTCTTGTTTGCAAGACGGGTCTTAAGCTTGGGGGCCCTGTTTTTTTTTTGTTTTTTTGTTTTTTTTTTTTTTTTTTTAAATCGGCGTTCATAGGAGAGAGTCCGGTCTCGACTTTGTAGAGTTTAGGATGCAGGGTGCTCAGGCTTAGGGTGCTGAAGGGTTGAGGGTTGAAGGATTGCAGCTTTGAGGGTTTTCGACTTCGAGACTTTGTCGCGGGCCAAAGCCTCCAGAGAGACATTTTACTGCTGGCCCTACGCTCTCCTCCGAAGCTCCTCTTGGCAAACCCACTTTGGGTTGATCCAACATCTGAGCCCAGAGCATCAGAGATGAGAACCCTCCCAAAGGGCCCCATAAAAAGTCAGGAACCCTATAACAACCCTCAGTACCCCATCATCTCCCTATATCCCCCTTGGGAATCTTTTTTTTATTTTTGTTTATATAAAACCCAAGAGAATATTAAAAATAATATTTTTTATTAAGGTTCTAAGGGGAGTACAGTTCCCAGTTTGCAGAGGTTTCGTTCTCTTCCAGAACGACTCCGTCCAGAGCCTCCTGGCCCGGATCATGGGCATCCTCGGGCCGCCTGGGCTGAAGAAAGAAGGAAAGAAGCGCGCTCTTCCACCCCCGGCAGCTCTCTGTCTGTCTGTCTGTAAACCCTCTAAACCCTAAACCCTAAACCCTAAACCCTAAACCCTAAACCCTAAACCCTAAACCCTAAACCCTAAACCCTAAACCCTAAACCCTAAACCCTAAACCCTAAACCCTAAACCCTAAACCCTAAACCCTAAACCCTATGTCTGTCTGTCTGTCTGTGTGTGTGTGGGTGGGTGGGTGAAGCTGCTCCTTGCGGGACTGGTCCTTGTTGGCCGAGGCCGCTGCCTGCGCACATGCTGGCCACCGGCCGCTCCGTGCCGCAATACTTCACACAGGACCCCAAAGGGGACCCCGGCTGAGCAACTTGCAGTGGGTGTGAGCCCTGAATTCCGGAATTCCCGAATATGCGTCTAAATTTAGCCGTTCAGACCTGATGCGCCTCGTTGTCGAGGATGGCCGCCTCTACCGAGAGTCGCAGCCACTTCCTTCGTCGGCATCCACACCGCCCGGGCACTCGGGGACCTTGTGGACTCTGGAAGTGAGAAGCTCTTAGAAAGCTCTCTCTGTCTACATTAGCGACGGAAGAAGTCGCAGTGTTCGCAGCTTTCTCTGGTGCTCACCCTGCGCGAATTCCGGAGCATGAGTATAGTTGAATCTCGGCTGAACGTGCACAAGTAGTTGAGACTTTTAGTGACTGCTCCGGTTCTAGATCGCCAGAAGGGATGGAATCTTGCCGAGCCGTTGAACGCTGCACACCTCCCCGTGACACAAGACTGCGATCCGCTAAGACCTTCTGTAGCCCAGATGCCAAAAACTTGGGGGAAAGAAGCGTTTGCTGCCGTTTCTCACGAGAGGCCCGTGGAGCCGCAGCGTTCCTTGCACCTCCTGGTGCCCAAGAGGAGAGCATCGTGCCTTTTGATGGTTCTGCTTTTTTGCATCTCCTTTTGCGCCCAACCCCCCCCCCCCCCCCCCACCCCAAAAACTGGCCGCGTTGCCTGGGAAGACGCAGGACTTCCCTGAAGCAGCGCATGCGGACAAACGACGAGGCGAAAGAGAAGGGGGTGGCCCTTGGAGTCAAAAGCTTCTCAGGGTCTCTAATCGCAACAAGCTGACCGAGCATGTTCACTTGTGTGATGTGGTCCTGGTATCAAAGTCACAACGTCACTGAAGTTCTGAATTCCGCGCAGGTTTTCTTGGACTTCTTAAGCTGCCTCCTTCAGGCACAGTCGGAGCGGTGTCGTTGGATCTCAGCGAGCCAGCAACAGACCCTTTGCAAGTTTCAAGTTCCCCCCCCCCCCCCCCCGCAGTGAGGCCCTGCAGGCCCTAGGCCGAATGACGGCTTGATGCAAGTCTGCCCTGATGCCCAAGGGTGTTTGCATTTTCTCGGAAGATGTTCCAATCCCATCAGTGTGTAAAGACGAGTGCACAATTGAGTGTAGGTGGACCCTGCGCTACGGCCCACGGCCACCGAAGCGCTGCAGCATCCGTTCCTAAGCCGGGGCCCTGGAGCCTGGAGAGCCATTTCGAACCAAGTCTCCAGTCCAGTTCTCGCTAAATCATGACCCCCCTTTCGGCCTATATAGGAGTGTCCCATAGTGTCCGAATACAATCTGTGAGAGATGGCCCTCTGGGGGGGACCTTTCAGAGAGACCCGGAGTTGTTGGCGTCAGGCCCGGGTCGATACAGCGACGGCCTGTGAGCGACTTCCGTGGGCAGCGCAACCCGTTCGTTTAGGGGGTTTAGGTGTTTTTTTGTTGTTTTTGTTTTTGAATAGGGTGCTTGGCTTTTGCGTTTATCAAATAGTGTGTTTGGGTTTTGCTTTTATAGGGTTGCAAGGGTATACAGCATTCAGGGTCCCTCCCCCGCCCCGTGCCACCTGGCGGGTGTTCCGGGTGCTCCAAAACTCCCAGTCCCAAGAATCTTAGAGGCCCAGAAGCAGAAGGCCATTCTTCCCAGAGCCAGTTAGAATTCTTGAGGAGTGCTCATATTTCAACTCCCCATGAGCAGTGGGCATAGATTGCACGCACCGGCCATGGAAGGGGAAGAGTAGATGAACGGATATGGACAGTTATGGACATGTCGAATCCAAACGAAACTCGCATTCTTACCCATAGTCTATCAGCATTTGCTTCCGTCTAGAGTCTAGACTTCCCTGAAAGGCCCATTGCAAGCCATTCGCATCCGATGTGCTTTTCACAAGAGCGACATGAGAATTGCTTTCAACCGCCAGTTGGTGCTCCAAAGTCTTCAAAAGCTGTGGGAAGAAGTTCTCAATGGTTATTGACTCGTTGACGCTATTGTTGCACTTTATTATTGTTATCATGCTTGCTGGTCTTATATGGGGCCCTTGGGGTCTGTAGAGGAATCGTTGGTGTGGCAGATCTTCAGGTACATAGCAGAAAGGCGACATTTGGAGAGGGCGACAGGCACCCATAAGGCATTTGCTCATGGCTCATGGCGCGGCATGACGCGTCATCAGATAATGCAGTCGATGCAGTCCGGAACGCATGACCACCATGAGCTCCCAAGACCCCAAAGAATTTCGGGCCGAAGTAGAGCTTGCCTGCCACGTCCTCATGTGTGTATGCGCCGACTCTGCAGATGCTGTCGGTTCAACACGGTCAACTGCGGCAACGAAACCAGTGGTAGCTATTGCGAGACAGCACACAGAATCTAAACACGCTTTAACTGTGAATATGTGGTTGAGTATACGCCATTCCTAGATGTCACGGTGTCTTTCTGAACCCAAAGTGAGAACATGTCCATCCAAGCGGCCTGGGATGTCTCCTCGCTGCTCATCGGGCAGCAGAGCTCTGAGGACAAGGCAATGCGCAGAAGCCGTTCAAGAATCGCCCTGGCGCTCGAAAAAACCTACAGATAGTCGCGAAATCTGCACCAGGCAGTATACTGACCTTCTCAATCTTGAAGTCCGAGATAGGGGTGGACATGGAATGAGCATTGTGCAGAGCATCAAGGAAAGCTCTGTTATTTATTTCTTCTGCGCGGGGCTTTGGCCCATCTTGACTACGGCTTGCTTTGCAGGATCTTGTCGCCCAAAATGTAGCGAATCGCGAAGCGCACTCTACGGAGGGGCGAGGGTGGGCGGCTACGTGGCTCCTAGAGCACTCCGACGCCTTATAGGTCAAAGACGATGTAAAGAGAAAGAGACCTTTTGCCCGCTTTCTTTGTTTTGCAAAGGCTAAGATTAGCGGGAACCTCCGCTGTTCTGAGATTCGGTTCGCTCCAATCACCGGCACGTAGCCTCAAAGCCCTGGGGCGAGGCGTGAACGGGCTCCGCTCAGAGCTTCTGCCCTGCGAGCTTCTGCCCAGCGTTGCCATTTTGAGCCTCACAGTGCGATTCCCTGTGCAGACGCCGAACGGTGCTTCGTACCGCGGCGATTGCTTGCTAGGTGACCCCCCCGCTTCTCAGTTTTGGATTGGTGCTTCCAAGAGGGCCGACGGTGGCAACTGGAATCATTTTCAGAACCCTTCAATGAGGCTTCAGGAGGTTTGCGAAAGCCCACAGTGCATCTTTATCACCACCTCCAAGCTTCGGAGGTTTAGGCTTTGAGCATTTACTGCTTTAGGGGTTCAGGGAAAGTTTGAAAGCACAAGTCGGGCTTGCTGTCGGTCCTGTTCTGTACAGTGCCTGGAAGTGAAGTCTCTCTGCAGAAGGTCCTGGAGTACCAACACGACTCCGAAAGCGAAACGAGCGAAACGGGGGGGGGGGGGGGGGGGCGGGGGGTTTCGATTCTTTTTTCCCGAAGGCTCCGCAGAAGGGTTTCCCGTTTTAAAGTTGGGGGTCTGGGGGTTGGGAGGTTACCCAACGTCGTTGCGTTGTGTTCGCTAAGCGTTCGCAAGCGTTCGTCCCTGGTGGTGGTGGCAGTGGTACCTGTGGTGGTGGTGGTGGTGGTGGTGGTGGTGGTGGTGGTGGTGGTCGTGGTGGTCGTGGTGGTCGTGGTGGACGTGGTGGTCGTGGTGGTCGTGGTGGTCGTCGTGGTGGTGGTGGTGGTGGTACCTCGTGGTGGTGGTGCCTGATTGTGGTGGTACCTGGTGGCGTTGGTGGTAGTGGTACTTGGTGGTGGTGGCACCTGGTGGGCGCGTGGGATGTGGGCGGGTGGGATGTGGGTGGGTGGCTGGGTGTGGGTGGGTGGGATGTGGGTGGGTGGGATGTGGGTGGGATGTGGGTGGGATGTGGATGGGTGTGGGTGGGTGTGGGTGGGTGAATGTGGGTGGGTGGGATGTGTTTCCGCCCGCGCACCGACGTGTCGTGCATGCTGCATTCTATTTGCGTTCTACGTGACAGGCTCCTGCAGTCGGGTTCGTGGCTCCTATCAGGTTTCTATTCCGTGCCGTTCTAGTCATCTCGTCTGAATCCTACTCTACATTTGCTGATAGTATGGTGGGTTGACCAGGGTGAATGCTGGGCAAAGTACAGTAGGCATTCCTGGTCTGCTGGTGTGGCGAGTGGTGCCACGAACTCAAGGCCCAGGACCCTGCAGTTTCTACCTCTAAATCTGCAGGATGGTCTGCATGAACAACAACAAGGACTTCCAGCCTGGATCCATCCTGGATGAGATCAAGCTCCTCAGGCGTGGGGAGGTCTTGCTTGCTTCTGTGCGCTGGATTCGCTGGAGAGTCCTTCCAAAACTCCACTTGGGCCTCCAGCCACCCAGAACTCTCCAAATTGGAAGATGAACTGGCACCGACGCTATCTGTCCAGTCATTGTGCGGTCTGGCAACTAACCAGTGACGATTGTCATCTGTGCGGAGGTGTACTGTACGGGCAACTATAGGCTCCAAAACAACTTTGGCCACTTCCCAGCCCTTACGGATGTAGCAAGAGTATGTCGCGCATGCTCTGAGAACAGTCTCCGCACCCTTCAGGGAATCATGGGCTTTGGAAAGGGTTCCAGGACTCAGGTACGCTTTGGTGCATAGTGCGAACTGAGGCCGTCACAAGCAATTGTTGTGTGCCAGGCCTAGCCATCAAAATGCTCATAGTCCTGGCAGCAACAGTCCTCTGTTTCATCATTGCTATGATAATTGTCGCCCTCGTCTGCTGGTGGACGTACAGTAGCAATAATAGCCATTGTTGCTGCGGATGAAAGGGAAGATGAGTAGGATAAGAAAGAGCAGACGGGGAAAGAGGCGGGGAAACAGGAGGTGTAGGAGCAAATAAGCACAGATGAATCAGGAACACTGTAGTCTACAAGAGAGTTAGGTGTCTACGGAGTGATTTACAAGGAAGTACCTCTGTAAGACGCAGGCAGGTACTTCACGTACGTCATGTCGCTCTGAGGCAACACGAAGTCGTGTGTAGCGGTAGCAAAGATGGTCGGGGCGAACTCAGGCCAATTCCGTTGTTGCTGCGGGGCGAGTTGCCTGTCCTTACGATCCAGTCTGCCATAGACAGGAGTCACAACTCTCAAACCCCAGTAAGTGCTCAGTAGCCACTCTTGTTCTAGCCTGTTTCGCTCAAGCCAGAACAGCTGAAAAGGAGCTGTGCAGATCGACGCCTTGTCCTACGAAAGCGATGTTTGATGGTCGCCGCTCGGTAGGGACATTCCATGTTGATGAAGGCAAACGGTTCCTCTCCTACGGGTGGGTGCAGCGTGGTGCCCAGGTGCAGGTCGACAACGGTGGAGTGCACTTCATAGACTGCTCTGCCATCAGCCTTTCAGGTGTCGACAACAGAGCAGCCAGCCGGAGTGCCTACGAAGCCTTAGGAATTCAGCCCACGGCCCTGCAGAAGAGGAGATTCACTGCCAGCTGGCGTGAGACGCTGCAGTGGGTCGAGGAAGCAAAGGGAGTCATGTCGGTGTCTGGTGCTGATCAAGCATGGTTGACTTTCCGACGCCACTTCCCAGATCCACCAGCCGCCGCGCCTCCAGTTCGTCCTCCTTCACCACGAAGAGATCAGCCTAGCAGTCCTGAAGGTATCTCTGAGAACGACTTGGAGGAACTACTGGTTGATGTGTTCGACGTGGTTGACGATGATGGCGTTTCATGGGATCACCTTGTTTCTGCCTCCATGGATGCGCCGGTGGAAGACGACACCATGGAAGCATGGGTTCAGAGGTTGGAGGTTATGAGGACAGCTGGCTGCAGTGACCAGTCGCTGAACACAGCCTTCGAAGCCTTGGAGATGCTCAGGATTGGTCTTCCGAAACCCGATCCTGGTTATGTGGAGTCAGTTGCTGTGGAGGAGATCATACTCTTCGCATATACAGGAGTTCGCTTGGTGATCCAGGCTGCGAGAAGCCTAGGGAGAGCTGCACTGCGAACCTTCGCCCAGCGAGCCGAAAGAGCAGCCGAAAGAGCTGCTCTGACTAAAGCGGCCCAGCGTGCTCGGGTAGGTTCTGCACTGAAGGAAGATGCATATCATCGAGCTGTGAGTTTTATCATGCCCCAGATGATCAGGAATGGCAAACACTTCATCTTCCGCAGCGGCGATGGCACATTGAAGCGATTGACGCAGATGCTGGGTGAGGTCAACGGGAAGAAGGGCGTGTTCGAGGTGATTGTGGGCCGAAATGGACAGATTGAGCACCAGATGTTCCGGGTTGGAGGGGCGATTACTGGCAAGCCCCAAGGCTATGGGCGCACCCTCACTCCAGTAGTGACAGAGCTCCACTAGGTGGTCTCTGATGTCCTGGCACCAGACTTCGAGAAATGGGGGAACCCCTGATTCCAAGTCCCCATGAGAATACGCACGGCTCATGCTGTTTCTACGTCAATTTGTTTCAGCATTGCTTTTGACGATTGGTCTCACAGCCATTTGTACCCATTCAAGAGCTCTTTTGGCCCCACCTCATTCCTCCAGTGATGGTTCGTCGCAGTTAAGGGGCGAAACGAGCGTGATATCACTGTGATTGCGTGGAGAGGAAGCTGCCTGATGATGGGTGCGAAAGCTGGTGTGTGCTGAGAGCGTTTGTCACGATCCAACTTCTGATACTATTTTGTTTGTTTTTAGTTGTTTTCTTTTCTTTTCTGGGGTCGGGGGGGGGGGGGTGTGCTAGTGATACTAAATAAGTACATTTTCCAGCATTGCTGTGCTGTGACTTGGTGTGCCTGTCACTACCAGAACACGTCGATTTCAGACGGTGCTCGTGAGTCGCTGTCCCGCGTAGCGAGCTTTGACAGCCAAGCTTTGCTTGACATCCGTTTCTTCGAAGGTGTCTTCCCTTTTGTGCACATCCGTGCTTCCGGACTGTACCATGTCCATCCATAACCTTCCATATCGCATGAGCGCTGTGCGTGATTTATTCCACATTCCGAAACATCCACGGCCCACTCAGTTGCATGGTATACACTGCATGCTACCCAAAGAGTTCCTGGCTTGCAATGTTATGTTTTGGGAGTCGACGCGCCTGCTTCCAGCAGCATGTCCTCTTTACATTCTGCTGCTTTGCGTACCCTTCCTGACATGACGCGCCGGGCAAGCTTGCAGCAAGTTGAGTGGCTGTTGTGCGTCAGCCTTGCTTGGTTGTTTCCTCCTCATATGGCTTGGGCCCGTTCTAACCGGTATATCCTTGAGGTTACAAGTTTGTTGGACGCGGTGGCTGGCCTTCTCGTGCTGTGCGATAGGCAGGAACACCCGCCGGGTGCACGGTCATCACATGAATATGTGTTGTTGCTGTCCAGGTTTTTCCACATTGACTGGCAAAAACACATCTTGCAGTACTATTGACACCGGCAGAGTGCTGAAACACTGTAATGCCATGTACGCCTGGGCATTCTCGAAATGCGTCCGTGCCGCGCTGACATGTTCTGACCGTCAGAACAATCCCGAAGGCCACTGGGGGCATCCGATTTCCAGCCGCACGATCTTCGAAGGTTTCGAACATAACGGTGCGGCATTAGTTTGATGGCTGTGGGATAAGCGCGTGACGCCCAGAATGCAGGTCTAGTGTGTCCCACGGTCACACAAGTTTGAACTTCGAAGTTCCGTGCCAAGAGAGGGGCATGGAGGCGTGAATTCTCCTGCACTGGCTGAGGCCGCACATCCGTGGACCGCAGTTTCTCGCACGACGCTTTGCAGAGTCAGCCTGAGTTTATCCCCCTGACACCATCTCAGCGCTTGCAAGACGCCGAGTTGTACCTGTAGGGGTCCAACGTCCCTCAGAGAAAAAAAGACTAGGTTACGCGGGACTAAGAGAAGTCTCCTGCCGCAGGCTGATTCGTGCAAATGTGGTCCGAGCCAGAAGGTGGAAGGCGATTTCCATGAACGTAGATCCGCCAGTGCTTGCTCTTTTGACTTCCTAAGGGGCGAAACTAGCTTGGGCTAAAGCTCATGGTGGGCAGCGAGACCCGCTCGTTTAGGGGTTTAGGCTTAGGTGTTCCTGTTTGTTTTTTTTGCATAGGGTGTTTGGCTTTTTGTATTTATAGGGTTTCAAGGGTTGGTAGCATTTAGGGCCCCTCCCCCGTGCCACCTGGTGCGCGTTCCGGGTGCTCGAAAGGCCCATGTTAGAGTTGTTGAGGAGTGCTCATATTTCAACTCTCGCGTCGGTCCATGAGCAATGGGCATAGATTGCACGCACCGGCCTTGGAAGAGGGAAGAGTAGATGAACGGATATGGATGTCTCGTCTCGAATCCAAACGAAACTTCGCAGTCTCACCATAGTCTACTAGCAGTTGCTTCCGTCCAGCGTCTAGACTTCCCTGAAAGGCCCATTGCAAGCCATTTGCGCCCCTGTGCTTTTCACAAGCGCGACAAGGATGTGGGAACAAGGTATCAATGGCTACTGTATTGGCTCATTGGCGCTATTGTTGCGCTTTATTATGGTTATCATGCTTGCTGGTCTTATATGGGGCCCTTGGGGTCTGTAGAGGAATCGTCGGTGTGGCAGATCTTCAGGTACATAGCAGAAAGGCGACATTTGGAGAGGGCGACAGGCACCCATAAGGCACTTGTTCATGGCTCATGGCGCGGCATGACGCGTCATCAGATAATGCAGTCGATGCAGTCCGGAACGCATGACCACCATGAGCTCCCAAGACCCCAAAGAATTTCGGGCCGAAGTAGAGAGCCTGCCACGTCCTCACGTGTTTATGCGCCGACTCTGCAGATTCCATCGGTTCAACACGGTAGACTGCGGCAACAAAACCAGTGGTAGCCATTGCGAGACAGCACAGAGTTCATGGACTCAGTTTTAACTGTGAATAAATGTTGTTGGAAACTACCCCCATTCCTAGATGTTACGGTGTCTCTCTTAGCCGAAGGTTTGAAAGTGATCAGGCGAGACATGTCTTTCCAAGCGGCCCGGGATGTCTCTTCGCTGCTCATCGGGCAGCAGAGCTCCGAGGACAACGGAATGTGCAGAAGCGGTTTAGGGTTTAGGGTTTAGGGTTTGGAGTTTGGGGTTTGGGGTTTGGGGTTAGGGTTTGGCGCTCGAAGCTACCTACAGTTACAGATAGTCGCAGACTGACCCCTTCTCATTCTTTGAAGTCCGAGATCGGGCTGAACATGGGGTGAGCTTTGTACAGAGCATCAAGGAAAGCTCTGTCGTGCTTTTTGCGTCCGGGGTGCTTGGCTCTTATCTTGGCCCATCTCTTGAAAAAACGCTTTTTGCTTGCAGGATCTTGTCGCCCGAGGTGTGGCGAATCGCGAAGCGAGGCCTTTGTGGGCCTTACACAACAAAAGCAGCTCAAGCGAGACCCTTCTTTTTTATGGGGGGGAGAGCTAAACGGGGGAAGGAGGGGGGCGCCCCGCTGCGCCCCCCACTCTTAGTCCATGCCCCCAATCGCCGGCACGAAGTACAGGATCCCTGGGGCTCTCAGTGAACGGGTTCTCAGAGCTTCTGCCCTGCGAGCTTCTGCACAGCTTTGCCATTTTGAGCCTCACAGTCCGATTCCCCTGTGCAGACGCCGAACGGTGCTTCGCAACTGGATCCTTGAGCGCCTGTCCAATCTGCCGCTCGGCAAGCAGCACCCGGCATATCGCATCTCACAGCAGACCGCTCACTTGTAGGTCCCAATATGGATTTAGAAGGTCGAGTGTTCGATTGCAGATGATTGCAGTGACACCTCCCACTCTCAGAAGCAGCGACTTCTGCATCATTCTGCATCATTCTGCCATGTGAATTCAGGATATGGTTTCTGATGCTTTCGGCGCTGATCATGCCCTTGTTAGTGACGATGCGCCTTTGCTGACAGTGGGGCCAAAGAGCAAGGAGACGTTTTTGTTTGTTCATTCTTGTTCTTCTGTTTTGTCCTTCTGCATTATCCTTCTGAATCGGTATCAGTATCAGAGTAATTCGCATCCATCGAACTTGGGTACAGCCACGAACGGCTTGTCACGCGGATGCCTCAAATGGGAGCCTGTGACCTTTTGAAGAAGCAAGAAGAGATGTGCTTTTCAGGGTCGCGCTTGTATGTTTGAGGCCAGTTGCTATACCCTAAAACCGTTACGGCCCTTTTAAAGCCCCTGAATCTGAACCAACAGATGCTCCAGCCCAGGCTGCTGCCACTCGGCCTCGGGAACTTCACGAGCTTTCGGTGGGGTTTGGAGAGGGCTTCAACTGCAAACTCGTTTTTTTTTTTTTTGGGGGGGGGGGGGGGTCGTTGAAGAGGGGGGGGCTTTCGGGCAGACCTGGAAATAGGGTTTATTTTAATGCATGCACTTCGGTTTCAGGCTTGTGGAGTTTTGTGAGGGGGGGGCGTGGTGGCACGTTCCTCAAGTGAGCATCATCAATGACCATGGCTTCCGCACGCCTGCGCCCTGTAGTTAAGGTGTCTGAAATGCTTGGGAGGCCTCTATGACTCTAATGGCTCTTTGCCCAAGACGGCACGGCCTTTGAGCAACCCTGACCTCCCAGGTTATCGACGCTGTTCGTCGCCAAGTTCTGTGACATCATCAGCGGCTCCCTTCGAACTTCTGTTTAGCATACTGCACATTCGGGCGTGTCTGACTTAAGGGCGACGAGGGAAAGATCAAACGCCTAGACCCTAAACCCTAGACCCTAAACCCTAAACGCTAAACCCTAAACCCTAAACCCTAACCCTAAACCCTAAACCCTAAACCCTACACCCTAAACCCTTTGGCAAGATCAGACGAGGTGGCCAGAATGCCGGTGGAGCCATCGCTGTCTTTATCTTCGGGCACTTTGATGATGCCTGCTGCTTGCCACACCTGAAGTTGCACCCTCCCCCCCTGTCCCCCCCCCCCCCCGCCCAAAGTCGGACTCGAAAATCTGCAAAGCTTTTGACAGCCTCCTCGTTTTCTGGGAGCCGTAGCCCCATGTGGTACCGGCTTGCTTTCTGATGGCCGACTGTCCAGCAATGGTCACCCAGGCAAAAGAACATCCTAATACTCTTGCTAAACCCTCAACCCTCCAACCCTACACTCCCTACCCTACACCCTAAACCCTCACAAAACGGTTCCGGGGGGTTGATTCCTCAAAACTCCTAAGGCGACCAGCCCCTAGGAACTCTGGCAGAGATCTACTGGATCGTCCTTGCGGTGAAGATGCCACCTTGATGGAACATGCCGGGTGTCCGAAATTCGGGGTACCTTAACGGGGGTCCTCATTAATCAGTATAAGGGGATCTGGGGGTCTATATTAGGGGTCCCTGATTTTCGTACCCCACATGAGAGGATGATGATGATGATGATAATGATGATGAAGAAGAAGCTCTCATTTTGGTTTTGGGGGTCCAGGGCTTAAGGCTTTGTATGGTTTAGGGTTTATAGAGGAGTTAAGTTTAGTGAGGCGCTATGATACAGCACGAGGAAAGGCGATGGGGCCGTCGGAATCCGAACTCTGCTTGGCCTTGGGTTGAGAGAATGTTCAGTGCGTGTTTAGGGTGGTGGCTGCCTTAGGAGATTACCTTGTGTGTTCTCGCATCACCCGACATGTTCCTGAGCCCATGGCCACGTGATGTCTGAGGACATTAATATACATCTGGAGCAAGGCGCAGGAGGTCGAGTGCGAATGCTCGTGCTTGCTACTCGCTATGCAGTTAACGGTGTTCGAGGACCACGAGCCGACCCTGTCTTTGCGATTTGGGCTTGGTACAAGAAACACAGCTGCTGAAACTTCTTCGGTTTCGGTGACCCTGAGCCCCCTAAACCCGAAACCCTCAGAAGTCCTCAAAGCCCCCGAAAGCCCCGAAAGTGAGGATAGATCCCAGAATCGAGGCAGCATGCATTTGGTAGCGGAATCTGGCATAACTGGCATGTTCCTCCCCCAAGCAAACAGCCTTTCTGACGAAACCCACTCAGCTTGACTGCGAGCCACCTCGATTCTCGTCCCACCTGAATGTCAGCGTGCTGCTTCAGCGCGCTGCCGCGCGCTGATGCAGAACCCATATCGAGCTGGGATGGCTATGGAACCCCTCGAAGACATAGCACCTATAAGTATAACATATACTGTTTTGTAGCGTAGCCGCTGTAGTGCTATGAATGCGGCGTGTCTGTTGACAGTTCCCCGAGCGGCCCTGCCATGGAGTAACGAAAGCCCACCGTACGAGCCCAGAGAGACAGAAGAAGGAGAAGGAGGGAGAAGGCGTGCGTGATAGCGGGGACGGAGAGCGTGAGAGTGAGAGAGAGGCGGTCTGTGTTCTTTGCGGCGATCCTACCGCCTGCGGTCGCCTTCGAGCTCGTGTGGCCGGGAGCTGATCTGTTTCGCTTGAATGCCCCAATTGAAGGCTGCTGCTTGTGTGTAGCCAGGCTGAAAGAGGCATAGCCGATCTCACTACAACCAGTGTTGGAGACCCTAAACCCTAAACCCTAAACCCTAAACCCTAAACCCTAAACCCTAAACCGGAGAGAGAGAGAGAGAGAGAGACAGAGAGAGAGTCACTCCTCTCTGGACCGCTGAGGCCCATCCTGACCTTTGTTTGCCTCTGCATCTCATCGGCCCAAGGGCCCTGCTCCAAAGAGCTGAGACAGAGCTGCCGCTGGATGGCGATTTTGGGGGGCAGGCATATGGACACACCCTTTTTGTACCTCTGTACGTGTTTCGTGCTCTTTTGGATTCGTAGTTCTATACTATCCCTTGCTCATCCGGCTTGTCCCTTTCGGGGTCCTCTGTGGCCGCACGATGACAGAGTGGTGTCTCAGAGCTGTTGGGATGCCAGTGAGAGTGTCGAAAGCAGAGCGATGAGTAAGGCTGGCTTCTCTTGACGCCCTACTTCCTCCAAGCGCCCTGGCAACGCAACGGCCCACCTGGTATGCTGGGCTTCTCCATCGCCAGGGCTACTGAACAGTCCGGCAATGTCTGACCCAGCCTGAAGCCAGCATTCGCTCGGAAGCTTGGCGGGGATGAGTTGCAAAGGGTGCTGCACTGAATTTGCATTGCAGGTGTTTGGTATCTTCATGAGCATCATCTGGCCGTGTCTGAAGCCGATCCTGTATCGAACAGGACGTGTCACCTTGCGGAGTAGTACGAAACTCTCCCCATCAGCTTTCAGCTCAGAACTAGGGACCGCGACCTGCGTTTTGAGATGTTCTGCTTGGCGAACGTCCCTGCTTTCATGGCATGGCCGAAGTTGCGGGAGGTGAACCTAAAGCTCAGAGGCTTTTTAGAAGCTATTAACTACTCAACTATTCAAGATTCAAGATGCTTCAGCCTTTCATGCGTGCGACCCGGAGGAGTCATTGCAGACCCTGGCAACCGCACACTGGAGTTCCAGCACGTCAACTTTCGCGCCGAGGCCAGGGACAGGTTCCCGTGATCACCCCCTTCTGACATTGCTATAATGTGTGCATATCGCTCGCATCATCGAGAAGATACATTGCAACTGCAACATGCCGCATGAGCCGTCTGGGGCACTCATCTGAACATTGTTCGGAATCGGGTCCTGCAAACAGTTCATAAGGCCTCCTCCAAGCGCTCCGCCTCTGACAGGACTTCGTTGAAGACGAGGGCGGCTACCCTGCGAGCTGCTCCATCTGCTTGGTACCCCAATTTGCAATACGGTTTAGGGGCTTTAGGGTGTAGGGTCCAGCGAGTTTGCCGACTTAAGCTGCGGTGGCGCGTGACTCTGCAGGTAGACTTCTCTGCAGACGACACGGACGGGGGCTGCAAAAGAAGGGATGCCCAAAGCGACCAGAAGCCGAAAAGCCACGGAAGTAGATTCGTCTGTTCTCCATAGCACAAAGCTCCAGGACACTGTGTGCAGTAACTGTTGTTTTACTGTTGTTTTGTGCCGCGTGCATCGATGGGAGCCTTCTTGGCTGTGCATGAGTCAGTCAGGCTTGCAGCGATCTGACTTCAAACGTGCCTTGTCCAGGACATCGTCGTGACGCCCTGCAGCGGGCAAAAGCACGTTTTTCACAGGCGGCTCATGCGCAGCAGCAAAGCCACAACGCGGAGAGTCCGTCCCTTTTATAAGTTATTAGTTCTCATTCCAGCAGCAATTCCTTGGCTGCGATGCCAGGACCTGCTAGCGAGTACAATCTTCATGGGAAGGGTCGTCACAAGGGAACGCCAGCAGAAGTTGCAGGCATTCGTACTCTACTGGTAGAGCTTTCGGATTTGAATGCCGAATGCACGCCGAGACGAAGCTAGCACTGATGGTTGGTCAGGCTTCAGCTGTCGAAGGTTCACTTAGGAACACAAATTGTGGGACGGGGTTCGTGCCCGCGACAACCACAATATTCTACACGAGTGCTATTGTGTGATCATAAGTATATATATATATAATATAATAAGTATATATATATAATATAAGTATATATATATATATATATGTGTACATACATATACATATATTTGCGCGCATATGATTCCTGAAATATTGATGCGTATGTATACTAGGCTCCTTTTGGGGATACTGGTAGAGACCCCGCTTATGAGGCCTTCGGACCCCAAACCCCGGTACACTGGAGGGCCTGCTTGGCGTCCTGGTTCCGTGTCGCCCAAACGTGCGCCTTGGCCATTGATTATTGCAGTTTCGTGGGACACTTTCAAAGATTCCTCTGAGGCTTGAAAGGGAGGGGCCCGTGTGAAAGTAGTGGACTTCCTCCATTCCCAGCGATAAACCGCGTCGGGCTTCGGCTTTCGCAGAGGTCCCCTTTGCCGCACTGCCCTGGGTGGCGGAGTGGCTGGACTGGGAGCACAGTCGGCGCGCCAGCCGCTCCAGCCGGCCCCGCCTGCGCAGCTCAGACGGGATATTTACATGGGAGGGCTCTTTGTAAGGCATGTTCCTACAGTATCGCTGTTGCCATTCTGCACGTTAACTCTTCGTCATGCCTGCAAGATTGGACTAGGGCGCAATGGGAACTCACCCCTGTGTAAGGCAGAACGCACAGGAGCCGGCAGCGAACGAGGCTTCCCAACCCTGAGCCGTCTCCACGACCTCCTCGGGCGCCTCCAATCTGAGAGAAGAATTTGGCCGTCACAGTGATGCTCGCAGTTGCCAGGAACTCAGCTTCGACAAGGGCTGAGGCGGTTGAGACTTTTTTTTCCGTCGTAAAGAGGTTCGGCCGTCCGATGTGGCGAATCGCTCTCGTGCTTACGTTCCATGCAAGCGGTAGAAGCTGGGCGCTTTTCGGCAAGAGCACATGATCGCACTTGGCTTCTAACTCGTGCGAGCCTGGGGACTGTATATGTTGATGTCTATGTGTCGATGTCTGTAGCAACTTCAGACAACTTCTGTCCTGGCAGGCTTGGGGGAAGTTGCTCCCTCCGTGAGCCACTTGGGCTCGTAGGAGCCAGTCATCGGGGACACTCCTCCGTACAGGGTGGTGAAGTTCTCTCCAGGCCCCATCGCAAGGTGAAGCGTAGCCGGCGTAGCCAGGAGTGCCCCTGTGACTGGGAAGCATCGTTTTCACAGGTTAGTCCCAGCGGAGGTGGCCCGATGTGCTCAGGGCATGGCTTTGGACCCCTGCCTTTAGCCGACTTTCACCCGTGGCAGAAACAGGACAATTGCCGAGGGGAAAAAGGCTGTGGGTCGTGTCTGGGTACCTGAGTACTGACTACCCTCTGAGACCTCTAAATTGTCGATATTTTGACGAGACCACATCCGGATTGCTGGCTCATACTCTCCTGCTCGCTGCCTCGGGCTCAAGTTTCACTACCCCCCAGGTCCGTGACGCCCAACAGCAGTCGGCTGGTCTGCAGTAGACAGGGCCAGCACACGTCATAGGATCTGCAACGGGTGCTGCATGTGTTTTTGGAGTAAGGAGAGGTGACGTGAGACGTCAGAGAGAGCAGACAAGCTCAACCGGAATTCCCACTTTCTGAGGTCTATCTCAAAATGCCGACTGGCAAGTTGAAGAAATTCGTCTCCGACAAGGCACTCCCGTCAGAAGACCTCCATGGAAGCAAAACAGAACGGCAACCATGTATAGGATTTCTGCGCAAAGCGGAGGCAACCCCTACAGGCACCCCTGTATAGCCCCGACCCTGGTCTGCGCAGGGCTTCGGCTTCATCACGCCCGACGAGGGTGGCGACGATGTCTTTGCGCACCCTGAGCGCGCAAAGAGCTTTCGGAGAGACTTTAGGATCCCTGGGTCTTCAAATTTCCGGTTGAAGCTTTAAAACCCCTGAAGCCCTGCAGCTTTAAAACCCCCTGAAGCCCTGCAAGTGGCCTTGGCACGCTGAGGAAGGCCGGCCCTTCACCCCCCCACAAGGGGACTCGGAGCCTACGTTAGTCGGATAGGTCTGGCCTTATAAGTGTTTCCAAGAGGCTTATTGCAAGCTGCTGCCAGGCATACCTTGCAGTTCAGCGGTGACGGTGACTCGCTCAGGGGCGGCGAGCGCGTCACGTATGAGGCCGCTCATGCTGCATGGGCCGTGCCGTGCTCTTGCACCTGAGTCACCTGAGCACCTTGTGTGTGTGTGTGTGTATGTGATGCCACCGCTTCTAGGCTTTTGAAACTTCATGGCTCCCAGAACCTGCATACATCAAGCTCGTTGCTGGGGCATTGGGGGCCTGAAGCCGTACTGTGCCAAGCTTTCCGTCTGCACAGCCTTGTGTCAGGCCGAGTGGGATGACCGAAAGGGCAAGTCGCTGGCTTGGAATTTTGTTTTCTGCTTCATGGTGTAAGCCGTGCTACTGTCTTGATGAGAGTGATGTGGATCCTTTCTGAGGGCTCAGGGCCCCCCACACCCCCAGATATATGTCCTGCGACGGTTTAAGTCAAAGGTACAGGGCTTCATCCTGGGCTATCGACATGAGCGGTGGCAACGCAGTGCCTGAGCTGCAAGAGGGACCGCCCTTTAGCTCTCAGCTCTCCTCAAAAGGAGCGAACCTTTGCCCAAACCCTTTGCCTGAACCCACGAAAGGCTGCGGGGACTTACATAGGCTGGATCAATGATGATCAGTGCCACCTCTCTCCTCCTCTGGAGCGTTTGGGGACATTTGGCCTCCCCCCCCCTCTTTTTCTCAGGTAATGCACAGTGGAGTGCTCAAGAAGTTCTTCCCGGATAAAGGCACAGCTGCGTAGGGTGTGCTTTTGTTGGAGCAGCAGTTATCTGAGAGATGGCTGAGAGTCCGGGACTTTGGGTGTTCTGGGCATGCGGGACTCATGGATCTTGCTAGTGTGGCGATCGTGCTCTGTTTTCCGACGGGTCCGGTGCAGCCAAGACACCTGAAATCGTGCGAGGATTCGGGTTCATCGAGCCTCAAGACGGCAGTGAGGACCTCTTCGCGTGCCACAGCGAAAGATTCGTGTTTCGAGAGTTCCAGAGGTGCACAAGGTTCAAGAAAGCTGTCAGGCAGCCTCAGGGTGGATCCGCTGCAAAGCCAATGGATGAACAAGAGATGATTTAAGTTGCTTCTCCAGCCAGATGTCTAAGTCTCCCACGGGGTGTTGCTGCTGACTGCTTCCCACTTGGACAGCAGGACTCAGGAGGCCCCAATTCCTCGCTCTTGACAGCCAAGGCATTCACGACAGTTCACAGGGGGTGATCCCACGAACTTGACCGACGGCATCAAGGTTAAGTGCCTGGGACAGCGGACATAGAGGGCATGGGGATTTCTGAAGCACGCGCACACTGCGGGCAGATGTCAGAGTTTAGAATTGGACGATCGGTGACTGGTATACGCATCGGGCTTGCAAGCTGCTTCTCTTTCCAGAACGCTTCACGAATCTGAGGTACGAGGTGGAATGGGACGCAAAGAAGGGCAAGAACAAAGCAGGACTCGTGACATCTCCGAGTCTCCCAGTCGCTTCCAAAAAAATCTCCTACTTCATGCGGAGTCGACTACTGAGTGAACACTGTATATATATATATATGTTCATTTACAGTTATTTATTTGTATACATGTATAGACCCATTACGGCGGCCTGGGCCCAGCGCAATGAGCTCCAGGATCCTGGTGCCTCGACAACGGCGAGGGCTTCGGTGGTTTTGGGGGCTGCGGGGGCTGTGGCGGCTGCTGCGGCGGCTGCGGCTGTGGAGGGTGCGGCGGCTGCGGTGGCTGTGGAGGTTGCTGTGGCGGCTGCGGTGGTTGCGGCTGCGGAGGTGGGGGTTTTGGTATGCCCCAGCAAGGCTTTGGAGGTGGCATGGGCGGCTGCCCCTCAGCTGCATTCGGGCAAATTACACTGCAGTTGCACAGAAAGGAAACAGTACCAGCATGTTCCATGTTTTTTTCGGGGGGCCGGTGACGGTCGTTACGCTTTCACACGCGTTATACGCTCGGACCATGCATCCTATATAGTCCCAGCGCGAGTGGGAGCTGTTGCGGCATTGGCGGGTTGGGCTAAGCAGCAAAGAAAGCAGAGTGGGGCAAGTGGCTGGTCATGATTGCTGTGGCCTCGTGTTTGCCCCTGCAACGAAGTCATTCAAAGCATGCCGTGTGATACTATGTACATGTATGTGTATAGTGTATATGTGTATATGCATTATGTGCATTATGTGCATTGTGTGCATTGTGTGCATTGTGTGCATTATGTGCATTATGTGCATTATGTGTATTATGTGTATTATGTGTATTCTGTGTATTACGTGTATAATGTGTATTATGCGTATTATGTGCATGTATGGATGTGTATATTTGTTCTGATGCTGCAGGTCCCCAATACGGTGGCCAAGGCTTCGGAGGGCCTGGCAATGGATACGGCCCAGCCCCTTGGTGCGATTCTTTACTTCTTCGGTGGGCTGAAAGGGGGCCGGGGGGGGGGGCCTTCATAAGTCTCATCTTGGGATGTGTCCCCCTTATACTAACAGCCCTACTGGTAGTACCCCCCCCATTTTTAAATCCCTGTTAAGGACTGTTAGTAGAAGGGGGAACATCCCAAGTCTCTCTATGTTTCTGCTCCACTCCTAGTGACGCCAGTCCCTGCACCGCATCTTTGAGAGCCCACGCATTCTGTTTTGAGAGCCCAGGATCCGGAAAAGAGAGGTCAGCTCCTGGCTAGCGAGTCCATGCACCCCTCGAAAGCTGCTAAAACAAGGGGGGGTTTACGAAAATAGGGTACCTCTGAATAGGGTACCCCTGAATAAGGAGCCCCGAAAAGTAGGCTCCCCTTTTCATTAGGACCCCAACAAGGTAACCATAAAATCGTAAACCCCCACCTCTCTCTTTGTCTCTCTCGCTCTCTCTCTTTCTCTATCTCACTCTCTCTCTGTATCTCTCTCTCTCTCCTCCTCTCAATCGAGCCTTCGTCTTTGGACAGCCAGGCCAGCACGCCTCAGAATGACCCGCGCTTCTCTCCCTACGGAGCACCGCAGGGCGGCTTCGGAGGCCTCTTTGAAACCCCCTGAAGCTTCGCCCCCACTCTATGCCATATACACCCTCATCTGATGACACACAGGGCTTCCAGAGTGCCGGGTTGGACAAAACTTCCTGAGCAGCCAGAGCCCAAAAAATCTCCAAGTTCAACATGTGGGGCCTTTGGGGCCTTTGCGGTATCACAGGCAGTTCGGTTCAGGGGGCGCCTTTTGAAGGGGAACCGTTTGAGCTGCTCCGCCAGGAGGCCAGGGCATGAACCAGGGACCGAGCTCCTCCCTCCCTCCAGGCGCATGGGCGACGAGCATTGTTGGGGTGGGAGGGGGTAGGGGGCTGGGAGGTTGCAGAGGCTTGCCGCGTGTTTCATCGGGATTGGGTTCAAGAGGCAGCTGTGGGGTCAGCTGCATGGGCTTTTCATTGTTCAGCGCGTAGACGTTCATGTAACGGTGCCCCAAAAGCAGGTCTTATACGCGTTGTGACAAGCGAGTGCTCATGGCGCCGTGCTTGGAGCTGAGGTTGGGAACAGACCACCGATCCAAACAGTCGCAGCCCAAATCAGCGGGTCTGGGTTCTCGTTGGCTTGCCCAGCTTGCCAGGAGTTCAAACGAGATAGAGCATTTTCTCAGAAGATCTCCGGTTCATGGTTGCAGCCGTGTCGTGTGCACCCTGCATCCTTCAGCAGCTGTGGTGAGAATAGCATGATGCGATGCCTTCAGAATGTGAGGTGGGAAGACCTACTACTTCAACCGCAGCACCAACGAGACCAGCTGGACCCCGCCGGCGGCACAGGCATCAGTACCAGCTCCGCAGGCAGGGATACGAAACGCTGGCCGCACACATTGGCCTGAGATGCTAAGTGAGATCCTCTGAGGCCCACTTAGAAGCAATCTGAGCAGTGGGGGGGGGGGGGGGTTGTCGAATGAAGTGCTGAAACTTTGAGGGGGTGAGGGTCCTATAGAGCATTAAAAAGAGCATGCGGTCCAGGCTGCAGGCGCTCTGCCACCGGGCTGGGAGCAAGCCACCGATCCCAACAGCGGCAAGCCGCAAAGCCGGCATGTTTGAAGTGCTTTGGGGGCCACTGCTCGTCGTTTATGGTTTACAAGAGTCTGTCGGAGTCTGTCGGTGACTTGATGAGTGGGTCTTCTTCCTCTTGGCACATTGGTATAGCTTCAGTAGAAGTTCCCCAACTTGGAGCATGATGCCACGCTGCGAGGTACTACTTCAACAGGTCGACGAACGAGACCAGATGGGAAGCGCCGACCATGTGAGAGTGGCCGTTGAACGGGCCCTTTCCAGTTATCGGGCTCAGGCCATACGCCGGCTCACGCCATGAAATGCCACAATTATGGTATACAATGACAGGCATGTGCCACCAAAGCCCCGAGAACTCTCTGAAGGGGCCCCAAGCTCAAGCTGAATGCGTGTAAAACCAGGGGCCGCTATGCCGACCCAATCTATGACTCTATGAACCTCCGAAAGGGCCTCCACATGGGTCGTTCCAGGGGCCCTCGTGGGTCTGCAGGGCGTTTTGCCTATTAGTCACGCCTAGACTCTGACCTAGCTACGCCATGCGTCCTTCGCAGGAGTTCTACGCCTTGGGCTACTTTAATACCATGTTCGGGTCCCCTACTCCCTCTGAAGTACCGCTTGTGGGACAGCCCCAGCGGTGCGGGATTCATCCCTCAGCGGGGTTCATATTACTGCACATTAGAAATCGAGAGGTTGCCGTGCATTTTGGAATCTGCGTGAGAGACAGCAAAAAAATGCTTGCGTCCGGCCACTGCAGTTGCTTGGTTGGAGGCCTTGATGGTTTCTCATCTTCAGAATTTGGTGTTGCACTGTGTGCGGAGTGCGTGGGGTCGAGCCACCCATGCGCAATCGGAGTCTTCATCGAAGTTCCGCGAGGACCGCCTTTCGCCGCAATAGGAGTCGGAGCCGGTAAAGGATGCCCTGCAAGGTGTGGGTTCGAGCTCGAGAGGACGGATCCTAAGTTTAAGTTGAAACTCCCACATCAGAGTCTTCTGTACTTCTTCCCTCCCCGTGCGTTGGTGAAGCACGTGATATCATTGCATGGACATTCTTAGATTACCATATGATTCTACGAATATGTACCATCAGATGCTTCGATATTTGCATTACATTATTCTATGATTTTAACTGTAAACGCTTGCGCGCGCCGCCTCGGCAGCCGGGCCGGCCCCAGGAGGTTGGGGGGGGGGTTGGGGGGGTGGGGGGGGGGGGGGGGGGGGGTGGGGGGGGGGTGGGGTTTGGGGGGGTTGGGGGGGGGCGGGGTTACCCCTCCACGGCATCGGTTTGCAGCTCCTCCAAGCGATGGGGGAGGGGTCCCACAGGGGGGGGTCGCGTCACATAATTTTGCATGGGTTGGGTTAGGGGGAAGGAGATCCGGGTCTGCTTGTTCCAGACGCTTCTCGGCAGGAAGCCGAGGCGAAGATTGTGTTATTGTGCTAGTATGTCACAATGTCATTATGGTATTGAACCCTCTGCCCAAAAGTCCCTTTTAGGGTTTATAGGGTTTGTTCCAGTCATTGTGGTATTGAACCCTCTGCCCAAAAGTCCCTTCTAGGGTTTATAGGGTTTAGGGTTTAGGGAAGAGCACGAGTCCCGACAAATGCACAGGTGGTTGTGCGCTTACCTTTGGCTCAAACGCGAGTTCTTGCCGCTGCCGCCTGGAGGATTTAGGGTTTTAGGGTTTAGGGTTTAGGGTTTAGGGTTTAGGGACTACTTGCTCAGGGATGTCAGGGTCCATTCCTGGAAGTTGAGCCTCAAACTCGGTGTCCAGCTTCTTGGGCCTCGGCTTTGGCAGTCCACATATCTATATATCTATATATATATATATCTTATTATATACAGTATATATATATATACATGTTAGCATGTAACACTACAAAACCCGAAACCCTAAATCTGGACTGGCTAAGTTTTTTTCCCAGGATTTCAGCGAAGACATGGCTTCCATGGCCGGGGGCTCACACGGGGGGCTTTCAGGGGCTAGCCTAGAGTTTTGGGTTTAGGGTTTAGGGTTTATAGGGTAAGTTCTAGGACTCGCCGGATCCTGCCCCCCCTCCCAGACCCCCGACCCAGATATCCCCAAGCCACAAGCTCATCGGGCAAACCGACAAACCACAGCCAATAACCTAAGGTAGGGTTTATAGGGTTTATAAGGTTTACAGGGTTTGTAGGGTTTATAGGGCTTATATGAGGTTTGCGGAGGTTACATGGTCCCTTTACCTTCTTTAAAGGGTTCCGAGGTATGAACCCTTGGGTTCTTGAGGAGTCCGCCATTGTCGTTATGCGTGCGGTGTTCTTTGCAAACAGAGGGCTGCGGCCCCCGACCCTCGCGGTTACCATCCGTGCAAGCTTGCTTGGGGGAACATCACGTGCGAATGAGGTTTTCCTGCTCAAGTATAGAGCACCTATCGCGTCTCTGGAAACCTCAAGCATAGCCCTGCGTAGGAGAACTTTTCATGGATATCAAAAAACATGGCATGGAGTGGGAGATCCAGAGACCCGTGGAAAGACCATATGCAGCATCCGAGGAATGAAGGTGCGCAGGCAACCCATGGAAGAGCCCGGCCCAAGCTTCAAAAAGTGCACGGGACATGGGCGGGAGCACGATTTGACACCCCGAGACCATTCCTAGGCCACTTCAGGAGCACCCATAAACACTTCACGAGGCGGACCGAGGGGATCTTTACTCGCTTGTGACTTTTGTGGCCCCCTTGTGATTTTTCATGCTCTCTCGCTTGTGACTTTGTCGCTGTTCACAGCCAAAACTCTGCGCGGTGCTTTAAAATCGCCTCACTCGCTTGCGCCTGTGTTGTCGTTGTTACCAGCCAAGACTGTGCATAGGACCCTCAGAAGCGCAAGCTGAGTCCCTGCACGCTTGACTGAAAGAAAGCGTGTCCGAGGTTTTTACCCCATAGATTGCACTTCCAGGGACCTTGTACTCAGGTTGCTAGAACCCTTTAGGACACAATAAAAACATGATGTAGGGTGTAGGGTCTACCGGTTCTACACAGTGCCAGGCGCAGACCGACGAGGCCGGTTCTTTTCTTGAACCTTTGTGTTTGCGGCGTTCTTGGGAATGCATGGAAGGAAGCAGCGGCATCGCTTGCGGGTCATTTCGTCGATTGGTTCTTTGTGGAGCTCGTAGGGTTTCGGGTCGAGGCTTTGTGGGGGAACGAATGCTAACCATTATAAACGATTTGGCATATTGGCTGCTGCTTGAAAGTTGGTGTACCTGCACCTAAACCCGAAAGACCTGAACCCCATAACCTTGAACCCTGCCCTCAAATATCTCCCAGCAAAGCCTAGGGCTTAGGGCCTATAGGTCCTAGCTTTGTGATTTGAGCGCTGATGGTTCGGTATACGACCCTATAAACCGGCCAGAACCTTGAACAATTGCCCTAAAGCAAGAAAGCCTAAAGTTCCGAAATCCCTCCAACTTCACACCCACCGGGAAAAATGCAAACTAACCGGAGGTCACCGCATTGGATACAGCCAGTTGCCGTAAGACACGCTTGGTGCAATAACCGAACTGCACCAGAGCTTTCCCAAGCTCATCACAAGCCAGACTTACGGCAAACTTCTCGGGGGTCGGCGTTGCTCTACGTGAACGTGAACCTCCAGATTTCCCGCCCCTATCCCTCAAAAGCTGAACCTAGTGGTATACGGACATTTTTGGGGAAAGTGTTGGCCAATTGGTAGTAGGGGTCCGTTTTTCTTCTAGTATATCCTATGTTCTAGTTAAAATAGCAAGGGCACAGGCATGACCAGCAAGGCTGGAATACGGTCGCCCGCGTCGTTTGGAGCAGCATCCCAACCTGAAGAAAGTAGAAGATTTCGACGTTGAAATTCCGGCCACTTGTCGACTTTCTTGGTGTTCGTCCTTCATATCCCCTTGGGGACGTTCTGAGCGCAGCGCCGCTCGAGGCCGGCTGGACTTCCTCATTGATTAATCTGCTCCCTCGAATAACGAACGTCCAACATATGGCATGAGGGGGGGTGGGTTGACTTCGGAGCACTTTATTTTGAGGGAGGGAGGGAGGGCGGGTTTGAGGGTCCAGCGTTGTGGGATGAGGGTGGAGGGTTTAGGATTGAGGATGTAGGGTTTGTTGATTACGGTGGAGGGCTAAGGTTTTTTGAGGGCTTACGGCTTTGGCAAGCTTCAGGAGGACGAGCTCAAGCGGCTGTGGGCTTGCGACTCAGAGTTTGGGTGTAGGGTTTCTGAGTCACAAGGAGTCAGCTTCAGAGGGGGCCCCCAACGGTGCACTTCGGAGCCCTTTTGAAGGCTGGATTGCATGCCAGTGGTATGCTATATGTTACACTGAAGTGTGGTGTAGTATTCCTCAGTGTTCTCCGGAGTACTTGGGTGTAGGCGTGGGATCTATGGGTTAAGGCTGAGGGGTCTAATGGTTTTAGTGTTCAATTCACAAGACGAGGGTTTGGGACGTGCTTAGGAAAAGGGGATTGCCACTTCACCAAGCTTTCGGAAGGATCTGTTCGGCAGTTTTCAGGTTCAGGCCCACCCCTTCCCCCGATTGGTTGCACTTGAGCACCTCAGAAGGGGACAGCATCCTTCAACGAAGTGTTGCGAAGTTTTTTTGGGGCACGTGTGCGTGTGTGTGTGTGTGTGTGTGTCTCGAGGGGCGATGCAGCCCTTGGAAGTAACTCAGCGTCTTGGCAGCATGTCTGGGTCTCCCGCGTCAGCACATCCCGGCTCCAGCGCCAGATCGCTTTGCCATCTCTCCCTGACCTACCGTGCATCCAGCTCGGATCCATGAAGACTGCATGTGTTGTGGCTTTCTTTTTTTAGGGCTTTCGGGCCTTTCAGGAGTCCTGAAACCCAGCTGGTCGAGGCAATGCACGCCGCCGAAGTGTGTCAGGTAGCCTTGTCCAAGGGGACCTCTCCGTGGACGGAGGCGCCTTCATGATCGAGATCAAGACTGACCACAGGATGGGATGCTACGTTTTTGAGGTGAACGGCGAAGGCAAGATCCAAGACATCAAGGTTTGGATGGGTTCCCTGCAAGGCGTCGACGTGACCGACGCTGGCCTGACGGACGTCGACGGAAACCAGACTTTACTGCAGCATCCAGGCGAAGAGCCCTGGTGGTAAGTGCCCTGGTCCAACTTTCTGATTGTTGTTTTTGTTTGTTTTTGTTGATGCAACCTGTTGAGGTTTTGATTTGCAAGACTTGTTTCAAGCTCCAGGCTCGATTGAGACGGAGTGCCATCAATCCAGAATCCGACCGTCGTCGCAGCAGATGCGCAGGTTCAATGCATCTGATGAGAAGCTGAAAGCGTTGGACTTGGATGCCGTGGTGGCCCTTCTCGGAAAGGACGGCTACTCGGCCGCCAAGGCAAGCAGATCTCGCAGAGGAGTATCGCAAGTACCTGACCCTGGCTAGCACCGAATCTAGCCCGGTGCCGTCGAAGAAGGTGGACGACGCATGGCACCCGCGCATCCTGAACACCAAGAAGTACCAGGCAGACACCCAGGCGCTCTTCGGCCACTTCCTCCATCATCACGAGCCAGCGAGCCTTCTACTGGACTTGCAGGGCATGGAGGAGTAGAAATTCTCCATGAACGACATGTTTCCACAGACCAAGGCCCACATTATTGACTACTTTTGCCGCGTCGATGAAGGTGCGTGGTCCAAGGATAAGAAGGATGCCTTTGGGCTCTGCATGTGCATTTGCGGCTGCGATACGGATGCGCATGTGGCTTGTGGGTGCAGAAAGCCCCCCAACACCTTGGCCTCAACGAGTCTAGTCTCCATTTGCCTGCCCGCAGGCTTCCTTTGGCTCGGGCTTCCTGTGCATTGTTCCTTCTGCAGGAATACTTTCTCTGCATTTCTCGGGCCCTGCCAGATGCCTGAGAGTTGAGGATGTCAACGTGTTCCAATGCGTCTCACTTCAGGACCCAGGTGTCCAGTTTCTGCTTTGGCACATCGTGACGCCCGACCTTCGCTGTGCAATCTGAATCAAGTTTCAAGTTCCGCGGCCGCTATAGTTGTCGGAGCCGGCAAAAGGTGCGCTGCGAGATGTGGATTCGAACTCGAAAGGACGGCTCCGATTGAAAGTCCCACATCAGTGTCTTCTGTAACTTCTGTACTTCTTCCCTCCCTGCGTGCTGCCGAGCAAACCTTTGAGGGCAGTACACTTCATCTTGCACACAAAGCCTGAACCCAAATCTCTATCAGCCCTAGCGACCCTAGCCATGTAACCCTTAAACCCCAATAAGACCCGACTCCTACTGCAACCCCCCTATGTCCCCAATCCTGTACATCAATGCGAACTCTTCGGAAAGTCCCCCCGACAATCCCCACACCTCTCACTCCAAATGCTCTCGAACTTTTCGAGCTCATGCGCAAGATGGGGGTGGGCGATGGGTTCACATCTTTGGAAACCGGGTTTGGGCCCTTGGGGCCCAGCACATCGTTTTATGCTCCTGGGGGGGCCGTCGAGGGTCTGAGCGAGGGAGTGTCCAGGGATGTGTTTTTGTCAGGCAATTTGGGGGGTCTTAGAGGTGGCAAGTTGAGTCTGGACAAAGACTCAAGGTCCGTCGATCTCACGGCTTTGGGATGAATGGGCGCAGGCTCTTTTGCACATCTCTCCAATGAGACTCCATTGGCGGTGTTGCCGGTCGGCCATGCCGCTCGCCGCCGTCCTCCTGAGTGTGTTTCTGCAGACTGGAGCGGTCCAGTTTGATGCGCACTTCGAAGCAGCACAAGTGAAGAACAACGTCTCATGGGCAAAAGAGGACTCCCAGATCAATGGAAAGCTGAAAGCCCTTGAGGCAAAGTTCAAGAAGAAGCCCAACATCATTTACATCCTTGCAGATGACATTGGCTTTGGAGAGCTGGGTTGGCAGGGTGGAGGAAAACATCGTGGTACTCCTGGACCTGGATTAGATGACATGGCCTATCAAGGCATGCGGTTTTGGTCCTCCTACGCGGAGCCCTCCTGCACCCCCAGTCGGGTTGCCATCATGACGGGCCGTCACCCGGTGCGCACCGGGTTGACCACGGTGCTGTGGCCAGGGCAGCCGGATGGGCTCAGCCCCGCAGAAGTCACGCTGCCCGAGGTCTTGTCTGCTGCGGGCTACTCCACGGCCATGTGGGGCAAGTGGCACTTGGGTCGCTTGGAGCGCACATGGCAACCAAAAAAACAGAGAATCGCCCCTGAACATATCCGCTGAGTCTGAGCCAAAAGCCATCCCAGTCTTGCTTCCAAGGCGTTTTTTGCTCCTAGGGTTGGAGGAGGGTTTGGGTGAGGGAGCCTGAGCCTAGTAGTAGTTGGACTACATGGTGGAGATGGTAGTCGCACGAATTGCGCTTTTCCATTCAGTGTGCGATAAGGCCTACAGAGCTATAGAGCACCTGAGTGCACTTGCCCTTGAGATGAAGACAGAGGTCCCAGGGGTCTAAAGTAAAAACGGTGATCGTACGGGTCTCATTGTTTTGCTTGCCGCATTTTCTTGAGTCGGCTCTCGGCTTGGCATTCAGAGTTCATCTCTCCAGCTCCCATGTGCACATCTTCATTAGCTCCACCTGAAACCCTATAACTATAACACACGTGATCCTTGAGTGTGCCATTTTCCGTGAGGTGAGGAGCCGGCGCATGCTCCGGAGAACCAGGGCTTTGAGTATGCCTACTATGGCCTCTTCAATGGGGCTCCCGACATGTGGCCCGATTCCGACACGGTGGCTCCGAACTCCAATCCGGCGTTCTTGGATTTTCCGGGGGTGGAGGCCTACAAGGAAGACACGGGGATCGATTTGTCGGTCTCGGCCTACGTGGGCCGCAAAGGGGCGACTCGGGAGCCGATTGAGGGCTTGGCGGGTAAGCCAGGGCCGAAGAGGCAAGATGCCTTTGAAGAGGAATCCATCACTCAGATCTTGAAATATGTGAAAGAGAAAGCGAATGACGCAAAGCCTTTCTTCATCTATTGGGCCACATATGCTCAGCAACTGTGCGGCGTCTCCTCGCACATGAACGAGAAGCATGTGGACCGCCTGAACTCCCAGGCGTCGATGATGGCGGCGCATTCCTCGTATGTGACAAGACTCCTGCAGACCCTGAAGGATGAGAAGATCGCGGAAAACACCTTGGTCGTGTGGATCTCGGACAACGGCCCGATGTACGCCTTCTACCCCAACAGTGGCTACTCCTGGCTAAAAGGTGGGAAAGGCTCAGTGTGGGAGGGTGGCGTGCGAACGCCAGCCATGGCCTGGTGGCCCGGGATGATTCAAGCGAACCAGGACTTGGAACCCCAAAGGGCTTAGACTCAAAAGCTGTCGGAACATGCCCCCCGTGTCTTTTTTGTTGTTGTTGTTTTTTTTTCGGCTCTTGTGTCCAAGACCCCTTACTGTAATGCATGTCATACGACTGCTTCTCGTTGAAAGTCCATAAAAGGTAGTGTGACGAAGGCAAGGGCGAGTGCATGTCCGCATGCAGAGCCGTTCACTAATGTCAAGGCCCTCCCAACCGAAGGTCTTAGAATGAGCAGAACACAAAGGGCTAGTTGTCACAAGGGCGCCTTGTTTTGGAGATTTTTCTGAGTTTGCGACTCACAGGACCCCGTGGACCTCCTTCAGATCACCGATCTCTACACAACCGCAGCTCGTTTGGGCGGCGCCTTGGACCACATCCCCTCGGATCGTGTCACGGACGGTGTGGATCAGGCGGCTTTGCTGCTGCTTGGGGAAGGACATGGGCGCAGAACGAAGATCTTCCACTACAGTGGTGATCATTTGGGTGCCCTACGACGCGGGGACGTCAAGGCGCACTTTCTTGGAGGTGCTTCAGGTGGTCTGCCAAAGATGGAGGCATACAATGTCATGCACTCAGTTGGTGCATGCTCAAGTGGAGACAAGCACAATGGCGCCCAGTTGTTGTGGTGCAGAAGTTCACAGCACAATTTGAATGTAGACACTCTCACTTCGAAGGACTTGATTCGTGATAGCTGGCCAGATGGCTTGCCTTGTTGATCCGATTTTGGGTTGGCCTTTTGTTCAGGACTCACTGTGAGGCAAGATTCGTAATCAGGTGATGGTATGTGATGGTTTTTCACAGGTCCGGTGAAGGTAATGAGTAGTGCAGGGACATGGTCAGCGCGGGAGTTTGATTCGACTTGACAGCGTTTGGGGCGCCCTCTACAGCATTGCACATGCGAAGCAACACGCCACCGACAGGTCGCATTTCTTTTGATCAAAGATGAACCTGTAGTCCTCAGAACGAGGGTGGCTGTAGGCAGTGACCTGTGCACGAAGCGAACTGAGGTCAGGCGTGATCCTGGGGAGAAATATGGCGAGTTCTATCCATACCTGTGGCTGGTGACTCCCATCTCAAACGATGTCAAAGCACACAAGCGAATGATGCAGAAGTTCCCCAACCGTGGCAGTGAGGGGCCAGCATCCTGTGCAAAGTGACGGGTCGGCCTTAAATTTGCCGAACGTTTTGTCCCTAAACCCTCTATAAACCCTAAACGCTAAACCCTAAATGTTCGAAGATTTTGAAAAGAGAGGCCTTGTCAGATCCAGCCTGTTCGGGTTTGCAAGTGGCCCATTATGCTGTCTGCCACATGTAGTGCCTGCAATACCCTGGAAGAGCTTTTAAACAGGGGCAGGCGCGACTTTAAGATCTCCACAGTTCAGGACTTTTAGATTGTAGACAGTGCCGCTTATGATAGCCACAAGGGCGTCAGAGCTAGGGCAGCTAGGGAGCATGAAAGGGCGCGCGCTGGGTCCTGCGTTGGGGAGGCTGCAGTACTGCATCATGCATGCCACTCGCGCTTCCTGCACGAGAGGAGCAGTTTGGAGCACCTTTTTTGGCAGATCCAGTCTTCAGTTTGCTCAGGTCGCTGGCAGGGCCATCGGTTTTCGGTTCACAATCTTTCCGGGAGGGGCCCCAAACCTTCCTATAGACTGTGAGCCCGGGATCTCAAACCCTGAGCACAAGGTACAAATTCAGCACTGCCCTCAACCCTCAACCCTAAACCCTCGGCTCCCGGTGTGGAGTCGGCTTCTCAGTTTGGCCTTTGAAGAGGTGTTGGAGCTATAGTGCTTCATATGCCTTACGACCAGTAAGTGGGGTCTAGGGTTTAGGGTTAAAGCTTGAATCCAATAAGGGTGCTCTCTGAATTAGGGTCCCTTCTTGGGTGCTCTTGAAGGGGTTGCGGGCTTTCGGGCTCTTTAGGGGCTTTGGAGGGTTTTTAGGGTTCTTTGGGGTCTTTTTCGTAGGGACACTTGGGCCAACTTTGGGGCCAAGTACCCCACGACATGCTGCGAAGCCCTGGAGTTTTTTTGTTTAGAGTCAAGGCAGCGCGGTCTGTCGAGTTCCCCGCCATTAGGACCCCGAACCCTAGGTGTTCCTAAAGTCATTAACCCTAAACCCGAAACCCTAAACACCCCGAAGCCGATGCATGAACCCGAAGCCCTAAAACCTACACCGTGAAGCCTATACATGATGAACTATCATGGCTGGTCTCTTTAAGTAGGGCTTCTGTTCTGTAGGGGGGGTTCTTAATTAGGGTATCTAGGGGCCATTGTTAAGGTATAAGGGTAACAGATGAAGAGACCACCAGCCTTTGTACATGATGAACCCTAAACCGAAACACCCTGAAGCCTATACACGATGAACACCTGGAGCCCTTATTAAACCGAATCCCTGATCTCCCCCTCCCTGCCCTAAGCCCTAAACCCCAAACCCCAAACCCTAAGCACTAATCCGTTGAGGATTTAGGTTTTAGGGTTTAGGGTTTAGGGCCCTTCCCCCCAAAGGTACCCACAGCGGTGCGGTGTACACGAGCTGGCCGCTCGCTTCCGCCACTTCTTAGCAACTCGGGGTCCTCCATCCTTCAATGCGTCTAGGGTCCCTAAACCCTAAACCCTAAACCCTAAACCCTAAACCCTAAACCCTAAACCCTAAACCCTAAACCCTAAACCCTAAACCCTAAACCCTTGTGAATTTTTACCTTGTCTGGAGTGTATAGTGTACAGCCGACTTCACATCTCCCCATATAACGCTCCTTAATCCTGAGCCGGATACCCGAACCCCCTAATAGAGGGAGGTAAGCTGACCCTTTTGTTTGTATCTCGCAGGCCTTGGGCCCTAGCCCTGTAAGCCGAAAAAGCGCTGCGTAGGGGTTCCCGGGGAAGGGATGGAGAAGAACAGGCGCCATATGTGTCAACTAAACTTAACTGCGGAGGTGGGATGAAGAGGAATTGACGAATCTGTGGCCAAGGGGTTCCTCGGCGAGGGATGGAGAAGATTCGGCAGCAAAGTCGTCAACTGAACTTCGTTAACGAATCTGTGGCCAAGTTGGGAGGGGTCAGGGGGGGTCCTGGAGGAGGAATGGAGAGGAATCTGCGCCAAGTTCGTCAACTAAACAGTTGGCCAAGTTGGGGGCGCGTTGGGGGCTTCCTGGGGGAGGGATGAAGAGGAAGTGGCACCAAATTTGTCAACTGAACGTCGTTGACGAGTCTATGGCCAAGTTAGAGAGTTGGGATGGAGAGGAATTGGCGCCAAATTCATCAACTAAATTTAGTTGATGTGTCTGTGGCCAAGTTGGGGGGCCAAGTTGGCGTTTCCTGCGAGTGGGCTGGAGAGTGGCCATGTTGGGGAGGGATCACACGGATCTCTTGGGCAAAACCAGATGCCAAAGCTCTAAAGAACTGCAAACCCCGACGATGCGCAAAGAGAACCTCACGAACAGGGCCTGGTTTCTAGCACATCTAGCCAAGGAAGAACGTGGCGGCCCAGGCACCCAAGGGTTCGGGGTGTTTGGGGTGTTTGGGGTGTTTGGGGTGTTTGGGGGGTTTGGGGGGTTTGGGCGGTTTGGGGTGTTTGGGGGGTTCGGATTCGAAGAGCCCAAAGCCGGGATCATGCAACAACACCGCACAGAGAACCCAGAATCCAAAACCCTTTGCTTAGGTTTGTTGGGCTTGGGACGGCCTTGAAGCTGGAGCTTGAGGGGGGGGGGGGGGGGGGTGAGGGTTTAGTGTCGAAAGGTTTAGGGCAGTTCTGTCGAACTGCCCTTCTCGGGCTGTTGTCGCAATTGTCCTCCCCTTCGGTCTCGATAGATGTACCAATCTCAATGGTACGCAGGGCGCCGTAGCACCATTTGAGTGTTCGAATGGCTTCATGTTTCCCGCACGCTGTTTATGTGAGAAGTCGCGCCAGATCGGAAGCGTCAAATAGTTCCCACAGCCTCCTCGCCCACAGCCTGCTGAGACGGAAACCAAAGCTAGTCTAAACCCCGCCCAACACACGGAAACAATTCCTGCTGCCACCCCTCCAATAACTGGCTGTAACACCTTCGGCTAGCGGAGAAGTAAGCAGCACCAAAAGCTCACACGTTGAATCCGATGCCCCAAAAGTTCCTTTGCCGGAATGCAAGGCAACTGATCTCGATGAGCCGCAGCAACCGTGCACCGTCAGAGCTGAGATCGCTGAAAAAGACCGCCTCTCTCATTCGTTAGGAGCGGTCATTCACCAGCTTCCAAAGTTTGACGCTTCCTCACTGAGGCGCAGCGGCTTAGGCGGGATTACTAATCTGCTTTGTGCACACATGGCGTCAACCCTACGTGCCCAGATTGCGTCTCAAGAGACTCGTTTGTTGATCCTTGGCGGCCACTCGGCCCGAAACCTTTTAACCCGTCGCCCGCCCTACCCTCTGCAAGTCATCAAACCAACGCATCGCAACAGTGCTGAACTTGGGATGAGCAATGCGCTTTAGGCCGGGGACACAATGTGAGAGTGTGAGTACACAATTTTGCACGTTAGGGACTCAACCGAAGTCCACACGTCAAATGATCAGGCATGGGGCCCCTTGGGAAATTCAGGAAGGCAAGCACTGTTTTCCATAGTCTCTCCTCTAGTCGCAAATATGGATCCAGAATTGCTGTTGCACAGGGTCGTACGAGACTTGTGACAATGCGGGATATACGCTTGCCGAAGGCTGCCGTTCTTGACTGTTGTGTGCCGGCGAGCTGGCTCCAGCTACTGTAAGCCACTAGTGGTGTTAACTAGGTCCCCATACTCTTAGTGAATCTTGGTGACGATGGGCTTTGGCTAGACAGCAGCATGACACATTGTACCGTACCAAGAACATCCACATCAACGTTTCCTGCGTGTGGTCTCCAATCCAAATGGAGCGCAACCTCGGCCATCATGCGCGTCGTTGAGTCCTACTTGCGGCTGGCAGAAGACAGGAGGCTCCATGCCAGGACAGTTTGCGTGGCAGTGATCAGCATTGTTGTCCCCGACTTTTTGCGTTTTGTAGGGCATTTCTTGCGCTTCATGTGCACTCTATATTTCAATATTCTGATGCACGCTTTCCGCCTCAGCCTAACACTGCTTGGGCCCTCACCAAGCGGTTCCCTCCGCACACGTGGTGTCTCAAGCCGTCGAGCTGAAACACGAGTTTTCGCGGACTGCGCGTCCGGACATCATGGAGTCATGGAGCACCCGAAGCAGCTTGGAGCAGAATCGTGGGGGTGGTGTGGAGAAAGCACATTAACGTGGCTACTTTTAGGGGCGTGGATGAGAAACTGATGAGAACATATTAATATGCGCGCGTGATGTGACCGATCTGGATTCGCTCGTTGCTCAGGGATTTCCACTGTGCCAGTTCGTTCTTAATTCCGTTGAAGTCTGATGACAATTGGAACGCGCCGGGCAGAGACACGGAAAAACACAGTTCATGCAACAGGAACTCCAGTGTCGGGAACACGCCAGAAACATGAGAAGCTTTGAGAGTCTCTTTCCTGGGCCAGGCCCGAGCCTGGCGCCAGGCCACGGGATTGCGGTGCCGCTTTCCGCGCAGCGCGGCTCTCTGTGGCTTGCAGTGCAAAGAGCCAATACAAGTTGGAATGAATCTAGGATGTTGAAGGTGCGGCAATTTTGCAGAGCCCAAGTCAGCCTGCCAAACTGAAAGCAATCGACGACGAGCCATATAGGGAAGACTTCCAAGTGACCGTGCACACATCGCTGACAAACCCAGCAGCTCCTTGCCCATCAACTCGCACTCAGGCTGAATGTTTCGACATGGCACTCGTAAACACTTTATTCGCTGTGCCTATAGCCTGTGCCACGCCGAAGGCTCTGCCTCCGTGCAAGTGCTGAGTGGTGAAGGCGACTTGGCATTGGCACCATACCATCCTTATTGTTGACACGAATTGAGCCCCTAGTCGCTCTGCACAACGAACCAGTGCCCGCAAGAGCAGTGGGAAGACGCCAGCACGAGCCCTTGCATCGATCTTCATCGCACGCCGTCTAGACCTTGGCTGAGGCTGCAAAGCGACGAAGGCCCGGAGATCACCAACACCCAAGCAGAGCCCGAGCCTCAGAATGCAACATGCAAGATTGCAGTGCGGTCTTGGCCAGCTTTGACTCGCATTGCAGGCTGAAATTGACATTTGGGGTGCATGAGATACCCCCCCCGTTGATCGTTATTGTCGGGCGTTCCCGAAGCGTAGACTTCGTAGAATCTCGGTAGACCTCTCGTACAGTTTTAGCGTTTAGGAGGTTTTTTTGTTTTGCTAAGGCGGGCGTCGGTCGGCTTGAGCGGTTACGGGAGTTGTCGCAGCAGATTTGTACAGACGTTGGGGGAGATCTAGCACTTGCTTCTTGAGCAACTCGGAAGAACATCCATAGCTTTGTAGGCTGTAAGCAGAAACAAATTCCAACTTGATCAGATGCCAGTCTAAATGTGAACACCAAGCTCTTCCAGAATCAGTGTCAAAGATCACCCCTACACCCTAAACCCATACATGTTTGGACCCCTCCGCCCCTAGCGCAGGCCAATCCAGCAACATCTAAGCCTCAGGAGACGCAGAGCAAGTTGGATCCTCAGAGTGGGCTTACGGTCATAAGGGTAGTTCAGGCATGTCGGGGGAGAGTTTAGTGGTGAGGGGTCCGTACGGGTCCGAGGGATATTTGCCGGTATAGGTATCTGGGGTTGAGAGCAATGTGGGGGTGTAGAGCATTGTGGTGGAATGTTTTTTGGTGTTGAGTGTACTGCGCGGTTGGCTTGGGGAGAGGGCGCGTAAGACAATGTGGTGTTACGAATTGTCTTGGCTCTGAGTGTAATATGCGCGGGGGCTTGGGAGAGAGGAGCGTAAGACAGCGTGGTGGAATGAACTGTTTTTTGTGCGCGGGGGGCTTGTGGGAGAAGGGCTGTAAAAAACACTGGTGGAATGAATTGTTTTTGTCGCTGAGTGTAATTCGCCGGGAGTTGGGTCAACCTCGCTGAAGCTCGTGGTTGACACCTGGCTGCCTGGCTCATCCGTTGATTGGGATAGTCAGGAGAAATCAGGCATACACCACATTGACACGAATCTGCGGGACTTCGCAGCTTCGTGTTGCCAGGGCAAAGTCCGGAGAATTGCCTCTGACTGCTCATGAATGCTTCAGGTCGCCGGCTGGGGGGGCCACCAGCAACTGCCCTTTAAATTCCATGTGTCGGTGCGGGATTTAGTAGCAGCAGCGGGACAGGTGTACCCTATCCAAAACTAAGGAGTTGGGAGAGTAGTTTTCGTTTAGCAATGGTGGGCTGTGGTCGTATTGGTTGGGCTACTCGACTCGAAAGCTTCGTGCGGTTGTGGCCGACTCTGCGTCTCACCGAAGCACACTGAAGCCAATATCAAGCCTATTGTATGTTGAAGTTTAGTGCCATCCCAAGAAGAGCCACTGTCAGAAGGACCTCGACGGCGGCGTGCACCTCGAGCCCTGAGCTGAGCAACAACCCGGGAAGATCCACAAAGTGGGGCCAGGATCAGGTTAATCGGGTTTAGAGCGGTCGCTGAGCCCCAAGTGGAGAGGTTTGGCTTAAGGTTGTTGCAAACAGATCGCTGGTTGATGGTTGTTGTTGCCTTAAGAGTCCGTCCAGAGCCATTCCGAACCCAAACCGAAGCCAAACCAAAGCCACTCCATGCTCCAATCAATGCCAAGCGTTCCCTTAGCATGCCCATAAGCGTCCGTCCCCCTTGTCCCTCCGAAAACTCCCTTGCATCACCAGAAACCCTAGCACACCCGCCCAGAATCCCACAACTATCACCTGCGTCTCGACTCCAGGTCCGCCTCTCCTCTTCTCGCCGACGTGAGCGGGCGCTTTGAGATGAGGCCCCACGACGTGGCCGGGAGCTGGTACTTAAGGTCGCAGCCCAAGGCGCAGATAGCTGTAGGTCCGAAGCAGGTTTGTGTTCTTCTCTTTGGTTTGCCCAACATTGTGAACAGTTCAGCAGTAAGAGAGCGCGGCAGAACATTTTTCGTAAGTTGGATCATCGTGCAGCTCCATCACTTGTGTGCCTTCAGAGTGTGTGAGAAATATGTTCGCAACTTGAGAGGACAAGACTCGTTTCATTATCGGAATAGCCAGTATTTACAGCGCAGGCTGAAGATGCACTTGGGGCTGGCTGTCTCACTCTCCTCGTCGTCTGCAATCCAACTTGGGTTTGAAATTTGCTTGCAAACAAGCGCCTCGCACCACATCCCACGAGGTCAGGCGCAGTGACAGCAGTAGCTGTGCCGAGGGCTCAGGGGTCTGAAGCGGCCTGTCTTGAGGGGTTATGGTTGCCGGTGTTCTGCAGTTTCTGTCATATTCAGCCGGTTTTGAACACGTAGTGAAGGGTGGGCTCTCGACAAACCCCAGCAGTGCCAGCTTGGCTCCGAATGCTGAACCTCTGGGTCGTGGGCAGGTGGCTCTTTCTTGGCTACCGGAAGCACATCAGGACCTGGATGCGCGATAATGAAGAGTTGTTCATGTTGAGCCAGGTCATGCGGAATTCACATTCCCAAAGAATTATAGCCCTCCAGGCGCCATGAAGTCCACTGAAAGTTCTTCGAGGTAAGTGGCATCGATAGTTGGAGAACATGTAGTAGAAGAAGCTTCGCATGGCGTATGCATGGTGCGAGTTGGGATGCAGGAAAACCAAACACATCCAGATGTTTCTGGCAGCTGAAGTTCGGCTTTCCTCTTTCATCAACAGTTAGAATCTGGCTTGCCACCGTGCCAACTCCGAAAGTCAACTCAGCGCTCAAAGGAGCCAAGCTTTCGGCAGAACTCCTAAGATTGCAACATGTGTCCTTCAACAGTCTCAACAGGCCGCTGGTGCTGACGGGTTAAACTGGGTTTTCTTCCGGACCATGTGCTCAACAATCTTCAACATTCAAGACCATGGCCACAAGGGACTGCCCACATTCTTCCCCATGGTGCATGAACTCAAGCATGATACATGAAAGAGATAATCCTACAACCCTTTCCTTCCCCATGTGACGGAGGAGTCCATGCAGCGGTGCAGCAGCTCAGTGGGCGCAACACGGTCTCACTGCCCGAAGCGGTGGAGCTAAGGCTCATGGGGATGAGCCGGCGGCCGCCGTCATCTTCGTCACAGGTTTCTCGCGACGTGCGAAGTTCATAAGACTAGGCACCCGGAGTCCGGCTCTGCCACGCACGTGTGGGAATCTTCAACCATGTCTACTCGTGAGGAGTTCACTACTGTATGAGGGTTGACGATCGAAGGTGTACCTTAGGGGGGCTTCACGTGCTTGCAGATTAGGGGATCATGGTGTCGGACACTACCCTAGGACAGCTCCAACCTGCAATTGCACATTGATAAGCTCCCTACCTGCTCTCCGACCTGCAACTGCGCAGTGCAGTTCCTAGCCATCCTTGCAAGCATACGGGAACCAGCCTTCTCGGGGCGCGAGGGGCTTCATAGCTTTTGATCTGATATGTCAATCGTTCAAGGGCTGCGGTACCAGAGCCTTGGGTTTCCGAAAGATTGAAGCTTCCCACCACACCCTCCTGATAATAGATGGTGCAAAGGCCACCTTGCGACTCTCGCATGTGCCCAGAGGCTAAAGTTGAAGCTGCACGGCACGGTCTGAAATGTTGAGTTGTTTTCTTGACGCCTGATGTGTCAAGCTCTCACAGTGGCCGTTTGTAGCTGCTGGTGGGTGGGCGTTTCTCTTAAGGCAACTCATGTCCGCTCTTCACGACCCACTACAGACACACTACTTCAGCAGCCGACGCACGCTAAGATCTCATCTTGTTGTAAACATCGTGCTTCAGCCTGCGTGACAATTAAGCAGTGAGCAGTATCAGTAGGTGGAGGTAGTAAGGACAGCTCTTGGGCACTTGGCGGATGACTTTTGTCCTGCTTTGCGCTTGGGAGCTGTGTTTGTGCAACAGTTGTGTTAGACTACCTGCCTTTGTTCCGTGGTGACTGCGCGGCGTATATGGGCTTCGGCCCGAACAACAATGACCACGCACAGTTGACAATTCACGACGTCTTAACTGTGAGGTGACCACCGCATGCAGCAGCCATCCATCGGCATAAATACAGGGAAGCCGTAGACTTTCCTGAGGGAGACGCCATAAGTTGCATTCTGCATGTTGAATGCTCAAATCAGTGTGGACGCAGGGTTGCCTCTGTTGTAGTTAGCCAAGCCGAGCCCGCTAGCCCGCAGCCAGATACTCCATGGCTTTCCGAGGTCTGCTATGTCCAGTATTGATCCATATCACCACCTGTGTCAGATTCCAAGATGAGCAAGAGGCAGCGATAATGTCACCCCAAACTCTGCAAGGTCTCTGGAACGGGCCGCCGTTGCAAGGAGAAGAAGGTCAGGAAGTGATGCGGTGGGTGGAAACTCTGGACGCTCCAGATGTGTACTGCAAGCTTCTTCACAAAGCTGCTGGAGACTGTGCAGACTGCTCTGAGTGTGCCGAGAGAATGAAGAGAACGGTTCTGAACGAGACACAGGACGAGATTCTGCAGATTGTGAAACGTCAGGAAGCAAGCAAAACCAGCAGGAAGCCCTTGGCCGTGTTCGTGCTTGGCGCTGTTGGCTCCGGTAAAACTGGCTTTATCAAGAAGAGGCTTGAACAGGAGCTGGGGAATGGCAACGGCTTTCTTCGATCTGCAGTTCACATCAACGCCGATGACCTTCGCTCTGCGCTCGTCGGCGGCTACGCGATCTATTCAGCAATGGTGAACCACAAGGGGTTCGACAGAAACATGCGCTGGGACGCAAACGAGCTACGGTCTGCCATTCAGAACATGGTCTGGGACTACCGAGTGGATGTCATTGCCGACAGCATGACCCTGCCGGCCGGCGTAGCAGAATCCTTTCTCCAGAAGGGCTTTGATGTGCGGGTGTTCCACATCGAGATCGCTGGGAGCTCTCATGAAGAGAAAGTGGACAGAGCTAAACGTGACATCGAGGCAAGAGTGGCCGCAGGTGGTCACTCTGCTCCCAGCTATGTCGCGCAAATTGTCAGGAGCAGGGTCGGCCATGAACATGCTTAAGATTCAAAGCATCCTCCAAGGCACTTTTCCATAAATGGTCAGAAAACCTGTTGGATAGACACGTTTTGACGATAACCGGTCCAAAATGTCGCTTGTTCCTTTTCGTTTGTAGGTTGTGTCTTCATGTGGTTGTCGCTTGGGTGTTCTTTTGGAGCTCGGTTTTGCCTGTCATGTTCACCAATCTGTTTTGTCCCAGCTTGCCATCTTTGTGTTGCGTCCTCAGCACGTTCGACTGAGGGATGCGAAGCCGTAAGATACTAAGGTCAGAATTAGGGGCTTTGTCAACACAATGTCAGATGGTGTAGTGGTTCTCGGCCTTTTGGTTGTTCGCCTGGTCATTCGGTTCTGTGTGCCCGTGCATGTTGGTGCTACAAGTACCTTAGTTTTCTCGACCGCGCGCTCCCTACTCGATGGCTTCTTTTGTTGCTTGTGTTTCTTCTGCATGGTGTTGGGTCTCCTCTTCTAAAGCTCTTCAGCCCCTCAGCCTGCAATCGAAATGCCCCAAAAACGCTTCACAAAGACTTCGCGCCCCTTCCAGCTGTGGAACCCTAAACCCAAGACCCTGCTCAGGAGCCAGCAGTCCGCAGAGGAGTTGAGGGCTGTCGGGGTGAATGTGACCTCCGTCATCAGGAGAGGCAATGACTTTGTGGTCCAGTAGAGGACAGCGCCGTCCTTTCATTTCCCTTTCTGTACATGTTGACGTGCTGTGCAGACGATTGCAGAACGTGCTGAACACCTGCTACGGCTAAAACGAGTTCTGCGGAGTGCTCCAGCAGCTCCATCTTTCTTGGCATAGGGGCTACCTACTAGATAATGCAGATAATGTCACTTCGGTCCCGTTCCAGTCTTCCTTTTGGGTCCTTAGCCACGAGGACTGCATCCTTTCTGGTCATGATTGCACGGTTTCGTGGTTTCCGGCTTGCAAGGAGAACTTCCAATTCCTGAAAGCTGGAATTCGGGGTTCACGTTGCCAATAGTAACTCCAAGACCACCCCAGAATCGGAAAGCAGAAAGTAGGACAGTGGCCACCCCAAGTCTTTGTGCGGGGGCGCTTCTGGGTGGCCTTTTTCCAGTGTTGCCCCTTCCCGACCTTAGCTGTCCCATGAAATCCCATGAAGGTTCAATGTCAAGGCAGGGTTTGTGTTTCTCTCACAGCCAACCTTCGAGAGCCTCTGGAGACCTTCAGCTTAAGAGCTCTGTGAGGGAGTTTGCTGCAGCAAGGCTGCATGCTGTCCACTTGCAGGCTATGGTTCGCAACGCATTCGGTCTGCGCGCTGGCCATATCGAAAAATGTGCTCTTCCCATGACAGCATGCGTGTTGCTGAAACCGTGAAACAGAAGAGTGGCAGCGTCGCTGCAGAAAGCAGAGTTGTGGCACAGACTGCTTAGCAGGTGCTGCGCTGAGGGCGCTTGGCTCGAGGCGTCAGCGTCGAGCCTTCGTTTGCTAACTCCTCCTTCATATGTAGAAAGGGGCCCATGCCATGTGCTGCATGCGGCTTCTTGCAGTGGCAGCTCTCAGCCTGGCACGAGCACATCGCCCGCCTCAGCCCACCAACCCGCTGGAGGCAAGCCTGCATGACCTCAGATTCGCAGCTTGACATGGGCACGTTGCAGATCCGATTCCCTCCGCCTTGCCTTGCCTTCTGATTCTAAACCCCGTGCAGGTGGAGGGAACGCCAGACTCACAGGCAAGTCTGCGGACTGTAAGGGTTCAGAGATACATTGGCTGCGGCTGCAGTGGTTGATGGCATTCGCTCGCAGGGCAACAGCCTTAACCTCTGCACCCTAAAGGCCCTAAAGCCTTGCGCAAGGATCGCCACCCTTGCTATCTGGACGAGAGTGATGCAGAGGGCGGGGGCCATCTGAAGGCCAGGTAGGGAACTCGGAGGCCTGTCCTATCGTAGTAAGACCGTAAACTATGGCATGGTGGAGTCTGTCATTCACCTGAGGTAGTCACACAGTACAGTAGGTGAAGTTTGGATTTTCAGAAACGGGTCAATGTTCGTGCGCCACGGATGGCAAGGATCAGGCCACGTGCACCGTGCACATGCACGTGGTGGAGTCATGGGGACCTCGTTTTCGTGTCGGCATGTGAGAGACTGCTCAAACCCTGCGCGCCTCTCTAGGTAGTTTGGACGGGACAGAACAAATTTGCCGCGGAAGCGATACCTTACCCCAAAAGCGATGCCCCCGATTTAATCGTCTCAGTCGTGGCTTCTAGGTTTTGCCCCGCGCTCATGTCATTCCCGCCACAGCGGAGGAGTGCAGCAGCCGTTATTGTAGCTTAAGAGGCGCTTGAAGTTTACTTTCCTGCCTGGAAGGCGATCGAGTTCCTGAAGTGTCTGTGGCAAGTCAACAACAGCAGCGCGTCCGGCGCGCCCTTGGACTGCACCAATCATAATGGACAGATAGTGATCAGCACAGGCTTTGACATCGGTTGTGGAAATGGTGCGATCGTGAGCTTGGGTATCAAAGTGCCCTCGGTGGCAGCAACCACGGGTGACCTCAGCCGTGTGCTGGACCATCTCCCCAACCTCGAAGGACTCATTTTGGATAACTCCAACATCTCTGGGCCTTTGTCTGAGTTTCGAAGGGTCCGGAACCCCAGCAAGCTGCGTCGCTTGCAGCTCCGGTGGTGCAACGTGGGGGGTACTTTGGAAGACCTGAGCAACTACACCTTCCAGGCGCTGAAGCTGTCCGACAACATCAGCGGCGACATCAAATCCCTGGATTGGAGCCAATTGGAGTTCTTGGATCTGCGAAACGCCACTGCGGTGACCGGCAACGTGTCTAACCTCAAGTCGGGCTTGGTGAAGGGTCTCTGGCTGCAGTACACCCAGGCCACTGGAGACATCACCGAGCTGATGCGTAACAACTCCAACCTCACCTACTTACATGTGCAAGGCTCGGAGGCTGAAAAGCAGCCTATGTTGTACTATAGTATACTGTAGAGCATACCACACTTTTCTACAGCTGACGATAGTTTCCCGTTGTGGCCCAGTTTTGGTTTCTGTCGTTTCAGAGTTAGGCTCACAGATCTATGGCCACATCGACCGCCAATGGGCGCCGCCCCACAACGTGGGTAACGAGCTCAAGGAGCTGGTGCTCTTCAATACGAAGGCAATGGCTCGGGGGCAAGGGTTTGGGGTTTAGGCCTCTTGAGCTGCCCTTTTGGTTCCTCACAGTCGGGTCCATTTGTCGTGCAGGACGCTACCATGTAGCTAAGCTTCAAGTGGACATTGCATTGCGCTGAGGTGACATTCGGCATGCCAGTGCCCAAGAAGCCGAAAGCGCCTCAAGATCCGAACCCGTTTCCCAACCTCAGCAAGCTGGACGTGTCTGGCAACCCCTTGAACATGGACGTTTGGGACTTCCTCTATCCCCTGGCGAACAACTACCATCTGTCCGTGATCGTGGCATCAGGTTGCAACCTCACCGGTAAGGAGACCCGGCTGCGAATCATTGCCGCGGTGTTTTGTTTTTGCAAGTCTTTGCCCGATGTCTTGATATATATATATATATATATCACGAGCTGAGGTGGAAGGAATCTTCAGCTACAGGAACCGGCCCTTGTACTGGCAGTTAAACTACATGGACCTCTCCAGGAACGGCATTACCAAGCTACTCGGAGAGCCCCGCGAGTTCTTTCTCGACGTGAGCAGCAACCCTGTCACGGAAGTCGACCCCCGCTACTTCAAGACGCCGCTGGTTTTGAACCTGGCAAATACTCCCTACAACGTCACCGAGGACCGAAGACTGATATGACAAGGGCAACTTAGGCTAATCTTGGAGCCTTTGCAGCAAGCCTTCCCGGAAAGGTTCACTGCTGTCCAACTTCCTAGAACACATGTGTTGATCCCGGGTCTCGGTTCCCCAAACCCCTCCCCCGCGTCCGCGCCGGTGGTGGTCGACAACCCTCTCACGCAAAACGCGTGTTCAGGCGCCAAAACCCAAGCTCAAGCGCGATTTCCAGATGCGATCGATGACCTGCTCACACGAATCGCGTCTGAAGGCGGAAACAGTCGACAATTTACGGTGTTTGCGACGGCCTTACAGAATTTGGGTCTACGCCGGCAGTGCAGCACAGCATGGTTTTATAAACTTGGTATAAGCTGGTGATATGTATCTATCTGTCTTCTGATCATGTAGTAGTATGTTCTGGAATGGTATAGCTCATTCTTGCACGTTATTGAAGTTCGTTTAGTCGGATGTACCATGCCAAACGAGTTTTAACATGATGAGTAATTGTAACCGTATAATGGCCAACAGACATGGCATGGTATTCTGTTATAGTATATGGTGGTACATCTTGAAATGTGATGCAAAGCATGCTATAAAACACGTATGATACATATTAGCTTCTTGCCGTGTCCTATCAGACACTACGGCAGCTTACAATGTAGCTTAACAGTACCGTATACTATAAGGAACTGTGCTTCTAGTCTGCTGTCGTACGCTATCAGAGTTCTGGCATGTCACAGCACAGAATACGATTGCAGAGTCTTCTTATATGTATATATATATATACACATATTCATGTTCATATGTCGTACATCTTGAAATGTTTTCTGAGATATGTACAAAGCGTAGCAGTTTGTTTGAAACAGGTAGGAGGATTTGAGCAGCTTTGAGACACCGCATTCCCCACATCCAGAGAACCTCAACCCACATCCACAGGGCACCAAAGAGCCATGGCGGGGAGGGGGCAGAACCCTGATCAGTTCTGCATCACGGCTAGTCGTTCGTGTACCCTAGTGTAGCCTGGAGCAGCTCTGTCTCCGTCGTTCCTTGGCGCAAGACCCCGGCACACGGCAGGAAAACTTCAGGAAGTCCTTCGAATCTACGGAAGTCGTGAACGTGACAGACCGATACACCTGCAAGGGTGTACAATCTATCGACCAGGACCCCGAGAAGCCCCTTCCTTGCAAGCTCCTTGTTACTTCCACGTCCTTCGCGCCCAACAACCTATGCTCTTGCTCGTCTGGCTTCGTGGGGAGAGGCCCCACCTGCTTCACCTGCACCGGCGGACAGGAGCCCAAGGACGAGCCCGGAAGCGGTTGTTGCGCCTGTGGCGACGGGCTTGCGCGTATGGTAAGTCAAGAAGAAGAGGAGAATGTGACGACCTGTCTACACTGCCTCGATGAAGGCAGATACGCGAAAGTGCTGTGATTCAGGTAAGCGCTTTTTGTCATCATTGGGTTGTCATGTTAGTTGGAGCAGCTGCATGCCCTGACGAGGTCGGTGCAACAGTTCCACCTGCGCGACTGATTGCACAGACGGCTATAGTGGCACGCTGTGCTCCGAGTGCATGTCCGGCTTCCATTCGCTTCTGGGTGGTTGCCAGGCCCGCGGGATACAGGTCGACAACCACAACATGCACACGTTAAGTGACGCGCAAAACCACACCCGGGACCTACGAGAATCCAACAAGCACGAACATGACATGAGGATGGAGGGGATGCCGGAGGGAAGGGAGGAGGAGGGAGGATGGCACCCGCCAGTAACCCTAAGTAGATGTCTTGAATGGGTTCTTCTGAAACTGCAACGGAACGAATAATTGCTGTTTAATGAAAACCCTGAGCAAGTGGAGGTTTTCTTATGAACATTCACAACGAATTCAAGGTTTCCTTGTTCAGCCTGAATCAGATGCCCGAATTGCAAATGCAAAGGTAGTTTGTTTTGTACTCAGCGCCAGAAGCGTACAAAAAGCGCCGAGACATACTCAACAGCTGGCAGCAATGCTTTAAACCCTTCATCCCTGCAAGGCGTGCTCTGCCGAGGACCAGCTGAGCCCGGAGGTGCGCTGGGCGATTTTGGCTGGGGCCGGACTGGGGGCCTTGCTGGTCGTGCTGGGGCTGCTGTGGCACTTTGTCCTCGGGGCACCCAGCAACACCGAGGAGGTCGGGGACCGAAAGACCGAGCTCCTTGAGCAGGTGCTGCTCTTTCTGAGCTACTGGCAAATTCTTGGCATGCTCGGAACTCTCAGAAATCAGCAAAGCTGGTTCAAGTCCGTGGTGTTGATGCAGTTCGGCTTCCTTCTGGAGCTCCTCTCCTTTCAGTGCGCTGTCGGCCACGAGACCGGGCGAAACGTCGAAATCCTGGCCACGGTCTTCGCTTTGCCGAGTCTCTGCGCCTTGGCCTTGTTGGCCGGCTGGTGCCGTGGAAGCATCTTCTATGGCCTGAAGCGCCTCGGCTGATGGCTCTTCTCCTTATTGTAGAGCATCGTATAGCATACAGCAGCAGTTCGTGTATACTGGGTATGGTGCAAGCTTGGTCGTGCGCATCTCGCAATTCAGAAGTTTGTGCTCTATACCAAATCTGATCTGTTAGGTTCGTGATTGTGGCGACGGCCCTTCTCTTCATAGGCACCGCCAAGGCGCGCTAAGCTGGGAACTGCAGGGCCCTTTTTTCTCTGCTGTACATTGCACTATATTGCACTATATTGCACTGTGCCGGAGCCCCAGGCCCTCAGTGCCAACCTGAGCTGGTGCGTTTTGGAAGATGCCGACCAGAACCCTCTGGGATCCATGGCCTACCTCCACGAACGTCCTTCAGTGAGATGTGCCAAGGACCCGGAAGCAAATGGAGCAGACCCAACTCGAGACCCCTTGAAGCCCGCTCTTTACCTGGCAACCTTCTTGAATGCGGTGCTTGTGCCTGGTTGTTTGGTGTTAGTCGGCTGGTACATCACACGCCGGCTTCGGGTGCTCATCAGCGGAGGCAGTTCCATCAAGCCTTTGCGGCAAAGCGAGGAGAGTGCAGAAGGCATCAAAGTGTTTCTTGCTAGGGCACCAGCGGCTTCCGATATGTCAGAGCCTCCGGATTCCGAGCATGTCTCCGGCCTTGCTGTGTCCACCTACGCAGCAGCCTATGCGACTTGTGCCTCAGAGCTTGCGGCAAGCAGCACCGTGAAGGCTGGGACCGGTGCAATGCATAACATAGCGAGAAGCATGATTGTACCAAACCCCGCACAGCTTGGAAGGTGACTCGAACACCCAAGGGCATCACCATCTATGTTCCTGCGTCGGGGCACTGGAAGGGATTGGAACCCGCGGTTCGGGACCGGCTGGGTCCTAAACTCCTGCACTGTGCAGCTTGCTTGACGGGATGGGCTTTCGCAACCTTCTGGCCTTGTGATGTGCAAAATTGTGCAAACCTACTTGGCTTTGCATCCGGAGGAGTCTCTTTTTCAGCAGATGCGGCTGGATGCAGAATGGCTCGGAAGCTTGGCTGCAACAAAGAGAAGCTCACACGTCCACCTCTCCCCCTCTCTCTCCCGCTCGCCCTCCGCTGTCTGTCTGTCTCTCTCTTTCTCTCTCGCTTTCTCTCTCTCTCTCTCTCTGTCTCTTTCTCTTTCTCTCTCGTGTCTCGCTTCTGAGCAGAATAGAACTGAGGTGGGAACCTCCTATATCGGCTGTGCGCCAAGCAGGTTTTGGCCACGAAGGACAGCTTTCGGTTTAGCGCGGCAAAGAATAGCCTCATACCTTAATGAAGCTGTCGATGGGGCAAGCATGGGCTAGCCAGAACCCGCCAGCCCGCAAGTGCACAATGGATGACCGCACCCTCCCCCACACAGTGTCAAGCATGGTGCATAGGGCCGTCTCCAATACACCAAAGAGGTTTGGTAATTAACATAGTATACAACAGTACTGCTGGGGCGCAGCGCAGTTCGATTCTGTTCCGACCTGTTATTTCGGGGAGAAGACCGCATGCGGATAAACACATTTGTTCAACATTAGTTCTTCGCAGCACAGATAGAAGCATTTGGTGCACCTTCTCGGTGCGGATAGAAATCGCTTCTACCTTCAGTGCAGATGTCATTTGGCAAACTTATCACGCTGTTCTCTGGGATGAACAAAGGCGGGGTGGCTGGACAAAGATTGCAGATAGAAGTGTGACCCATGCAGGTGGACACGTTTTGTAAGGATGTTTGAGCGGATTGTTTGTGAAGTGAACCGTTTTTGTGGGAGGTAGGGTAACAACATAGAGAGAATTCTGCCATTACGTTAAGAAAGGGAGGACTTCTATTTGCATGGGCTCCATACCTCCCCATTGTATTCATTCCATAGAGGGATGCTGAGAATCAGCAATTTCTTGTACAAACGCATACGCGTACGTCCGAGTTGTACGTAGCTTGCAGCTTGGGGAGCTCGCAGAAACATGCGTGAGCATTTTGCACGCACGCTCGCAGGCACGCACGTACGTAAGCAAGTGGCGGGCATGACGGCAAAAGCAAAGTGGAGCAAGGTGTAACTCCAAAACGGAGGACAGTTAGTAGAGAAGAAGGGCAAGGACTACCACCAGGAGATTTTCAATATTCACTGAAACGGTTTTTTTGGGCATGCTTGGCTGTGTGCGCAACCTTACCCCTCTCTCTCCCTCTCTTTCTGTGAAAACTCCTGCCTGTATCTTTGAACCACCCGCTCTCTTTCCGCTCACCCCCTTGTCTCTCCCTTTACGGAGACCTGCTAGACAGAGGACGACTGTTGCGTGGGTGCTCTCCTTGAGGGAGGGCATGGCTACAGTGTTGGAGAAGGAAGAACAGAGCTCTTGAGACTATCTGAACATATCTGAACACCCCGATGAAAGCACCTGTGTGTATCTCTAAACAATGAACAGGAACCTCCCCTCTCTCTTACTATCTTTACTATCTTTCTGCTGTTCTTCTTACTCTCCTCCCTGATGGAGGGCATGGCCCCTACCTCAATAACTTCAAAATTATGCGGACCTGGATGAGCCTACTGCATGTTTGAACGCGCTGGAAAAGTTCTATTTGTCTCCTGCCCCGTTGTAATTCGCTCCAAAAAGCTCGATGCTTTCAGACATGCAGGCAACAAATTGCTACTCGCGGTGTTCTTTTCAGCATTTACCAGCCTCATCCATGCAAGAACAGTCCTAACAACTGCGTATGTATTCGTACACCCCGGCATGTTGTCACTGCAAATAGAAATGATATTCTGAGAAGCTACCTCCCAGTGTTGCTATTCCAGCAAGATGGGCAGAACTGTTTCTCTTTCTTTATCTGCAATTTCGCAATTTGGTGTCTGCTGCACCCCGCCTTAGTATAATAAGCGCCTAATCTGCTCCTGCTACGAAAGGACGGCGCGGAGAGCCCCCTGTGGTTGGGCTCTCACAGCTCCTTCAAGCGCTTCTCGGACCAGGAAGCATGTGCTTGGCGCGTGAGCGCTATGGACTGTATAGAAGATACGACTACCAGTCCATACTGTGTTTACCTGAAAGCAGGACCCTTTGCTGTGCGAGGGCCTCCAGAAGCTTTTCCTGACCGGCGTGGCTAAGATGTGCTTCAAGGGCCGCCGGGCAACTTGTGGTTGGATCGCAGCGCTGCTGATGCTTGCGGGCTGTGGCATCTACAGGTTCAATGCAAAAGCAGGTCAATAAACATAATATATATATATACATATGTATATATATATATATGTATGCAACCAGGTATGTATAGAGAATAACTAAGCTGGAAGTTCGAGTATTCCAGAGTGTACGCTGGTCTACTAAAGCAAATATCGAAATGCCATACCTAGAAAATACACCTATAGCACTCCTATAGTTTTGTCTTCCTCATGTATACCTATTGTATACAACTTATACCATTTTATGGTCTGCTCTAGTGTGCTATGAAGCACCCTTCAGATGATACTGTATATATTAAAGTATACTGTAGCATACTTCCGTATGTTGCTCTAATTGCATAATATGCCATGATGCCGTATATGTCTTATACTAGAGCGGCATACTAACCTGTAGAGGTAGACTATGTGAATATATGAATATATAAATATATATATATATATAGAGTATGTTCATACCAGATAGATAGTATACTTGACAGGTTCAAGATCTACGGGAGCCGCTCTCGAAACGAGCTCGGGGCTGCTGCTTACGGTGCCTTGGCCCTGGAGGCGGTCTGTATAAGTGTATGCTCTGGTCGTATGCTCTGGGATTCCCGTCTTGCAAGATACGCTGGGAGTATACTAACGTCTCTGGTAGTCCTTTTTTGTGGATGGACTATGGTTGTGCACTGTGGTAGTATACTGCGGTGAAAAGGTTTCTACCCCAAATCCATACCTCTGCGTAGTGAGTGGTGGAGTATACTAGACAGAGTCTTCTGAAGAATGCTGGAGCAGTAGGTATACTATAGTGTATAGCATACTGGATAGCATGTGGAGGCGGTCTCGATTTTCGCGGACTACCTGGCACCCTCGCTTCCCCAGACCTTCGTTTCGAGGCAGGTGTGCCTTATATTGTGACAAGTTATGTGTAATTGTTGGTAGTGAAATGCCCGTATATTTCATATCGTGCATGCCTCTTATAGCATAGAGCAATCAGCCATGTATGTTGCATTATGCTTTTGCATACTGCTGTGTACTTTTCTAATGTAAACTATTCGAATGGGATAGTAGATCGTGTCGAGGCAGGTGGTTGACTTTGGGGCCCTGGCCTTGCACCTGGCGGCCATGGCAGTGCCTGCCTTGGTGTTTGTCCACCTCCAGCTGATGCCTGGCGACGTGGTGCTCCAGACCCATGCCCTGAAGAGCAAGATTGATCAGATCGGAGATGGGGCCGAGGACGAGGTCGTGAAACTTGAGCCCGTCGCCTGGACGTTTGAAGCAGAGTTGCCAAGCGGCCTCTGCAAGCTGCTGGCGTGGTACCGCCGGCATGCTGGCCGAGCTATTCGCTTGCAGACAAGCATGCGGGAAACAGCAGAGTCCATGGTTGGCCAGAACATGGGCCGGCTGGGTTCCTGAGGATCGCGGACAAGAGAGTCTTGGAGTACTGCGACGCTGATGAATTTCAAAAAGTTTCTCCTCGCTGCAGCGCTCCTGCAAGTCAGCGTATCATCCAAGACTCTGCAATGGTCGAAACCTCGATTAGGGTTTTAAGTTCTGGGTCGATGTCATGCAAGGTAGGTTTTTGGCTTTGGGCTTGCACGAAATTGAACATCAGCGCTTTCGCGTCAATCGTGGAGCGAATCTGTAGCCCAACCAGCTCAAGTAGCCGGAGGAAACAAGCTTCTTTTTCAGACGCATGTCTTGCTCCGAGTGTTCCATCTTGGGGTGCGATTATGTTGCAGAAGAAGGAGTTGGGGCAAGCCGGCCCGCGCTGCAGACCCGTCATAATTTGCTGGCACGACATACACGGTGAAGTGAGGTTACTAGTAATCAATGAGTTTCCAAAGGTTGTTGCTTTGCTCATTGCTGCTTTGCGGGCACATGTGTTCGTTTGCATTGAGCCCGCAAATTTAGTTTCGCTGCACTGGATGCAATGGTGGCATCTTGCTTCCCTCGCTTCGTTGTCATAGATGCTGGTGCCCCAGTTTCTCGTTTGGGTTTAGGGTTTAGGGGGCTCAGGACTTGCAGGTCCTGAAGACTGGGGCGCGAACCTTTTGGGACCCCTTTGGGCAGCCCCATGTGAGGTTTAAGGCTTAGAAGTTTAAGGTTTATATGCTTGGGGGTTTAGAGTTGCAAAGTGCATCGTGATTGCTCAGGCTGTCGGGTGCTGCTCTTCATCACTTTGAAAGACAGACCCGTCCTGAAGCTGATACATTGCATGATGAAGCCGCGTGCACATCGTAGTCTGTTGTATTAGAAGATGAGTTCCATTGTTGAAGGTGTCACGGTGGTTTCGTAGCTTGAAACACTGGAACTTGAAAGCAAGGGTGGATCATGGAGTGGGGGGGGGGGGGGGGGGGGGGTGATATGTATATACATATATATATACACAAAAAGACACGTGGCCGAGACCTTTAGGGTCTATTTGGTCAGGTGGCTTGCGTCTAGTATGACTACTGCCACTGTTGCTACTACTACTTGTACTACGATTCATAGTAAGTAATAGCATAAGGCCTTCAATCCCCAACCCCCAAAGCGCCAAACCCTAGAGGCTTAAGATGGATCTCAAGTCCACAGGTCTAATCAGAATCTAAGCTTTACAGGCATTGAAAGGGCCTAGAGGCTATAGCTCTAATCCCTAAATGGGGCACTCTGTGGTTTGGGGGTTGCCTTTCTTATGTGAAACCTGATTTTCAATGGTACCTGTAAGCGGGCTCTGCTGTCGAACAAACCCCAAAGCCCATCGCCAGAAAGACGCCCAACTGCAGACAACGCCATTCCCTAAACCCCGACCCCCACCCCACCATTCAGCTCATTCCTTAAACCCTAAACCCGAAACACCCTCGCCCCCAAACCCCAAAATCTCAGGCTCGCACCCTGAACCCTAAACCCTATAAACCCTAAGCCGTAAAAGGGGACTGCAGCGGCAAACCGGCCCAGCCTGGTCGAGTCTACTCGCACCAGCGCCGGCCGAATGAAAGGGGAGGCAAGCTGGGAGGTTTTAGGGTTTGGGCTAGGATTTACAGTAGGTTATTTTTCCCCATTTTTTAGGCCATGTAAAACCCTTCAAACCAAAAGGGCACCCTTTGTATTGGGGCTTTGGGTTTAGGAGCTGGGGGTTTTGTGTTTTGGGGTTAGGGGTTGCACTTTGAGGGGAGGTGGCCGCTGACTGCTAAGGTCATTAGCCGTGGCGCGTACAAGGCAATAGCAACCACCCTGTGTAGGATGATGCAACAGTGCGACTTCAAATTATATTTGATGGAATACATACATCCGTCACATGTCCGTGTGAGGCTGCAAGCCGCACTGCAATGGTGTATAGTTGCCTGAAAAAAGTCGTGGGACTTTGACAATGACGATGAGCCCCCGGCAGATTTATCCTTGTCCGTGTGTCGCACACATGCTTCCCATCGTGCTGTTGGCCTTTGCAGTGCCAAGCGCGAGCGCAGCCCGCGCCCGTGAAGACCTCCGGACGGAACTCATGCTTGACTCGGACCTGACTCCCGAATGCCAAGCGGAGCTACATGGCTTGATTACAGATTTGACGCAGAACTGCATCGAATTTGTACGCGAGAAGTTTGGTGATGGTGAAGAATCCTGCGGACCCAAAATCTCCGAATGGTTGACTGGTAACTTGAAAACTTCGGAGCCCAAGCTCACAACATGGACCCAAAGTTTAGCCAAATCCGAGAAAGAAGGTATGTTGTGGGCAGGTTTCTGGGATGGAGGAGAGGCAGAGCGTACCTCCAAGGAGGCCCTCTTTCGCTTTGCAAAGCTGATAAACAGGATCACAGTCCATCCCAGTACAACATTGGGACGCCTCACCGCCAAGAACGGAGATCTCCAGGAGTGCAACGAAGATCCGGCGGTCTATACACCTTTGACAGGTGAGCCCACAGATAAGGGTTTGCTTCCCAACTTCTGGATGGTGGCCAGCGAATGGTTCGTTCATGAGATGGCCCGAAAGGAGCAGAGCGCCATCGTGATGCTTGTCAACAAGGACCTTGACCCAGAGGCGAATCGCAACCTCTATCAGTCCGTCCTCTGGAAATACGAGCTGCCTGCATTGGCCGACAGGGTCCGACTCTCTGCCGCCGAGTTTTTTGCTGGGTGGGAACCGCAGGTTGTGCTGGTGAATATGCAGGATTCATGCATTGATTTGAAGGGCAAGATTGCTGGACAACTGAGGAATGTCGTCCTTGGACCAGAGAACCAGTGGATCGAGAGATGGTTGGCAAACAAGCCCATAATCTGTCTTGAGTGTGCTTCGCCTTGCGAGCTGAACCAGAAATTTGCCGATGATTTGCAGGAGGAACTCAACCGAAAGAGCCCCTGACATCTGCTGACTGTGTCCTGCTCATTTAGCGCATTCTTCTGAAGGCTCGAAGTAGCTGATGCGCCAGGCGCGAATGCACAAAAGGTGGCCTGCTGGAAGCCGCCGGGTTGGCGTCGGGAATCATCCGCGCAAGCTGCAAGAAACACAAAGAAACTGGGCCTAGTGGGCTTGGGTTGATGGGAAGAGGCGTAGATGAAAAGCCTATGACGACCGCATCGCGTTTGACGTTCGCAACAGGGCATGCACGGCGTTCACCCGGAAATCTGAAAGTTCTGCCATCGTTGGCCTTCCCAATGTCGTGTTTCGGGTGCTCCTTGTTCGACTAGAACTTGGTAGAGACAAACCAGCAAAACTCGCGAGTTGTTCTTCTCCTCAGGCCTTGGGTTCCTTCGGGACTGTCTCCTTTAAGTTTTAGAGTTCGCTTTCAATTTCTTTCCGCGGATGCCGTAGACGTGTGAATGGCCCATGCGGACTCCTTGAACCAGACAATCGTTCGAGGTTCAAACACCCTCTTGAAGTAGACATCCTGTTGGGAATCATGAAATCCGCGAGGCTTTGCGCGACTTGATGTGGCTCTTATGAAGCGCAAGGAACGTAAACCCTCAGTAAACCCTCAACCCTAAACCCTCAAGGCCCTATCTATAGATCCCTGAACACTAACCAATCCTTAAGCCCTAAGGCCGAACCCGCAGCTCTTAGCCCTCACCCTCAGCAGCCCATTTAGGGTTTTGGGTTTAGTGGCTTAGGGCCCGGCTGAACTCCCAATAGAACTCCAGAATCCGCGGGGTTTAGGGCTTTCTAGGCTTCAGAGTCCAAAGATTTAGCAGGCCGTTTAGAGATTTAGGGCTTTAGGGATTTCAGGAAATAGGAGTTTAAGGATTAAGCAAGGGCAAACACAAGAATATACTTAATCCCAAAACTCCCTGGGCCGTGAACGCCTAGATATCCTAAACCCCTAAATCCTCAAACCGCTAAACCCCTACCTGCTCCCCGAAACCCGAATCCCCGAAAACCCTGCAGGGGACGGGGTGATCTTTGGTGATGCCAAGCTGACTCAGCTGGCGGCCTGGCGCAAAACTAGCTACATATGTATATAATATATATATATATATATCCACATACGTATAAGGATTTTGGGTTTACAGTTTTCAGTTCAGGGTTTACCTCCATCCTACAAGAGACGGGGCTGACTCAAAGGTCCCGCTTTCTGTGTCTCGGTGTGTGCTTCTATAGCAGCATCGGGCAGCAACACTGGCTTGCCCAGCAGGACCCTTACTTCGTTTGTCTGGAGGAAGGATCCCTTGCAAACCCTGAACCTAAACCCTAAGCCCATCTTCTCCGAGGCTTCTGGGGCTCCCGGACAAGGCGAGGTCAGACTGCCGGTTTAGGGCCTAGGGCTCATACAGTGTTTGTATACTAAAGTAAGTATTGGGTCTAGGGTTTAGGGCTTAGCGTGGTTTAGAGGATCGGATACTGCTTTTAGGGCTTATAGCTTTATAGGTTTATAGTGGCTCATCTGCACCGACAGACAAACATGAAACCCCAAAAAGCTCCCTTGGCCAAACAACATGCATAATAGTAATCGCAGAAAGAGCAAAGGAGGAGATGGTAAATGTTGATAGGAAGAGACTCGTCTGAGAATTGGTGGTTTGCTGATACATGTGTCGGCTCGCAGCGAAGATCCGGGTTTTGGCTTTGCAGCTGTGGCCTTTGAAGCTTGAAGCGCTTGTTGTAAGGGATGTAGGGAGTGTTCATGTATGTCACTTGTAGGGTTCTTCAGGGTGAGAACGACAAGCGCTTCAGGCCTCTGAGCGTCGAGGTGTTGCCCGGCGGGCACCTGAAGCTGCATCGTGTCGTCGATCTCAGTCCATGTGCACCTCCTGAGTGGCGCCAGCGTGGCTTTGGCAACGGAGCCAGAAGAATCTGTCACCAGTTTGTGCCAAAGGGCCCAGACCGCTCTAAGAGTTGGCAAGAGAAGGCTGCTGACAGCTTCGGGCGATACACGCTTCGGGCGATACACTGGCCGGAGGTACAGTAAAGCGAGCACGTTTGCAAGACAACGACGTGCTGACCCTGCATGTCGGACAGGTGCCTTGCATGCCGTTGCCGTAAAGGAAACTCATGTGCCTGCTCTCCTGGGTGACGGATGTGTGGTGGCCTCGGGCCCTGCTCACTTTGGTTGGCGACAGCAGTGATGTACAAGATCAGCTCAAGAACGTGCAGCAGGTGCAAGCTTCTCATTTTGCGTTTGCTGCGATCTTGATGGATCTGTGGTGACCTGGGGCGAGGCTGAAGCCGGTGGCAAAAGCAGTGCCGTACGAGAGCAGGTCAAGAACGTGCAGCAAGTGCAAGCTTCGTCATCAGCTTTTGCCGCGATCCGGGATGATGGATCTGTGGTGACCTGGGGCGATGCCAAATCTGGCGGCGACGGCAGTTCTGCACAAGACCAGCTGAGGAAGATAGCAGATCCTCCTCTCTGAATGTAAGTAGCCAAGTTACCCAGAGCCAGCCCATCTGCAAGAGCTGAAAGCCTCATCGCAATCGACAAGCACGGCTCAGGGAACTAGGGCCTGTAGGGGCTGTTAGTTGGGCTCAAGCCTAGATTCTAGATAAGGGGTTTCCCTGTCCCTGTCCTACTCTGATGAGGTGTTAGGGGTTGCAGTTCCGGTGATTTATTTTCCCATGTCTGAGGCTTGGGACTACCCAGCTCAAGAATGCGTTTCCTAGATGAAAGCTTCTACGCAGGGCGCGAGAAAAGCTATGGAGCTCAATGGAGAGTTGTACAGCTGCCCCTACTTATCAGGAATCATGAGACTTGACGCATTTGAGGGGCTTATAGGCCTTAACCACGTAAGCCTAAACCCATGCTCAGCCCAATCACTCAAAGAGAAGAGAGCTGTGAAAGCTCAGCTTCTCCCTCGCCCTAAACCCTAAACCTTACACCCTATAAACTCTATGCCCCGCCCCCCCCCCCCCCCCCCCCAAAAAAAAAAAAAACATAAACATAAACAAGCACACAACAAACCCTTAGCCCCGCCAAACCCTAAGCCTCCCGGCTTGGTTTGCCCCCCGGCTTGGTGTTTTTTCTCTGCCATGGTTGTTCGGGTTTGTTGAGGAGCTCGAGGTTTAGGGTTTCTAGGGTTCAGGGCTTGCTGGCCAGTTTGCCTGCATTGGGTTGATACTTTCGCAGCATCGTGTGTCCATGTCTTGTTGATTCCTTTTCGGAGCTCATCTACAAGTGCTGTTGCCGATGTCCTGACTTTCTCGTCTTTGTCTTGGCTTTGTTGCAGGGCTCGAGCTTTTTTGTTGCTTATGGGCTTTCTTGATGGGGGTGTAGGGTTGTTTAAGATGGGTTCAGAGGTTGATGTGTTCAAGCGCCAATCTTGAGGGCTCAGTGCTGAGGATTCAATGTTGAGGTCTTCAAACCCGAAGCTGGGCGGTGATCCCCCTCTCCGTGACTCTGCCAGGCCCTTCGTCGACAAGCTGGAGATTCACGTCGCCGTCAGGGCCTCATAAGGCTCTGAAGCGTGTTTTCGCTCGATGTGCCGGCACACTGTGCACGTTGCACTTTAGACACTTCTGCTTCTTGGAGCTGCTTGCCCAGTCTTGCATCGCGCGCTCGTTAAGCCCTGGGCCCACTGTGCGTCTGCTGCCAGGTGGTCAATGTCTGCGACGTCAAGTTCTGTGCCCAGCAACAATTTCCCACATCAACACGGCGACACGGCGTGTTTCAGCACTGGTGAGGACAGAGCCTGCGGGCGTCGATGCTGCGCGGACCTGAGTCAGGTATCATACCCAAAACGTTCTTGACGCTGTGCAAGCTTTGGATCACACTGCTGCCCACGTCCCATCCGCATGCTGAGTTCGCCTCGGTCCCTTGCACGCGAAACTGCTCATTTTGGAGTCTGTATTGGTAGCACATCCTGCAGGCTGCTACAAGTACAGAGTCAACCGCAACGGCGGCTGAGAGACTCTTCATGCAGATCCTAAATAGGTTCCTTTGAAGAGAACGAACCCTCAAAGTCTCCTCGGATCCTGACCCGGAATCCACGTGCCAAGGCCCTCTAAGCCCGCGGGAGGCCGCCCTAGAGCCGGTGTCCTGAGCTTGGAGGCGTGGATTTGGTGGTGGCTTTTCGTGGCTGAGAGGTTTGAGAGATGATGGGTTTGAGGCTCTGGTGGGCTTCGAGGCTTTCAGTGAGGAATTTTGTGGGGTGTAAAAGAAAGCCGGTCGGGGCTTCCCGCATTTTGGGGGGCTTCCGGCTTCCGGGTTTAGGTTCAGTAGGGTGTTCCAGCGTTCGGGGCTCAAGGAGTTTCCGGGTTTCGGTTGCACCTTGCGGGCCCGGTGCTCCTTTGTTTCCTAGGTGTGGCGGGGGCCTTTTTTTGTCCTTGGTCCCGTCAGAGCCCGTCGTACAAAGCGCCGCGTTTGCAAATCCCACCTAGCCCTAACCTCCCCGCTTCTTTTCGCCGTGTAAGCTTGTGTTAAGCCTAAAACAACATCTTGCCATGAATGAGGAGAACTTAATGGTTTCAAGGCTAATATTATTCTTTCCAGCCCGTCATTGCAACAGCATATAATATACTTAACCCCTGAATCCTCAAACCCTGAAACCCCGGCTCCCCGATTCCGAATGATAGCCAAATAAGGTTCGGAAGGGCTGCTTCCGAATGATGACCAAGTAAGGTTCGGAAGGGATCCTTCCGAAAGATAGCCAAAAAAGGTTCGGAAGGGCTCCTTCCGAATGATAGCCAAAAAATGTTCGGAAGTGCTCCTTCCGAATGATAACCAAATAAGGTTCGGAAGGGGCTCCTTCCGAAGGATAACCAAGTAAGGTTCGGAAGGGCTCCTTCCGAATGATAACCGAACAAAGGGCTCCTTCCGAATGATCACCAAATAAGGTTCGGAAGGGCTCCTTCCGAATGATGACCAAGTAAGGTTCGGAAGGGCTCCTTCCGAATGATAGCCAGAAAATGTTCGGAAGTGCTCCTTCCGAATGATAACCAAACAAGGTTCGGAAGGGCTCCTTCCGAACGATAACCAAATAAGGTTCGGAAGGGCTCCTTCCGAATGATAACCAAGTAAGGTTCGGAAGGGCTCCTTCCGAATGATAACCAAATAAGGTTCGGAAGGGTTCCTTCCGAATGATAACCAAACAAGGTTCGGAAGGGCTCCTTCCGAATGATAACCAAATAAGGTTCGGAAGGGCTCCTTCCGATTGATAACCCAACCTGCCGATTCCTCGGCAGACTTCGAAACGCCGAATGAGACCAACCTCACTGGCGTCGGCGCTGTGCGCCGACCGTGGATCATTCCGCCTGGTGAGGTAAGCAGGTCTTTTGCTTCTAATCTGGAACATGACCGTGGATTTGTCGAACATCCATCTTTATGGCAAATGCAGATGTAAATAAGCGCAGAGCCTTGCGTGTGGAAAAGTTCTTCCGCTGTTGTGAACGCAGATGCCGAGCGTCAGGAAGGGCCACGAAAAGCTGCATCACGCCCACCGAAACGCTGCCGCTTGCCAAGGTTGCCTCATGAGCCGAAGGTGACCTTGCAACGACGACTCTACGCTCCGCAAAGCAGAAACCTTGAGGCGGACTGGCGTCGCGCACTGGCGGTAAAAGTGAGACAAGACAGCCGTGCTGGAGTTTCTGGTGGTTTTAGTGCTGCTATGTCATCAGCGCCTTGTCCGCAGCATTTGGCTCAGTAGGGAGCTTAGGGCGGGAGACGCCGTGAGGCTCGACAAGGCCGCACATTGTGCTTCCGATGCGGTGATGGTTCTGATGGTTCTGGGTGTGGAGTTTGGCCAGATGAAGTGGCAAGGACAGCCCAGTTTGCGACTCGAGCTAGCTTGGGCAGTTTGAACTCCAGTGGCATGTGAGGTGGATGACAGCAAGCATGTCTGCAAGCGCAGTGGCCTCAGACGGCTTTGGCATTCGCCTTGTGGTTGGCAGCTCAGGAGTCAGAAGCGTCGAACGCATGGGCACGGGCTGCATGGGGGATGTAAACAGCAGGACCGCTGTGTCGCCTGTCAAACTGTGCGCTGCAGCTTGAGGCTCTCCACAGTCGCTTCAGGTCCGGCACCTTACAGACGGGCTGTGGTGTCGTTTGCCTGCCTTCGCTGCAGCTTGAAGCGCCTTGTCGATGCATTGAACTTCGTTGAACTTTGTGAACCTTGAACCTCCAAGCCATTTGCTCATTGCTCTGAGTGCAGGGGCCTCGACGCCAGCAAGGATGGACTCCTAGAATTCGTGGGGGCCTCTGGCCAGCACCAAAGATGCTCAGAGCTGTTTCGAGCTGCCTCTTCTCATCACAAGACAAACTACCGAGACCTGCAACAACGGGCTGATGGGGTGATTGCATGCTTGGGAAATGATGTCTTGTCGGAAATGATGAGAACTATGCTTGTGGAGGGCATGACCATTCATGGTTGTGGACCGGGGATGCGGTGGGTTGGTTTTGGGACGAGCGTTTTAGGGCTCAGGGTTTTAGGGTCTACTTCAGGGTTTTAAGGTCACATAGGGGTTTACGGTTTTAGGTGGATGTTCTTGGTTCTATAAAGGGTTTAGGGTTGTAGGGTTTCGGGGTTTCTAGGGGCGAGGGGGGAGGGGGTCCCCCTCTGTTCCTCGTGTTTCCGCCGTGCTGGGGTACACGGTCTCCCCCCCCAAACCCCGTCCTCGTCGGTGTTAACAGTTTTAGTTTAGGGTTTTAGGGTTTTGGGGCGTAGGGTTCCTTCCCTGCCCCTTCCTGTGGTGTGGCTACGGAGGGCTTGCCTTTGTAAAGCTTAAGGTGAGGGAGCTTAGGGCTTTGGGGTCATGATCTCTCTTTACTCCCCCCCCCTGTTGTAGCTGTGGGGTGGAATTTTGGGTTAGGGTTCCACGTGCCCCACTACTGTGGGGTTCTCTTAAACATCGCAGACAGCCCAACATCCATCAGAAACAGGGGTGTAGCATGTTGTGCCCGGAAGAGACAGGTAACCAACCAATGCCTCCCCCCCTCCCCCCTTCCCTACTCCCCTCCCCCCCAAAAAAGCACTTTGGGACACCCCCATGTTCTGGATTACAAGATTGCTTCGGACCTCTCGTCAGCAAGTGCCCATAGTTCGGATCAGCCCCCCAGGTGGCAAACAATCGTTGCAACATGGTCGGCTATAGAACTTCCAGCGACAATTGCCCTGAAAAGAGAGGGACAAAGCCGCGTGGCCGCAGGCACCTTCAGCAGAAGCAACCGCCGTGTGCGCCGCAGCACTACCCATATCTCAAGCAGGATCTTGTTCCGGACCACGTGCCAGACGCTCGTTGGTGCTGCTGCCCGCAGCAGATGATGGCCATCCCAACCTCCGGCTGAAACAGCTGCGCAAAGAAGAGGGTTTCGGTAGCTGTAGTTCGTAAATGTTCGCAATCTCACAAGCAGGACGGAACAAAAATCTCCCGAGACACGCACAAGATGGTCCAATGCACAAGTGCAAAGCCTGAACTCGCAATGCATCGATGACTGACTCACCTCCAACGGCTAAACATTGTTTGGCTGGATCCCCAAACCTGAAAACCTTGAGGTGCCCGACACTGCGCCCCGCAAAACTTGCCTGACAGAGGGTGCCAGGCGCCGTGCAGGGCCCTCAGAGACTTAGATGGCTTGTTTCCTTTAAGTCTTGGGGGCACTGGAGCAAGAGAGACCGCCAAGCGACGATTGCTTGGGGATGTGCCATATCTTGCATCCTTGGCATAATCTCTGAGGCCGGCAGTCTGCCAAATCTCCTCACAAGGCGCGTTCACCAAGAAATTTCCCCCCCACCCGCCCCAAAACAAAAAACAAAAAAAGGGTTGTGGGGGGCTTGGGCCGCTTAAGGGCGCATGTGGGTCCAGCATTGACATTGGCAGAGGCGATCCGCTGGTAGCAAGGCAGCCACAGCGACTTCAAACCGCAACGGCACGTTCGACTTTCAGGACACCTGGCCCTGTGAAAAGCAGGGCGCCTTACTTCGCAGGGTATCGGTACTTCGGTGGGAGTTCTAGATGTTCAGTTTCCTTCGCCGTAGGAGTCTCCCGATATTGGGTTCTGGCCTTCTGGCCTTGGTGCGCCAATGGAAACATGACCTGTCTCGCCGCAAGCCATCGGATGTTGCCGATATCCTACTCCACACCGGTCAGTTCACCCTGTCGACCACCATCTCTTCACGTTTCTTGTCAAAACATCGTTGAAAAGTATGTCGACTAGTGCTAGTGCGGTGCATGGCTTCGCGTCGCTCGCAGGAGCTGTGCAAGTTGCTCCGTCGCGGCAATCCAAGTCTGACAGACATGGAGGTCGCAAAATGCCAATGGTAGCCCTTCACATCTCTACTGCAATTCGAAGCTTTGGTGGATACGCAGGGCTGCCAAGGTCCATGGAAGGCAGTGAGCTTCGAGAGCACCATGTAGTGATTCTAAATGCCGAAGGAATGCAGGCCCAGGTGTAGCATGTCACAAACATATGACAGGTGCAAGCCTTGTTCGATGCCCTTGACAAAGACAAGGACAATGTGGGCACCACCAATCGACTTTAGCATCTTGAATCCTGGACCCCCCCGAAATTCCCCAAGTCAGCCGCAGGACGGCAACGTGGGATTTCATGAGCTGTCGGAGTGCCGTAGCACTTGAGTTCAGGCTTTTAAAGTTGAGGACATTTGAGGACCTGTTCAGAGTGGAAGTTTTGACAGTCTTGGGTTGGCTGATTCCGGTGGCTGCTTGTTGTGGTCAATCTTCATGGCCTTGGTTGTAGGTGGGGTGCATTAGCCTGTACAGCGTTGATGTCTGTTTGTGTGGCTTCTTCAAGCTTTTCATCCCACGCGCTGTATTTGCGCAGGTACTTGCATCCGCCAGGCGCAACTTTCGAGCACTCTACTTGGCGAAACCTGGCTGCTCATACTGCTGCTGAGTGGTCTATTGTTTGCACTTTAAAGATTCGAACATGTCCGGGCCCTCGAGGAAAGAAGCTGCGCACAGCCTTCAACATCTCATGTCCTGGTCCGGCTGAATACGTTGGCAACGACAAGGTGCTGCACATCTTGGTCAGATTTGAAAGGTTCTCCTGCCGTCGCCTTAAAAGCCCCTCCACCTCCACCATCAACCCTTAGCAAAGTCATTCTAGCACCTTACATTTGACCAGGCGGGAAAGCGCAATGCGCCACGACCAGTGATTCCAAGTCAGCGGTTCCTCGGCCTGGGCCTTCAGGTTTTTTATTAGTGTTGAGGGCGGGCTTGGCTTGTTTAACCAGATCCGGATGCAAAAGAAACGATTCCCAGAGTCCCGGGCTGAGGAAAACCGATAACACAGGCTTGTTCGGCAGTGGGAAAAGGACATCCAGACAAAGTTGTTTCATGTTTTTCTCCAAGCTTTCCTCAAAAGCCAACTGCTGGCTCCTCTTGACCGAGCCTTCTATAGGACGTCAAGCCAAAACACAGAGAGCCCATGAATTCAAGAACACAATCAGAGCTCCTGATCCTAGGACCCGGTTACCCAGACTCTCCGCCCACCTGTCACCCCTTGCCCTTCCTGCCTAGGAGAATGGCCGACCATGGCGTCAAAAGCCTTTCCCCTGGCCCCGCCGCGTACAAAGGGAATCTCACGGCCAGCGCCTTCTGCAAGCCTCTGGGAGGCACATTTAACATGTGAAGACTGGCCTGGACTTGGGTTCAAGTTTGAATAATCGCTACGCGGCTTCGTGGAGTGCGAGGTAAGACTGGAATTGTGCCGATCTGAGCAGGTTGGGCAAGTCCGCAAGTGCTTGTCAAAAGCATGCCCAGAGACTGAGGGACCTATTTGAAGTTGGCTGCAAGCTCCCCAGAATCCCCAGAACCTCATGAAGCTGCCGTGGCTAGTTTGTGTCCGGCACCAGCTTCCGTGAAAATATTTTAGGCCTCGCGGCACGGGCCGGCCCCCGCCCCCCAAAACACGAAGCCGGGAACCTTGGCATCTATCATCCTCACACCTACCTACAGGTTGTGCTGGGGAAGGGGGACAACCGGAGACTGAGCTCTCTCTCTCTCTCTCCCTTGCGGTCTCTTCTCTCTCCCTCTTCTCGCTCTCTCTCTTTCTGTTCGCTCGTTGTCTTGTCTTTCCCTCTCTTTCCTCCCTCTCTTCTCGTTTCTGTTTTATCTCTTCCCTCTCTTCCCTCTCGTCTCTTCTCTCTTCTCGTTTCTCTCTTCTCTCTTTTCCCTCTCTTCCCTCTCGTGTCTCTTCTCTCTTCTCTCTCTTCTTTCTCTTCTCTTCTCTCTCCCTCTCTCTCTCGCTCTCGCTCTCGCTCTCGCTTCCCTCTCTTCCCTCTCTTTTCTCTCTCCCTTCCCTTTCTCTCTCTTCTTTCTCTTCTCTCTCTTCTCTCTGGGGCAGGAGAGGGGGAGGTAGGGGGGTTGGGAGAAAGTAGGGGGACTGGGTGTGGGATGGTGGTAAGGGCGGTGAGGGTTTGGGGCGCCTGGGGGGGCAGGAGAGGGGCGCGGGTAACTCTATTTAGCCCATTTCAGCTTCGCCCTAGGTAAAGAGCCACCAGGGTCTCCAGGGGGTGGCAGGAGAAGTAGGGGGTAGGGTCGGGGTAGAACTCTATTTCTGTTCAGGGGGTTGGGGGCAAGGGGACTCGGGATGTCGCAAAGCAGCCTTTCAACCCTCACCTCGCCCTCCCGACAGCCTGGCTGGGTGAGACTTCTGTGGTACACATCTAAACCGCATTGACGGCTGAGATGGAGCAACTGTACACACGGCACCGAGATTGCTTAGGAACCACGAGGCTTGGGCCTTCGCAGCTGCTTGTGGCAGCCGCTGAGCACCCAAATCCATGCCAGAACTCCAAGCATCAAGACGATTCTAGCAAGCAGCGCTCGACCGAGCAAAACCGACACTGAGGGTCGCGGACGGAAGACGCAGCAGGGCCCGTCAACCGCCCCCCCCCCACTACGCCGGGTCCTCCCGAGCGCAGCTCCGTGCTTCCAGGAAGGCGCGGAAATCCTTTGCCTCCAGCATCGCCACTTCCAAAGTGCACAGTCATGGACAGACATTTACACAGGGTCGTGGGCCCGTGTCGTACTGTACGAGCGGGCGTCCACATCTACCCAGTACACCCCCAGTAGACCGGGTCTCCCCCAGCGCAGCTCCATGCTGCTTCCAAGCATCATGTCTCCGCAGCTTCAGCGCGGCGGCGCAGGGCCGCCCGCGCCCGATAGGCACGGATCAGAACGCACAGCTCCTGCATGAGGGCGGAATGTGCACGCTGGGGCTCCTCGCCAGTCCGCGCAGCCACAGCCCGCGCAATGTGCTGGAGGACGATGCCCGCACCTTTGTCCCACGTGCCTGTGGATTCCACCACCATCGGCACAAACACCACGCCCTGGCCCTCACAGGCCTGCGCAGTGCCCAAGTGCGCTTCCTTGTGGCGGGCGTAGGCAGCAGCCGCCGCGCCTGTCTCCCTGCCTGCCAGTGCTAGGGTCTCCTGCCGCTGAGGCGCTGTAACAGCGAAGTCAAGCGCAGCGGGAGACCCAGCAAGGGCAGGCAGAAAGACATCGGCAGGGCGACGTCTGCCTGTCTGCGTGTCTTCAGGGCAAGTGGGCAGCAGAAGGTTCGGGCGCTCCTTCTCCGGCCGAAGGCCAGCCCGCTCAGCCCAGGAACACACAAGATCACGGACAGCGTTGTGTCTCAGAGTCCGTTCGCCGCCAGCCACACACATGCCAGCGTGGTAGCCCGAAAGGCCCATCTAAACCCTCAGAACCCAACAGCCCAGGAATGCCTGCTCGGCCACTTCCGGCATCGCTCCAAAGGGCATGGGCTCACACTCTGAGTCCCCCGGGCCTGGGGCGCAATTTGGCCGATCGGGAAAGCTATGTATACGGATATATAAGGTTTCAAGTTTCAAGGGATGGAGTGCTCATTGAATACGTCCCTGCTCTAGTGTCTAGGCTGAGGTTGCCTGAGTCTTTAGGTTGCCCTTGCTCGTTCTCGAGAGCTCCTGCAAGTACTGTACATGCGCATGCTGTACAACATTGGAGTGCGGAGGAGTGCGGCGTTTCCCAGATTGAGAAGGGAAATGCGTTGTCGTGTGTGTCCACAGGAAAAGAGTTGATTGCTACTGGCTGCCGACCTTCTGCTGGTTCAAAGGGCATCGTCCATGTGGTCTCTGAGGAACTCTCAGCCGGCTTCGGCCATGAAGCATGAAGGTAGACTTAGGAAGCATGATGGTAGACTTGGGTATGCAGAAGCCTCGAACCCAGATTGAAACCTCGCACGCCACGCTTCAACACCTGAACACAGAGTCTATCGGCTAGGTCAAGGCGATCTTAACGTTTGGGTTTCAGCTTGACGGTGAGGTTTGGTTGCAGGGGTCGGGCACAGGTTTTGGATGTGCTGGCACAAAGCAGCGCCAGTTCTGTGTGTTGTTGGCAGGAGTGGTGTTGCATGCATGGTATTGGATGTACATGCACGACAGCCGTGCAAATAGCACAGCATGTGCGCTACATGTATGTTCTTGAACAGTAGGAATCTACATTGGACTGTTTGCTTTCTTATGCTATGCGTTGTTTTTCTTGTTCTCTCTGTCTCCCGGAAGCAGTCTCGATCTCTTATGCTGCGCCGTTCTTTTTAATGCTCCAGGATCCTTCGGATATTCTTTGTTCTTCTTTATGTTGACCAGCTTTTTGTTGCTGATGTGTCCTCACCCCGCCCCCCCTCCCCCCCTCCCCACCTCCCCCCCCCCTCCCCCTCCCCCCCTCCCTCCCCCCCCCTCCCCCCCCCTCCCCCCCCCCCCCTCCCCCCTCCCCCCCCCCCCCCCCCCCCCCCCCCCTCCCCCTCCCCCCCCCCTCCCCCCCCCCTCCCCCCCCCCCCCTCCCCCCCCCCCCTCCCCCCCCCCCCCCCCCTACATCTTCTTCTTGGGCCTTCGGAGTCGTCAGAGTGCAAGCAATCCTAACCTGCAAACTTCATAAAAAAGCTTTCAACCCTCGCACCGAAAATCAGGTACGTCCAGAATTTTTCAGCACCTCGGATGGTTCAAGGGGCTGGTCGTCAATGTTTGCACTTTACACGCCAGACAAGCTCCACAAGTCACGTCAGAGAAGCACATTAAAATCCCTTTGCTAGGCTCCACACATCAGCTGCATAAGCTTGTCCTCTACCCGGCTCTAGCCGCCAGCCACAAGAGTGAAGTCTCTATCCCCTTAGCAGATATAAGCCTTCTCCTTTAGGACTTTTTGAGCCATACCACCTGTAGAATCTGTCAAAGGCTCTCGCCCATCAAGAGCAAGGCCCACGAGCTACGATTGGAGCTGCAAGGCGGGCGCTGTGCCCCCTGGCCAAGAGCTGTTCTGCTGACTGTGCGATACTGCATGTAACAGTGCATCCCGTACCTCCTACTCATTCATTTGTTGTTTTGCTTGCTGGTGACCTGCATCTTCCCATCCGGCCTCGGACACCTGACGGTTCCAGCCTAAGTGCTGGGCCATGCTGGATCAGTTCAGTCAGCCAAGGCTACGAGGGCAACTTGGAGCCATCGCCTGGCCCCGCATCCCCTTGCACGCACGCCCAGCACAAGGCAACGCAATGCTCTAAATGGACCCCAGGATCCTAATTTGTCGGTTGAGGTTTCGCTTGCTTTCGTGTTCTTACGCAGGTCAGGGCTTCATGAGTCTTTTGACGGTGTGCCCACCTTAATTTGGCAGCTGCACAGTAGCCACGACTTTGAAGCTTTGTGAGCAGATCCCTTCCGTGCAAGGTGCAGGGTGGAAACTACTCTGAAGTGCCGGGAGGAATGGCGTTGCCCGACCTCTCCTACGAAAAACGACAGGACTGCAATTCGTATTGTCAGGGCCCAACCCAAATGCCCTAACTTCCCTTGCCCACTGGACATGTGAGTATTCAATACATACGCGACGAGCTGCAAAATACGTGAAGACCTGCACAAGATAGTCTTATAACACCTGACGACCCAAGAATGCTGAGACGCAGTTTCGGAAATCGTGCGAGTCCATACTGTGCAGTTCTCCTTTCTTTCGCAATCCCCCAGATGCAATGTTTTGCGCTGCAGTTGCGTGGCAGGATGGAACCTTGGGTGTGGATGAGGTCTACAGCAGCATCTTACGCAAGGCAGACCCAAAGATATCTGCAGCGGAAGCAAAGCAGATCTTCGACTCGTGTGATCACGACGGCGATGGCAAGATCAAGTTAGAGGAGTTGAGGGACTACCTCCACCCCGTGACTGCCAACGAAAGCATGGCCTACAGGAACTCGGGAGCCCATGAGGCCTTTGCCTGGGAGTGTGAGGGTGGGTTGCGGGCTAGCCTGGTCAGTCCAACCTGAAAAGGAAGAAAGAAGAGGCTGCCCTTTCTATTCATGTATGTCTGTGTAACAATAAGCGTATATGGCACTGGAGTCTTTACGGACCCGATTCAAATTGAATCGGCCGATTCAATTCGAATCCGGCCCCGTTTTGAAAATCGAAGACCGATTAAGCAGCTCAAAGCGCTTAATCGGCCAGTCCCCGGATCGAAGATTGAAGATTGAAGATGCTCGGGAAACTTTCCCTGGTCATCTTCGATCTTCAATTCCAGGGGCCGATTCAGCACTTTGAGGTGCTTGTGAGGTTTTGCGTGCCACCCCACGCAGCTTAGTTCTTATTCGCCAAAACCCTAAACGAACAGGGGCCTCACTCTTTGATATTTAGCGATGAGGACTTGGGGAATAGGATTTGTTGTTAAGATGTAAGGGCTCTGCTCTTTAGGTTTTTAAGGATGCTCTAGAGAGCTTAGGGCATATATAGGACTTGGGGAATTGAACTACGGAAATAAGATGTAGGGAATAAGGTTTAGGGATCCCGCTCTTTGGGAAACTGGGTGGTTTAGGCAATAGGAGCCTCAAACTCTAAAAAGGAGAGCTTTTATGTAAATCCTAAACAGCAAATCCTATTCCTTGAATCCTTGTCGCTAAGCCCTCAAGACTGGGATCCCAAAATCTTGCTCCCTAAATCGTATTCAACTAATCCTATTCCCCATATCCTACTGCATAAAAGGCGGGTAAACCCTAAACCCTAAACCCTAAACCCTAAACCCTAAACCCTCCTTAAAAGTGAGCCTGCTTCCCTAAATCCTTTACGCGAAAAAAAATCCTGAAGAGCGGGATCCCTAAATCACATTCCCTGAATCCCTACATCTTGTTCCCTTTAGGGTTTAGGGTTTAGGGTTTAGGGTTTAGGGTTTAGGGTTTAGGGTTTAGGGTTTATCTTCTGTTAAAAATCTTGCTACCTTCTTTTGTTTTCATTAAGCTTTATTCCTTAGATCCTGTTTCTAAATCCTGTTTGTTTATGGCAGAAATGACCCTTATCTTCCGATACGGAGCTCTGAGTCTTTTTCCTATATCTTGCTCCACAAATCCTCCTCCTAAATCCCACGCGCGTTTAGGATTCAGCGAACAAGAAGAGTTCAGCCTCGTGAGGGTTACTAAACCTCCTCTTAAGAATCTAGGGATCCTTCATGCAAATCTCCAGCTTCACATCGCCAAACCATGGAAACCCATACATAGATCTTGGGGGCGGGGGTGGTGGGGGGGGGGGGGTAGCAAGTATATACATGTACACATCCACTTACCTTCGGGCAAAGGGTTCATGCTAAGTCTCTCTGAATGACCAACAAAGCTTCTTATTGTGCCCTACGAGCTGCGAAGTATGTCATACTGCAGTGCATGTAACACATATTCTGCTTTGCTTGGATGCATCAAGACTGGTCCATTTGCGTTCATCTCAAACGTGTTGGCAGGAAGAGTCGTCAGAAAGATCTCCAGTCAGGTGGCAGGATGTTGCCAGCGACCTACTTGCCCTTGGACACCATTGCTTGGGTAGGGAAGCACGAGTACCCACAGTCTAGGACTTCGTCAGTCTGGTTGGGATGCAACTGTTGGCTGTTTAACAGAATTATTTTAATATCACGAAAGCTAGCGTAGCTAGAGCAGTCTCTGCTTGAGCAGGGAACCGGCCCTATCGAGGAAAAGAGGGGGGGGGGGCAGGATGGCCGAATTGTTGGTCTTTGAGGTCTGCGCAGCAAGCGGACACACACCAATAAGCAAAACAGCTGCACAGCAAGCGAAGATACGCCAATAAGCAAAACATCCGCATACAGTGTGGAATGTGTGGTGTGGCGGTGTTGTGTGGTGGTGTGTGTGATGGCGTGTCATGGGTGTGGTGGCGTGTTGCGGCGGAGTGATGGTGCTGCTGCTGTGGTGGTGGTGCTGGTGGTGGTGGTGGTGGTGGTGGTGGTGGTGGCGGCGGTGGTGATGTGTGGTGGCGCGTGGCGGTGTGTGATGGTGTGTGTGGTGGCCTGTCGTGTGATGGTGATGGTGATGGTGGTGATTGTGGTCCTGGTGGTGGTGGTGTGTGGTGCTGTGTGGCGTGAAGGACATATTGGAAAGAAGAAGAGGGATGGGAGAGGGAGAAGACGCGGGGGGCCTGGGGGAGAGGGGAGAGAGAAGCGGGACGGACGGGTGGAGAGAAGTGCTTTACACATCGAGTGTGGCTCTCAAGTGATACATGTATATCTTTCTATGTATGCATCTGGAGATGGACATGCAGAATGCCTAGGCGTCGGCACGATCTCCGTCACAAGGCTCCGGGGTGGAGGGTCTGACAGAGATTTTTGGGGTCCAGGGTTCAAAGGTTTTTTGTTTTCATGACGAAGCACCCGAACCGCAGGGCCCTTGAGCTCAAGCGAGAAAGGCAAGCAGCTGCGCAGTGCTCGTGGGAGATACCTCAAGGCTTCCATTCCCCAAACCCCAAAGCTTGATCCCTAGCAAACCGAAGGTTCCTCTGTGTCATCCTCGGTGCCGCAAGGCAGGGAGACGGACGTTTGGGCAAGGTTTCTTGTGGGTGTACCCACTGACATCATCTTGCGCTTCCTTTTTTGGCAGCGTACTTTGGCATACTTTCACTCATCCAGATCAAGTGTTACTTTGTATGCCAGAAACTCTACAGCTTTACTTGCGAGTGGCTGTTGCGAAGAGTACATATGCATACATATATATGTATATACTAGAGACACGTGCGTGTTTATACCAGCATACGGATGCACCTCTATCTGCCCAAGGGCTGCAGTTTTGGAGGGTGCGGGCAGGTCAGAGGGGGTCTCTTGGTGCACGCGGGCCTCTGCCTTGATTGAGGTGATTCCCAATTCAGGTTAAGCAGTGGTTGCACACGGGTGTCTCAGGGTCCCAGAACTTTCAGCTGGTTCCCCTGAACCTGCTTGCAAGATAGTGGTCGATCCCGGCGATGTCCGTCATAGACTATATGCAAGAGCTTATACGCATGTTGACGAACTTCAGGCTTCTGGCTGCAGCTGTGGGCGTTTGTTGGTGCGCTGGTCTGGCGCTTGGACTTTCGGATGCTGGGCCAGACAAGTCCTGCCAGAATTGCGAGGGCTCATGTCGCTGTAGCGGGCCGTACTTGTCTCAATTATTGGGGTTTCGTCTTTGGGGTTTTGGGGGTTATAGGGTTTAGAAGCCTCAGCCGTGTTGACTTGCTCAGTTACGCTCTGTCCGCATGGAGGATTGTGCCCCAGTCCAGCCAGGTGTAGCTGCTAAAATGAGGCCTGGCAAACGCAAACTTAGGAATGCATAAAAACATGGAGTCTGGGCTCGGAGTTTAGACCTTCTTGCAGGATTAGAGCCCCGGATCCTCTTCTCTCTCGTATATTTGCACTGTGGTTTACAAGGAAGCCCCCTCGTCTGCCTCAAGGCGCCTGCCATGGTTCCTAATTTCCTCTCGCGCAGCGACCCAGTTACCAGTAGGTAAAGTTCTAATTCCCAGTCCAACTTTTCAGACTTGCATGGCATCAGCCAGTTTTAACGCCACACCGCGGAATCGCTAGCTGTGCCCGCGTCCAAGGCGAACATGCTCTGCCAAGGCAGTACAGGGTTCAGACGGTTTCACAGTGCATGGGCCGCATGGGCTGCCATGGATGCTGGAGTTAACCGGTAGTCGGGCCGAAGAGACGGCATGCTGCATCCTGGTTTGCTGCCCGCAGTTGTTCGAACTTTTTGAGCTCCTTAAACCTCCTAAACTTCTAAACCGGTTCCGAACTGCAGAGGCACAGTAAATCACAGCACTAAGAGCAAAGACTTGATCAGGAGGCCAATGAGATCGATCGCGGCCGTGGTGGAATACTCGAGTAGGCGGGAAACAGTGGCGGCCTTTCCGGCCCGACGCCCGCTGAATTCAGCGTGAGCCGCATACTGTACAGCGCGGCCAGACGTGCAGACTGTAAACTGCACGTGCAATCGTAGATGTGTCTTTCGTGTCATCTCAAGGTCTTGTTGCACCACTGCGCGCCCTTATGCTTGGGGCATACTTGTGAAGGGTTCTTTCCAGGAAAGTCAGTGCACCATAGCCGTAGCCAACTGCAGCGTAGCTTTGCGTAGCCTCAGCTCTTCGTTTTGCTGATGCAGCTGCCGCTCCGGCGGGGCTACGCGCAGTGCTCCGACTCCCAGAAGCGTGAGCCGAGAGTTCTCGGCCCTGTGGCTTCTCGATTTAAGGCTAGGCGTGACGTAGACGTGACTTAGACGTGTGGCTTTTAGAAGCTGCACACATGCAGGGAATTCAGGGCGAGGTCAGCAGCATCCTGAGGGCCTTAACGGCCTTAACACGGTGTCTCCTGTTCATTCCTGTAAGACAACGAAGTTAAGTGCAGGCCTCGCCCAAGAAGAAAACGGGAGAACCATGGAGAACCATGGAGAACCATGTTCCATCGAGATGAAGGGGGCACACACACGCAGCACGGCGAAAAGAGGCTCTTTATTGATGCAATTGGCCCGGCTGACGGGTTGATCTCGGAGCAGCCACTGCAATCCACATGTTTGTGAGGTTTGTGCATCTGTCTGTCGACATCTCCGACTGAGCTATCTCCACTGTAGCTTTGCGTTGCTTGCATTCATATGAAAAACCTGATGTGAATATCATCAAGAATATGTTATGCATCTGCGCACGCACATAATTGTAAACGCTTCCGCGCCCCGCCTCGGCAGCCGGGCCGGCCCTAGGACAGAAAGGGAGGAAAGAGGGTTTCTGCAAAAAATGGGCGGGGGGGGTTTTGAGACTCTCTCTCTGTAGGAGCCGCCGACAGGCAGGACCTCTACGGCATCGGTTTGCAGCTCCTCCAAGTGGGGGGGGGGGGTGCCACAGGCCGATCCAGGTCTGCTTGTTCCAAACGCTTCTCGGCAGGAAGCCGAGGCGAATTTCCGATGCCCCTGCCTTTAACTGCGGTTTCCCTTGTATCTGTAATGCTCATCAAAAAACCCTACACCGGCATTCTGAAAATGGCTGTGCATATTTTGCTATCAGTATGCTTCATGTTCATGCTTTTTTTGGGTACTGCTTGCCTATGTTCCCCGCCTTAGCTTCGCGTGTATCTAGAATCGCGCAAGAAAGTCACCATACTATATTTTGAAGATTAATTCGTATATTCAGTTATAGCTATTGTTCATGTTGGGTGTTTTCGTGTACTGCTTGCCTATGTTTTCGACTGCGCTGTTGCTTGTATCTAGGATATTCACCCCAAAAAGGACCCTACACCTGCATTCTGAAGATTGATCTTGCGTATTTTGTTGTGGTGATTGTCCATGTTGTTTTCCGCGTTGCTTGCCTGTGATTTCTACTGCCGTTTCGCTTGCATCCCAGCAAAATCCCTACACCTTATTCTGAAAACTGATTTTGTGTGTTTTGTTATGCTTCTTGTTCATGTTGGTGTTTTTGTGTACTGCTTTCCCATGTTTTCGACTGCGGTTTTGCTACTATCCAGGGCGCTCGCCAAAACAACCTACACCATCACTCTGATAAACAGTTTTTCGTGTTTTGTGGATTCCCGATGCACTTGGCCCATGCTGGAAATCCTCACATGGCGCCGGGCTACGACAATCCCAACCCCGCATTCTTGGCCACGATAACTGCCCCAACATGCTCTAGCTCCATCAAATGCTTTGCTGCTGAAACCAGATATCTTGTCGCCTCGGGCATTCGCTTTGTTGACGCACGAATTCCAGAAATTCCGCCAGGTGTGAACATTCCAACTGACCACGTTGTCGAAGAGTCCTTGGTTTGTCTAACCGTCACCTTAGTTCTTTTTTGTTTGCACTTCTGCAGGAGACCATAGAGCTGCATCACATCCTCAATGGTGAACTTCGACCGTCGAGGTCCTTGGCTAGATCCTCTGCGCCCTGCTCCTCCTCAGACATTGGCTCAAGCAACCTTAGAGCAGTCTTTTCACGAAGCCTTCTGCGCTTTGCACTGTCTTTTGGACCCCCATGTGGTAACGAAGCTACATCTGTCTCGGGTTCTGGTGCATCTCGGGCATCTGTAGAACGACCCCCATGTGGTAACGAAGCTACATCTCCCTTGGATTCTGGTGCATCTCGGGCATCTTCAGGAACTCGCAGCCTCGTCTTCTGCCATGAATTGCTTCGAGGGGGTTCTGCAGCTGCTGGCCACAAAGGTGCGAAGCTCAGCTAGGTGCTCGCCGTTGCGTGGGCAGCTGGTCTTGAGGGGTGAATCTTGCGCAGCATGAGCCCCGCGACAGGAACAGTGGCGAGCCTATAAGAAGGGCGCGCAACTCTGCGGCAATTGCTGGTTCAACGCTTAGGGCCCTGGGGTCAGTGCGCGTGCTACTGTCTTAAACACCATGTCTACTACAAGACAATATATACATATAGATTCTAACCCTCCTCCAAAAACATTACATCCTAATGACAAAAATACAGCAGCACAGTATTGGAAACGCACCACAGCGCTCCCTTCTGAAACGATTAGGGGGCAGAACTTGTTTCAGTAATTCTGCAGGGGCCAGTACTCTCGACAGCAAAACATACCGGTAAGGGAAGCTGGTACTGTCCTGTGCAACCCTCGGACTTTTAGTTTCCCGGTAATGCCGCATGCCTGAAAAAGTGTAGAACAGACTCCTTCTCGTTGCCCCAAGGAGGCTGTTTCGCCCGAAGGCCCAAGGGGCCTCTTTCTTCTCTTCATGCCAGGGCTCTCGAACTGACTAGAGTCACTAGAGTTTTGGGTTGAAGATGGTTGAAGTGAATGCAGCAGATTGTCGACTCGGATTAGGTTGCAGTTGTTGTGTTTGGGGATTTAATCCAAATCAAAGGCCCAAACCCTGAACTGCGCCGCAAGCCCGGCAGGCGAAGCGGCCCGCGCCCATCGAGCTGAAGGTGCTTGAGCTATCATTCAGCAAACGGCTTTGAGCTAATCGAACTGAGATACCTGCTTGCATGAACAATGGAAAAACGCATTGGATCTAGTCAATTCGTGTAGCTTTTCCGCAGTTTACGGTCTAGGAGTTTGGATCCAGACCGAGCGTTTTCATTGATCTGGCTGTGCTCCCGTTGTTGTCTCAAGCAACTGTAGCGCCCCCTGTTTTTATGTAGCAACCTAGTCATCTGAGTCATCTGTAGACAATTTTTGCGGACACTTGAAATCACAGCCAAATACAATTGCTTTCGGCGCTTCAGGCTTCAGGTTTCTGATGCTGTTTGGCGATGGACCTAAAAGTGTTGATTAGGGATCCAGCGTGAGCAAACAACGCCAACGTATCATCTACGAATCTACGCCGCGCTTAGAAGGAGCTCAGACGCAGTTTTCTTAGTTTTCTTGACTGATGCATCTTGTTGTTGTACTAGCAAAGCCTGTTTTTGATAGGCAGTCTAGAGCTGGACGGCTTAGATTCGGAAGACTTCGTCCCATGTCCTAGTTCTGACTTCATGGTTATGCCCATAAAGGCAGGGACCACAAGGACGCAAACCCCTAGCTTGGCCCTACCAGCAGATTTTGTGCGTTGCAGTGCCGAAAGGATATAGGGAGCTCAGACGAAGCGTGACGAAACGTATGTAATTTGGCAGCTGTTGTCAACATATAGAGTCTTGCTGAGGTCGTGACAAGGAGCCTTGGCTTGGATTTATGCTCTGCGAGCTTTGGGTTGAAAGGCGTTTGTTTTCTTCGGGGTGGGGCGGCACAGGACAGAAAAGGGAAGCCCGAACTTTCGTTTGGAGCCTCGGCTTGACACACACACACACCTCATCACAGGCGGTGCTCTATCAACAGTGACAATGGTACTTGCTTTTTCAAGATCCTGCAGGACATGAAGCGTCTCGGATGGTGAATTTAAGACGCAAGGGCTCTGCGTGCGTTTCACATCACATTCGTTCTTGAAAAGCTTCCGGCAAGCTGATGTCAGGATAATAGACTTGGGGCGGGGTTCTACCATCATTTGCAGGCCTCTGCTATGACAGAAATGCTCGCGGCTGCGTGCCGGTAACGGGGCTTTAAACAGAAACTGTAACGGAAAGGAGCGGAGCTGTAACCGAGCCGCGCCGGATCTGCAAAGAAGCGCTACCGGCTGTAGCGGAAGCTGGAACGAAAGCTGTAACGGAGATGTAACGGAGGTGCCACGGAGCTGTAGCGGAGGTGCAACGGCTGTAACAGAACTGTCCATAATATAGACTGTTCACCGTTGGGCTCTTTCTGCGCGTAGTAGGATCCCTACTACGGAGTTACGGTTCAACTCCTAGTCCTGAGCAGAAGCTCAAACTCAGGACTCCAGCAACAAGCTATACCCAAGGCCGAGAACAGGCGGATAAACAGATGTTAGATGGCTTATTGCGCAGCAAACCAAATCCAATCAAGTTCATCTAGTCCTACCGCGCTGAAGCCACGAAGAAGTTCCCGAGACAGGCACCCGCCCCCCCGCCCCCCATAAACCCTCCCCCCCCCCCATCTCGAACCTACTGCTCCGAGCCTTGAAAAAAAGATTGCAAGCCCCAAAACTTAAGCCGCGTGGCCCCAAAAAACGTTCGAGGCACTACGCCATGGACAAGGACGAGCATCCTCTGGAGGCTGAGAATTTGAGATGCTGAGGGCCAAAGACATGGGCTGCGGGGTGCTGAGGGGCTAAGCAAGATAGTGCTCCATTCTGTTCGATGTCTGGTACCACAACCCAGGGTTCTCCAAGATAAATCCTTCACTGTCACTCTCTACGGGAGCTCTGTCTTGTTATTCTCTATTTGGCACGTTCTTTCAGGATGACCTGATGAGCCTACCTGCCCAAACTGTTGTGCCGTTTCTTTTTCTGCAAGTCTTGGGGAAGGGTCAGTATGGCTTTGCAGCACAGAGCCTGGGCATGTCTGGGTTGAGACATGTCCAATCCCACAGCCTTTCGGTCTTGTAGATTCCGGTCAGGTAAACGTGAAAGCCAAAGGGCTGTGAAAACAGCAGTTGCGCAAGGGCAAAAGTTCGAACCCCGATAGTGAAGCCAAGACTTTAACTCCTGAACCCTTCCTCCTTGAATCTCCCAACGCTGAATCTGCCATGTTCCGCAGGCTCTCTACGAGGCTGCGCGACTGTTGTGGGAGTCAGACTGTCGTTCTTAAATAGGCATAATTGGTCTTGGAGACCCACTGTCCATTGAAGGCTGGGTACAACCGTGCCCACTGAAAGAGCCATTTTGCCGCAGCAAGATGTATAAGCGCAGTGGGTCCGGTGACAAGAAACGAAAGGTTGCAATTCTCAGATATGTGAAAGCATGTAAAGGTTTGTGCATTTAATGTGTAATGCGGGCGTACTGCCAAGATCTGAGAAAGCACTGAAGGACTACCTATCCGACATCTGCAACCTGGGTGATTGTGTAGAGAAGGACTGCCAGTGAGGGCATTGGGCCGCCGGCCGCTTGTGATGTTTTGATGTGGGCATGTAGGACCAGGGCATACAATCAGGTACTAGTTACTAGAGGGAGCCGTGCTGGAACTTGGTACGGAGAAGCCCAGGCTCCAAAATGCAGGACCCTAGATATTGGCCAGACCCACCATGAACGTGCCTCCAAAAGCGGCGCCAGACATGTAGATTCGGGGTCTACACGTTGCACACTTTGGCTTGGACGGCAGGCGACATGACGAGGTTTTGTTGCGCTGCGAAGTTCAGGTGGCATGTTAAAGGTTTGAGGTAAGATCGATGCGTTACATACTTATAATTGTAAGCGCTTGCGCGCGCCGCCTCGGCAGCCGGGCCGGCCCACGTCTCGGGGGGGGTTTGTGAAAGTTCCAGGCGTCAGGGGGTTTCAGCGAGGACGTTTCAGGCAGGGGGGGTCCCGGAAGTCTGCTCCCTCCACCAGAGGTCCGGGGGTCCGTCACTAAAATCTGTGTGGGGGGAAGGGTTGGGTTAGGGGGAAGGAGACCGGATCCGTGTCTGCTTGTTCCAAGCGCTTTTCGGCCAGAGGCCGAGGCGAATACTAGGGGAAGCAAGCTCCTGGTGTTCTCCGCTTGTCGGGGTGAAGTTGGCCCGACCGCGCACAAAGGAGATGCTCGAGCGGCCAGGAGATTCGGCCCAACACCCAGACTGTGAGCCAGCGAAAGTCCCCTCCCACTGCGTAGGTGTAAGGAGCTTCTACACCAAGATACAGTGCTTTTGCTTTTAGCCCGACGTAGGGCCTCTCAGTGAGTGCTTTGGTCAGGGCGGCTTGGACCTCGAAGCTGTGAACTCTAAGTTAGAGTCTCTCGTGCCCGTCGTGCCCGCAGGGCGCGGGCTTCGAAATTGTCACCGTTGGGCTTAGGGTTTAGGGTCCGCCTTGTTCTTTGGTGCAGGGTTTGGGGTTGTACGGTTGTACGGTTGAGGGTTTTTTTGGCGGCCATCACCAAAATCTGACCCATACTCCTGCATTAAAAGCCGGTACGCATACCCGAACAAACAGTTTTTTGGGAGCCTCCCATCCTCTTTCACTCTTCAACAGTCTAGCATAGCGTACCCCAAATCTCTAAACCGCAGCACCCGAATACCCTAAACCCTTAAGCACTCCACCCTGAAACCCTTACACCCCAAAGCCTGAAACCCTAAAAGCCCTAAAGCCCGAGCTCCAAAGATTTGAGGACAGCTTTGCAGCAGGTGCTTGAAAGGCTTGAGGCCTTTAGGATTCACGCGAGTTCAAGTTTCTTTGCCACCCTTCAGGGAAGCCTCAAGCCCTAAGTCCCAAAGATGGAAGTGCCAACCTTAAGCATCCCAGTGTAGACCCCTCAACACTCCTGAAACTTGATGCAAATCATGGGCCCTTTCTTGAAACAGCTGGATCACCCGAAACTGTTTCACGATCCTGAGCTCGGGTTGGGGCCTAGAGCCCCCCGAGAAGGCAAGTACCTTCTTGAAGATGCCTTTCTCTTGGCCCTTTTTAAGGGCTCCTCGGGGGTGCAATTGAGCTTGTGGGTTTCGGGTATAGGGTTTTTTTTCGGGCTTGGGGTTTGTGATTTCCCGAAAAGCCAACACGCAAAGCCGCCGACACCCTTAGCAATACACGACACTGCGTCTTGTTCGAGCAACGTCAAGCATCCGGTGCAGCATGTTGTATAGAGGAGCAAGATCGCTGTACATACCGGTGTTTTGGGCATGGTTAGAGCAACATGGTCGTAACCACCCTCCCTACTGAAAGATCCGCGAAGAACCCCGAAGCACCTGAAAACAAGCAAAACCCTCGGGTCAACTGGTAGTGCCTTAGCAAAAGCAGCGCGACCACCCCCAGGAATACTGCACAACAAAGACCTCTGGCCTGAAAGTGAAGGAGCAGCGGGAGGGGCGGTGGGCGGGGGGGGGGGGGGCAGGATGAAGGGTTGGGAATTAAGGGGTTTAGGTTTGTTAGGGATATAATATAGGAGGACAGAGTTAAGAAGAGTGCAAAGACGAGATACGGGTCAATGCACGCAGGTACTTGTCAATGATGTAGTCCAAACCCCTAAACCTTAAACCTTATAAGCCCCTTTAAGCCATTCGAAGCCCTATGATTCCTTATGAACCCACATAAGCCCACCTCTGCACAGCCCCTGTAAATTCTGAAGCCCCAAACCCCAGCAGGACCTGATCGCAGCTGCCGAGTCCAAAAAGAAGGTCCAGGCCGAATCCGCAGGTTGGTTGTGGTTGTGACCGTGGTCGTAGTCGTGCTCGTGCTCGTGGTCGTGGTCGTGGTCGTGGTCGTGGTCGTGGTCGTGGTCGTTCTTGTTCTTGTTATCGTTCTTGTTCTTGTCCTTTTTTCTTCTTGTTGTTGTAAGATTCTGGCCCAAGCATGCGGATTTTTCTTCTCTTAGCCCTAACCCACAAGACCTAAACCCTGAACCCAAAACCTTAATTAAAACGCAAAGCCCTAACCCTAGACCCCAAACCCGAAACCCGAAACACTGAATCCCAAACACTAACCCTGACCAAGCCCCATAAGTAGCAAGAAGTCATAGATATTTGTTGTAACTGTGCCTCCCAAAAAGGTAGGATTGCCGGCGCGCCTGAAACCATGATGAGGCCGAGGAGGGTGCATCGTCCTTCGCAAGCCATCGGGGCTTTGGCGTGATTTACCAGGCCTGGCACTTGGAGGCGTTTCCTGTTTAGGGTTTAGGGTTTAGGGTTGTTGTTTGCTGTGAGGCGGGGTGGGGACAACCTCTCCCCCCCCCTTTGCTGACTTGGGGTATGATATTCAAGAAACCCACCTTACCCACCTTGTCACAGTGCCCCCCCCCCCCACCCCTGCACCCCAAAAGGGTGGGTAATTCGGGACGCTAGGAGTCCTAGCAAAAAACTCCTAAACCTTTCAACCACAAGAAGAAGATCCCAGACCCGCAAAACCTTTGAAGCCGTGAAACCCCGTGAAACCCCGAACCATACTAGGCAACCCTTCACACTAAGCCCCAGACTCCAAAACCCGAAACCATACATAAGCCCTAGGCTCGAAGCAGTAAAGTCATGTAAAGCCCCCACCCCTACCCTATGCCCGGAAAAGAGTCACTTGCCCCATCACCCTATAAACCCCATAAACCCTAAACACGAAGCAGAAGCTGCAACCCCACTCCTCAGGTGGGGCGCTGCGAGCTGCCGCAGTCAAAGGCCTTGGAGTGTGGGGGCTTCGATTATGTAATCATGTAAGCATATAGTACGCTCATAAGAGTAATGTAGTTCAGGGTGCAGTGCATTCCGGGTTTAAGCTGCAGGGTTGACAGGGTTGGTAGAGTTGGAAGGGTTGGAAGGGTTCATAGGGTTCATAGGGTTCAGGGTTTAGAGGGTTTAGAGGGTTTAGTGGGTTTAGTGGGTTTAGTGGCTTTAGTGGCTTTCGGGCTTATCATGTTGGGTTAGATTCGAGGCTTGCGGGTTGGGTTTAGGGTAGAGTTTTTATGGTTTAGGGACTTGAGGGCTTGTGTTGGCGGATTTTTCGGGTGTAGGGTGTTGGAAGTTCGGGTGCTACAAGTAGGTTCCAGGGGCCTGGGGTTGCGGATCCCCAAGCCCCCTAGACCTTAAAGCTTGTATTCAGGAGGTCTGGGATTGATAGCTTTTGCTGCGCAGAGCCCTCTATCCCTGAATCAATTTCTTGGGTTTAGGGCCTTTTGGTTTAGGGTGGGCCGGGAGGGGTGGGGGGGGGGGGGTACAAACCAAAGACTCTATTCGGTGGTCTTTTTTGCGGGGAAAAAGGCTTCCGCCGGTAAAATGTCCGGGTTCAGAGTCCCCTTAACTCGAGTTGGTCTGGTAGGGGGGTGCCTGTAGGGTTGGTGTAGGGCTTGGGGTTCAGGCTCTGGGTTTATTCCCGAGTCTATACTCAGAAGCTGAAACTGGTGCAAGGAAGAGCGGCTCGCGGCAGAGGCATGAATGCTTTGCTGTCGACTGTTGGGATTTGGGGATGTGCTGGGTGTTGGGTCCACTTCTAATGTTCGCCTGACCCCGAAGCCTCACTCCTAAATCCCTGACACAAGTCTTGGAAGTTCTACAGCGTAACCCATTCCCAGGCGTGTTCTCTGGAGCAGGATGCTTGTGGTCGACCCGTCCTGAAATCTTGCATCCCTATACCTGACCACCAGGCTTGAGGGGGTGTTGAGGCTTTCGAGGTATTTTAGGTCTTTTGATCTGAAGATGTCTGAAGGGTTTGGGGTTCAGCGTTGACTCCTGTTGAGCCATATTTCCGGCGAAGAGGCGCCACACCCTGAGCCCTAAATCCTAAGCCACGCAAAGGCTGTCTTCTTGCAGCCTCTCTTCGAACATCCGAAGACCCATGTTCAGGGTGCTTCGTCCCAGCGCACTCGATTAGCGCAGCCCAAAACCTGTAGAAGCTTGAGCTGTGGACTGTTTCCCCAAGCCTTGAAGTATTCCTTGACAGGTTTGCGAGTTGCGAAAGAGGCTTGCCACGATGGAGCTCGAGCCCGGCCGGCCCAGTGGGAGATTTAGGGCTTCGGGCTCCTTTGGGCCATTTTGGTTCGACCCAACCACCCCCCAGAGCTGCTCTGTAAGCCTAAACCTTGGGGGAGTCCGGGCGCAGGTGCTACTTGGTAGGTCTAAAGAAACTTCTCTTAAATGGCCCCAACTTCCTAAACTCCAACCCCTTCCCCCAAGAGGCCTCTTGGACCAAAACTATGCAAGGTTGGAGGAGTTGCGGAGCAGGGAGCGGGAGGCCTCCATCCCAGCGCCTTGTCGGGAAGTGTTTTTTGGGTTTTTTGGGGGGGCTTTTGGGGGTTTGGGGGGTTTAGGGGGTTTAGGTTTAGGGGGTTTTGGGGCTTGGCTTGATTGGGATTGGGGTTGATTCATCATCGCAGCGTTTCCTTGGGTCTGGAGTCGCCACCGTGCTTGTGAGCCCCGAGGTCCCTGCTGCAAAGCTGGTCCTTCACTCTTGCAAGTCAGGAACGACTTCTATTTATCTCTAAGGCTTTGTTTTGAGGTGTTCAATGTTTCACGCCAAGCGCGAAGCTCCCAAAGGACAAGAGTTTGGGCGCTTGAAAGCTTGCGCTTCAGTTGTGTAGCGCAGGAACGACACCAGGCTTCCTAGAACTGGGAGGGCTCTGGGGGGCCAATAGAAACCCGAAGTCTATGCGGAGGGAACAGGTGGCAACAGCATTTGGTGCTGCCAGGAGGAGTTCTTCGACTGTTTCGACTGAGAGCTTCCTGGTGCCTGGAGCATGTTTCCCTCATGTTTTCCCACCCAAAACCTTGAACCCTTCGTTTAGGGTTCGACCAAAAATACGCCCACCAGACTAGCCACGTTCAGCGCACGGCAAAGTTCCACGCGCTACCTTGCCCGTCAAAGACGGGCCGAAAAGTGCCTTCCTCGTAGAGGTTGCTGCGCCAGATTTTCGGGTGCCCCTCTGCATGTTGTGCATGGGCGCCCCCCCCTCTCTTTTTCCAATCGCCTCTCTGATTAACGTTCGCCGCCTTCGGTAAAAACGTATTGCCAGGCTTTGCCAAGCTCAAGACTCCTACTTATGCCCTGAATAAGGTTCCTGAAAGAACCCCAGAAGTCCACTTCAAATCCTTGAAAAAACTCCAGGGTGAGACGATGGGAACGCGGGGGGTCTAGGTGTACATAGGGTAGCGTGCCACATTGAGATTGCATGCTTGCTAGAGAGTGCCGGCCAGATCTTGCAGAGCCGATCCATCATGCGCGCATCTTGTCCTCGCCACAAAGCACCTATGTACCTGCACAGGAGCCTGTTGGCCCCCTTATAAGGCTAGTTGGTGTGTGTTTCCAAAACATGTGTCTTTCGCATGCTTTCGAAGGACTCAGCCTGACGCATGTTATATCCAGTTCTGTGATCGAAGCTGCCGGAACCACTACAGTATCCTTTCATGAACATGCGATGATGATTCTGTTCATGTATGCGGTGAGAGTATTCTGCTACAGTACCTGGTTCGCCAGCTCAGCGACGACGCGAAGGGCAAAACGAAGTCCGTGGGCGGAGCAGTAGAGGTGCAGGAGCGCACTGCACAGTGCTAAGGTCATGCAACGGCATATTTGGGTATGTAATAGACTGCTAAGTGAGTAGGTGTGCATCGATCGAAACAACGGTGAAGAACAGATGCCCAGTAGTGCTGATAGGGATGGCCAAAAAAATCTGGGTTTTGGAAATATGCTACACTTTTCAAGGTGCAAGAGCATCTGCCCTAAACGAACTCTAAACCCTAAACCCTGCAGCTTCAGGATGCGCTTTGGTAGCATGGCCATATGTTTTTTGGGATTGGGGTCGTGCTTTTTTTTTACCTCAGACAGCATTGGAGTAGGGTTGTTCAATGTGGTCCTTAATCAGGAGCACTGGCGTGACTGTGCCTATTGTGTGTGATGAGGTCGCTTCAGCAACAGGACTACTGTTATGGAGGTCCCCCAAGGGATCCTGATTTAGATCAGGTCTTACATGTTGAAATCGGTGCTTTGGGGCTTTTTCTCACCAAGATTATGTCCGATCACTGTTGTAGCTTTAGGATGAGAGTTTTGAGGTTGTGGCAAGATGCGGGAGTTTCCAGCAATGCGAGTGCTCCTTCATGCGCTCTATTACAGCGGAATCACTTTTAACGGCCTCGCAAAGGGACCCCAAATCCTAGACCTGCAACCCTAGACCCTGTTTCGTAACCCGCTTGTGGCAAGTAAATGCTGTCGGCTCAGCTTAGGGTACAGTGATGGTCAATTGGGTCCGGCATGAACGTTATGACAGGTGCGTGCCATTTCAGGTTAGGTTCACGGCACCACTCGCGCAATGGGGTGGTTTGGGCGCAAAATTCCTTATTTCGCAGCTCTGGAAGTACTCAGTTTCACGCCGCATTTGGATAGTTCCCAGAATTGGGGACCAGTTTCTTTTTTCAATGGGCTATCCGCGCGTCCTGCCCCATGGATATCTGCTTGCGGGACAACGTGTAACGAGCTTGGCCTGGTGTTCGAAAAGGTCCAAGTACTCGAGGACCAATATGATATAGACAAGTCATGGGGTCACTGGAGGTTTCACGGCAAATTGATCTTCAAGCCCACAGGAATCGTGTTGGGCAAAGTTTCTTAGGCTGTGCTGTGACCTGGACCCATACAGCCCTGGCGACGGGCACCGGTCCGGGTTGGCAAGCGAAGTACAGAGTCCTTGCCAGCGGAGGCTTCCTCCTCCTCCAAATGTTTGACTTCGCTGACCTCGCCGCTGGGATGGATCACAGTATCGGGACCCTCAACCCTAAAACCCTATAGCTCTAAACCAAAATGTATAAAAAAAATGGGTAGTAGAATCCTCTTGAAAATGGCCACACAAGTAAGTCCCTAATTTTTGCTGAGGCGCGAAGAGAAGCGGACTTGCGGACTTCAGCGACTTACCTTTGAGGCCCCAGGCAGGGGTGTTTGTATGGGGCTACACACTCTCGAGGGCATGAATAGGATCCCTGTAAACACGAAATGCAGACGGTATCGGATGTCCTCAGCATGCCCAATGCCTACCAGGCTTCTTTGGGAGAAATACACTTAGGAGTGTAGTATGGCTCTATGATTGCTGGTTCATCCCCCTTGGACCCCTAGTCACGACCCTGGTGCAAGGAGCAACGGGGCTCACAGATGACTCAGAGATACGTCGGATCTGGCGATGAGTCGAGACGACTGGAGGCAGCCATGGGCGATGGCGGATACGCAGTATGGGCCTAGTGTCTTCCACCGGCTGGATTCTCACGTGCTTATGTCCCCGACTTTGCAACAAGCAAGCTTTGTAATTGTCCCATGGTTTTTAGGATTTTGTGTCCTTGGACCAACGGCCGAGCTTGCATTTGCTTTGCTACATTCCGATGAAGCAGGTTTGGCCAGGTAACCTCATGCTCTCCGTCTCCCCTAGAAGTCCATCCTAAGGCTGAACGCCAAAATGTGAAGTCCGAAATCCTCAAGCCATGGCCCCGTCCTTCAAGTAAGGCCCACGCACGGTGACGAAAGGGAGCGCAACAGACAAAAGAGTAGCCTGGCTTAGATGTTCGGAGGTGGGTCAAAGCATATTTGTGCACATAGGATGACACCCAATACAGCTGGGAGGATGCAGGATTCCTTCGGTGCCGGTCTGAGCCTATGACACCAAACAACCTGTAGTGTAGATTGTAGATCAACCCAACACCTACAGCCGAAACCCGAACCCTACATAAGCCCTCAAACCCGAAATCCAATGTTGCAGATCAACTCCCAAAGTGAGTGGCCCTAAGTCCCAAGCCCTAAACCCTAGAAACCCAAATTGAGTGGCATCTGCATTGCCGAGCCAAGGGGCTGATGGAGGCCCGCTCTTCCCACTTTCCATCTTCGCAGACGGAACCTCGGATTTCTTTGGAGGCTGGGTTGTTTTTTTCGGGCTTCGGGTACTAGCCCTAAGCCCTAAACCCTAGCCCTACACCCTAAACCCTAAACCCCAAACCCCAACCCTAAGCCCTAAGGTTTTGGGTCAAGGCCCGAAGCCTTTCCGAGGACGTGTCGAGATTTCGCCGAAGTGTTACAAGCTGAAGGAGAGGCATCTTTTGGCAACCTGTGCAACTGTTTGGAATGACATTTTTCATCTTGACCCGTAAGCCCTAAGCCCTAAGCCCTAAACCTCCAACCCTAAACCCGAAATGATGTCGACACCAGGCACTGAGCTGCTGGCCAAGATGCCCACGTCCAGCAGCGGAGGAGCAGCCCGACGCCAACACCTCAGTCTCGCAAGATCGCCGCCCACGCAGAGCTCCAACGATTCATCCGCCAAAGGAGGGTGTAAACAGGTCACTCTTGAGAGATACTTTCGTGGTTCCAGTGCGATGGCAGCCCAGTCTCTTCCATCACACACTTCGGCTCAGGGCTTGGCAGTGCGTGGGCCAATGGTTCAATCCATGGAGGCCTTGAGGATGCTTCCGATGGCGAGGCTTTGACCGAGGCGGTTCAGTCTACTCAGACTCAGACCTTTCGGAGGCTCTTGATACGCTTGATGTCGAGGATTCCATGGAGGAAGGCCTGGATAACATGCTCTCGTCTTCCTCGGGGGAATGAGCTTGTGGGTGTCGGCATGGGTCCCAAGCTTCCCAGGTTTGCCTGACGCGGTTACTCCACGATGCTGCTGTCATTTGCAGGGGCGCTGTATCTTTGGTATGATGTGCGATTTCTCGCACGATGACGCTCAGAGGGGGCCCTGCCAGTTTGGGGTCGGCTGCTGGCCTGGGCATGGGAAACAACCAAGCACCCAATTGGGTTGCGGCACACCGGCACATTGCTACGTTAGCCATCGTGTCCTTCGCATTTGGCCGGCGCAGAAACACGGGGGTTTGTTTGGGGGGGGGGGGGGGGGGGGGGGGGGGGGGCGGTGGTGGTAGGGGGATTGCTGGAGTCAGGGTTTGAGGTGTATGGGGGACGGGCCGGAGATAGTCGGCTTCTTGTCACTTGAAGGTCGGCAAACTACTAGAGTACTCGGCCACAATAGTGCGTCTGAGCCCTGAGCCCTAAACCCTAAACCCTAAACCATCTCTCCGGCGCTTTTCTGGCTCAAACTCGCTAATCCCAAGACTAGGTGCAAAAGCCTTTCACTTTCCTTCGCAAACCGCTTACCGTGCAGCGATGCTGCGCCCTACCATTTGTTGGAGTTCCTGGGCGCGCCCTCAACCCTAAACCATCCTAAACGGGGGCTACATTTTTTGGGGTGTTTTTTTTTCTTTTTTTTTTTTTTGGGGGTTTCCTTGGTTTTCCTAGGGAAGCGACGGGTTTGCTTGCGTTTGGCTCCTTTTCCTTGTTTTTCCCGGGAAAATACGATTTTCGTGCTATCTTGGATGGCTTTCGTGCCTTGCACGTAGGTTTCTCTATTCCTTCTGTATTTCGATATGCAGAAGGAAAACTTCAATTCCTTCGCGGAGGAAGGAAGGAATGAAGAAGGGAAGAAGGGAAGAAGGGAAGAAGGGAAGAAGGGAAGAAGGGAAGAAGGGAAGAAGGGAAGAAGGGAAGGAGGGAAGGAAGGAAGGAAGGAAGGAAGGAGGCAAGAAAGGAAGGAAGGAAGGAAGGAAGGAATGAAGGAGGGAAGAAAGGAAGGAAGGAAGGAAGGGAGGAAGGAGGGAAGCAACGACAAACCGACAAACTTAACAATATCGAGAACAACAACGGCCACAACAGCAACAGCAAGAATAACAATGATAATAGTATAAAGCA